CGGCAGCGAACTCTAAGTCCTTACAGCGAAGTAACGAAGGGACCTTAAACCATGTTTTGTACAACTTACTTTGGGTATAAAAGCATATTTGTGCCCCTTTAATGATGATTCGTGTTCTTTACTTGAAATGAATTAGCTATAGTGGTGGATGTCTTCTTTTGAAAACATTTGTCTATCGTAAGAAACATATCTTCGGTGAGACGACCCTTCAATGTGTTATGTAAACCAATCAAATCGAGCAATCTTTCTTACGGAAGGGTCTTTGATATAAATACATGTCATACCTAAGTGCACGATCCTTTACCCTCTCTAGTATTTCAAGTATATTCAACCTATTGACTTTGCCTGTTACTTTTCCGGAGATAGATGTGGTGTGAGAATTAAGGATCTGAGTTCACTTACAATAGATCAAAATTATGAGGTCTACAACGCACGATTTTATTGCGTTGGAGACTCACTACACCCTTTTCAAAGGTTAGGTTATATTTGGTTTTATTATCTGTGCTTTGGAAGCTTATTTCCAATCCAATCCAATCAATCCAATCCTTTATTTAAACACGTGACACCTAGGAGTACAGAAGTTCTCGTTAAAACGTGTACGTGTATGTACAATTAGAAATAAAGCATAATTTCTGTAAGAATACAAATAGTAAGTAAATATATTAAAAAGCTAAAAACAGGATCGAGAATCATGGACAAGAGCTATCAATTAGAAGTTACAATATTAACAATATTAACAACAATAACGATATTTACAATCACTACCATTAAGCCATGTGGGCTTTAAGAGAACGCTTAAATGAAGCAATATCTTGAGATTCTCTGAGTCTAGGGGGTAGCGCATTCCAAAGTTTACTAGCTAAAAATGAAAAAGACCGATGTAAAAACTCAAGATTAAAAGGAGGTAAATCTAGCCTTGTACTGAGCCCGCGTAAACTATACGGTACATTTCTAAAATGAAAAAAATCACTTATATAAGGAGCCCCCTTATCATACAAGCACTTATATAACATAACCAACGATTGGAATTGCCTACGATTCTCCAAAGACTTAATGTCGGCCAACTTGAGGAGGATGTCGTATGACACAGACTTCGAGAAGCCTAATATAGTTCTTAATATAAAGTAATTAGTTGTCTCTATTTTTGTAGTCTCCGCGTTACCTACTCCCAGTAAAAGGGGACTGCAGTACTCAAGATGAGGGAGGACATAGGCCTTATATAAACGAACTAACACGTCCTTTGAAATAAACTTACGTATTCTCCGCAAAGCCGAAGCCTTTGCGCATCCCTTATTCAGCTGTTGCTTTATGTGCGCTTTAAATGTTAATTTGCTATCTAGGACCACCCCAAGGATTTTGAGTGTGTCCTTTGTATGGACATTAGAATCATTAAGATGGAAATCATATTGGTATGAAGACGGGCCAATAGCGATAGCTTGCGTTTTGGCGGCATTAATCTGCAAAAAATTCATTGAGAACCATCTCGATAGAACGCTCAGATCAGAGTTAATTATATACTGCAATACTGTTGGTGAGACATCAGAGGCGTAATGAGTAGTGTCGTCAGCATATATAGCCTCAAGGACGTACTAGTAATAAAATAATTAAGATCATTAATATACAAATTAAATAGGAGAGGACCCAACAGGGACCCCTGTGGTACACCAGTTTTAACGGTTCTCCATGAAGAATATACACCGTCAAGTTTGACTCTCTGTCTTCGTCCAGTAAGGTAAGCGGTCATAGTTTCCAGCGCATCATGCGTAAAACCATATGCCTTTAATTTAGCTAGGAGAAGCGGGTGACAAACAGAGTCAAAAGCTTTACTTAGGTCGATAGCCACCGCTGCAACAGCTTCTCTTCTGTCAAGACAGGCTCTCCAATCTTCAGTCAATTTCAATAAGGCCGTGCAACACGAGTGACCCTTGAGAAAGCCAGACAGGTTCGGTGAGAGTCGCCAATGAAAGGCTTCATAGATTTGATCGAACAATACCTTCTCATATAATTTCGATAAGGAAGTCAGAACAGAGACTGGACGATAGCAGGTCTTATCTGTCATACTTTCCTTCTTGAAAACAGGAACAACGTCGCTGCTTTTCCAAACTATTGGCCATTGACGGTTGGTGATAAAATAATTGATTAATCGGGTAACCGGCTCGGCAATAACAGGTGAGGATAAACGAAGTAGCCTCTGAGATATCTTATCGCACCCAACAGCCTTGCGAGGGTCAAGAGAATCCAAAATTTTCCTTATGTAGCCAACATCAACTGGGACGAGGTCAAAAACATCATCACAAGTTTTCTCAGCAATGACTTTAACGCTAGGATGATCAACAAACTCAACCATTTCCTTACTGTCACAATCACTCCTGGACACCTCGCAAAAGTAGTTGTTAAACATTTCAGCCACCATTAATGAATCGGTAATTACCCGCTCATTCTCAATCAGAATTATCTTTGATTGCTTCTTTTCTTTGCTTGGCAACAAAGGTCTTAACTTATTCCAAAACTCACCATGATGTTTAGTGTTTGACGATGCCTCCATGCAGAACGCCTTCAACCCTTTTCGTTTCAGGGATGTGACCTTGTTTCTCTGTTTCTTGAATTCCTCCCAAGAGGTTGTTGTTGGGCTCTTTGCATGTTTCTTAAACAGTCGATTACGACGCGAGATTTCGCGTTGAATTAATGGAGTTATCCATGGCAACTGATCACCTCTGACCCGTTTTTTCTTTATTGGTGCGTGTTTGTCCAACACTTCAGTGTACAATTGATCCCAATGGTGCCATAGATCATCAACGTCGTTATAAATGTAAGCGGAACTCCAGGGAATAGTTTTTAGGTCATTTAAAAATTTTTCTAAGTCGAATTGTCGCATACTTCTGTATTCAATTTCACGTGCCTTAGCCCTAGGTAATTTATTCTTTCGCACCGCATAGATAAGATCGTGATCACTGAGACCCATATGCAAATTACCACAAGTTGCATATCGTTCCGGATGGCTAGCGAGAATGACATCGAGTAAAGACTGTTTTTTCAGTCACCCTTGTCGGTTCATTAATTTGGTTTTGCAAACAGAACCTATCACAAAGGTCCATGAGTGAGTTATCCTCAGCAACAACACCGTGCTCCCCAACAAGCAAGTCGATATTAAAATCACCAATCAATAATATTTCCTGACGGCTTGTATACATAAGTTCAATAGCTGATGTAAGCGACGACAAGAAATCAGTAATTTTACAGAATTTAGGTGATCTGTAGCACGCACACACAATAAAGCGAGCCTTTTTAGAATCCATGACATCAAGACATAATGATTCGACTGATTCGGGCTCCAGATTACGTCGTCGACAGACAGGAATATCTTCCCGTACAAAAGCTATCAAGCCACCAGCTCCTTTCTTGCGATCACGTCGAATAGTGCGATATCCCGGTTGTTGGAGAAAACTATCTGAGGTTGTACCATCGAGTTTTGTCTCCGAAATAAAGAAAATGTCAAATAGGCACTTGTTAAGAATATTCTTGACCTCGTCAAGCTTATTTTGTAAAGAGTTGATGTTCAAATGACCTATTTTCAGATTGGACTTGTAGTAACCATTGACGTTCCTAAAAAACCAGTCAACAGAGTCTCCTGAATGTTCCTCCGCAATCTCAAAGACCTCGCCAGTGGAGCTTGAATCGCATACCGCCGAAGGTGAGAGATCATCAAAGAAGCTGTCAGAAAACTGAGGCATCGTACAAGAAAAGCAATACCAGATCCCTTCTCTCCGATAGCAGGACAGCTCGTTCTTGCTCATTTTCGTACATTTGATGTGGAATACTGCCGGGCAAGACGAGCAGCGGACGCCATTTTGGTTCCTTCTCATGGTTTTAGCGCAATTACTACAAAGTGTTTTAGAAGAATTATTAAAACTTCCTTGAGGCCCCTGAGGGCCGGGATTAGACTCCACGTTTCCAGATAGCTTCAACAGTAATAGCTGAGTCGTAGCAGTACTGTTACTATAGTACAAAGCACGCCGTCCGAGGTATGCCTTCTTGCTTCTTCGCATGTAATTTTGACGATGCAGACATGAGCTCAAAGAACCAAAGAACTGAAGCTGGGTAGAAACATTACCCATGTCCTTAGGTCCAGCACATATATATTTGGTGGGAGATAAGTATGCGAGACCAGGACCGAATACTCCAAGAGTGAAAAGAGCGAAAAGTAGCAGCGCATACCAACGCGTGTAAGTCGCCATCTTTCTTCCGTTTTCGTATGTAAAACTTAATTGGATATTATTTAATTGGATATTTACCTTATTACATGAAATTTTCGCGACATGTTAATTTCGCGATTTGGAGAGTCGCATATTTCGCGACACCTTATTTTCGCGATTTTGCGAAAATTTTGCATTTTGACTCACTTTAATTTCGCGTTTTTGAGTGAGACATTTTATTTCTTTGTCAATGTTATTTTACATGTCCTTGAAAATTTGATCAAACAACTTAATCAACAATGTCCAAATAAACAGAAACGCAGCTGATTATGTAAACAGTAACAAGAAAGATGTTCTCACAGCGTCTAGAAGGCACGGTATGTACCTGCCCATGCTTGAATGCAAGTCACGTTATTACTGGTCAATTGACCTTAATATCCATTACATTAAATATTCCTTTCTGCTAACTCCGAGGAAAAAAATGTTGCCGTTTAGTTGCACGACTGATGCCGTTTAATCGTTTGCGTAAATGTCTTGATACGGATCAACAGGGGGTAGCACTTCTTTTCCATTTAAAACATCCTTTATTCCGGCTTTTTCCCATCCTTTCAAAACATAAACCTTTCCTTCAGTGCTGGTGAAAAAGTTATACAACTCTACCAACCAAGTGGCATGGATTGGTTTAAGGACCGATAGTTTGAGATCAACATCGACATCTTCAAAATTGATTCCACTATCCACTTGTTTCTGGACTTCTGCGGAATACCACGTCGCGAACTTGTTCTTGCAAAACTTCTTGGCCTGTCCATTGACCGTTAGATCCAAGGGTTGAAAAAAATGTGTCATGTTAGCTGGGACAGAAATGACTTCTATATTCAGCGAGGAGAGCTTCGAGCAAGCCTTCTGCGTTTTCTGACCTCTGAAGACATCCCAGATAAGAAGCGCTTTTTGAGATCGTGGAAGGCCAAGTTCCTTGCGTTTCTTTACCACGTAGGGATTGATTACAGAATCAATAAGGCCTATTGTTTCTGCCTCGTTTGAATACTGCTTTGGGTTTTGGCTGACACAAAAGCTCTTGGGAAAACTAAAGTTCCGAGGAAGGCTAGCCTTAGTTTTACCCTTTTATACTTTGCAACGGGAGAAATTCGCCAGACAAAGAAATCACAAATGTTAGAGTGATGTTACGCTTATCTGTCAAACCCTTGATTGGTACAGACTGAGAGTTTGTTGCTGCCATGGTCATTCGACCCACTGATACGTAAGAACTCGGTGTTTGATCAGCATTAAGAATAAGTTCTGGTGGAATATTGTGTTGCTTGATGCAATTGTCAATGTCCGACAGGTAAGTGAGCTTGCATTCAACGTAAACTCCTCTTGGAACTGGTGGCTTGGTTGTTGTGCCTGCACGCCGGGAAAAGTTGCAACGCTTGTAAATAGATTGAGTCCATCCTCGTGTGGGTGTAAATGAGAGGTACTTGTCACGCATTGACGGATTGCTGCTAATCAGTGCTTTCGCAGCAGCTGAAACGACGCTGCCGTTCACTACACCACCTCTGGACCTGAGGTTTTTTAAGAATGCGATCAGTTTGCTGTCCAGCTCGAGAAGGAACGGTGGTCGCCCACGTTTCTGCGTTTCAAGGGACGTAACCAGTTGAACGTTTCCTTGTCTTGTTTGCGCAGAAAGTTCCTCTCGAAATGCCTTTTTAAAGGCACGCACTGTGCTTTCTTTTAAGCCTGGAAATTCTTCAATAAAGCGTTCTAGGGTTTTTTTGTTTCCATTTTCACTTGCGAACTTCCCAATTTTTACGCGATCCTCGCCGCTGTATTGAAAATATTTTCCCCTTTTTCTCTTAGGATGTTGATTTGGTTGCGAAATCTCGGCGGGTCTTGAAAGGTTTACAACTGCGGCCGCGGTTTCCCTGTGTTCAACCACTCCTAAATTTGTATCCTCCTGCCTCGGTATATGTGATTCAAGTATTTCTACCTCCACCGAATCTTCAGGCCAAGGTTCTTCTCTACTGAGAGAGAAGCCGAACTGAAACAAAGACATGTAATGGTAGTAGACGAACGCTCATGTGTAATTTCTACAGAAAACACGTGTAGTTGTAGAATACTGTAAATGCACAATGATTTCACGTGGTCGGCAGGGATATGTGATCGTCAGCTGTCAAAAAACCGGAAATACCTTAGATGTTTAAAGCTTGAACCCTGCTAGAGTAAGACACTTTGATTTTGGTGATGGCTTCAGTTTCTGGTACTCTCCAATATTCCTTTCCCTGCGGCCTGAGAGGCTTTCACGTTTATAAAGAGATTTGGAAACCTAAGGTTGGAGACGTTCTTTCCTGCATCCATGAAAGAAACTACCAACACGATCGATACGCAATAGCTGCGACAAAATTGCTTCCTGGACGACTATCGAATGTAACACTCGGTCATTTACCACGTGAGATCAGTCGCTTTACAAGATTTCTTATTTCAATAGGCGCAGATGTCTTCGTGACAGTAAAAGACGCACACTTTCGACGATCGCCACTCATACAAGGAGGCTTGGAGATTCCAGTAGAGGCGACAGTAAGAATGGAGACATCTACGAAGAACGTTGAAGCAATTGAAAGGTTCAAGCAACTGGTAGAACAGCATTACAAGGAGCCAGTGAATGGACAGTTTGAGGACTGTACAAAAGATGTGCTGCCTGATCATGAAGAGGAGACGGAAAGCAGTAGTGATGAAGAGGACCAGAACATTACTTCAGAATAGTTATTGTTATGAACGTTTATAGTGTAATAAAGTCACTTCTTAAATTGTCGACATATAGTGAGTCACTTAATTTTCGCGTCATGTTATTTTCGCGACATTTAATTTCCGCGTTACTTAATTTTCGCGATTTTTTTCAAATCGCGAAATTCGCGAAATTAACATGTCGCGAAAATTTCATGTAATAAGGTATTTCATTTTAGCTTTCTTTTCGCCGCTGCTGTCATTGTTCTTTAAAAAAAGTGTGACCGTCTGTTGATAAAGAGCACACAATTTGACTATTCAAAGGGCTAAAACCTCGAGTTTGAGATATAACGGCAAACGGGAACGTCGGTAGAGTGAACTCGCAATGCTTCAAACCACACCTATAAAGTTTTGATTTCTATTTCATTCTATATCAAGCGCGTGTTTTTAGTAAACGTCAAAACACTTCTAACCCTGTTGGTTCCCATTGGACCGCGAGGCAATTTTATTTTACGTTGATGTAGTCTTCAACGCTGGTGTACTAAATGGCGGTGACGGTTGAAAATATAGATCCGTATTAGGTTCCATAGCTTCGTAAATCCACTTCATAGGAATACAACTGTTTCGAGATATTTGTCCTTCAAAAGCTTAAAAGTGTATGCGACAATACCAAATGGCTTTATGGGTAAAAGTAATTTACCACTGTTTGGTCGAAGTTGAGAGAGACAGCACGAGCACGCATGTTAATGGATTCTCCTTCCTTCCGGCTAAAACTGTGAGCTTCGATAAAACAAGGGCAAACAACCGTTGCCCATACAACCTGTTGGTATTGTAGTGTACGGTCTTATGCTCTTGTACGCCAACCTTTCTTGAAATGGCTGTATACACTCTGCAGCGGCCTATTTGTGTCACAAAGAGGGTGGGGAGAGAGAAAAGAAAGCGCACTCACATCTCTTTGGAGGGAGAAAAGTCGTCCGGCAATAGCTCGTTGAAAATTGCAGATAATTTGTAGTCAAGGATGCAGTGTATTCAGTCAAATTTCTAACAAACCTCGGGAATTCTTTGAGCCCTTGTTTTTTTTGGCTCCTTAGGCTTTGGCTCCTCCTCTTCGGTTTCGCACAATTCGGCATCTTCGTCGGCATCTTCGTCCTCACCGTCTCCGTCTTTGCCCTGAAAACTCGCCCCTACAAAGCCAAAACATATACTAATTTTACTGCAATCGTATCTCTGGACTGACTTAAGCTTCATACAACAATAGATTTATACAACGCCGCGCCTTAAATAATCCTCAACCTTTATCATTTCCTAAATATCGATCGTAAATAGTTACTACACGATTCCAAACGATCCCCCGCAAAAATGTAACAAGAACGGTGGAGTTTTTACACGGAGGAGAATGATCGGAAATTGTGCTAGAATCATCGAGAGCTCCCTGTGTTGTTCATCATACAGTGCAGGTATAAAGGTTGGGTAGGTGTGGTTTTAAATTCATGAACACGTGTAGCAGGGTACGCTAAAATTCTCGAATACACGGTCATTTATAGGTGTCGGTGTGTTTTAAAGAATGAGGTATATATCAATAGTCGCTATTCTTATTCAATGAGATGCAAATAAGTGGGCGAATTATTAATGCACGTCGTTCTTCTCTCAATGTTCTCGACATGAGAATAAATTTAATTAAGATTAGCCTGAGGAACATAGGTAATTTCTGTGCGTTTGGCGCTCCTACCATCGCGGTGATTCCCGTTTGGGTCCACAAAATTGGCAAAAAAACGATGGAAACATACATTTGTGATAATTGTTTTTTCGTACCTTCTAGCTCCTCGATTCGTTTTTGCATTGCCGCTATGGTAGCTTAATACTCGGCCTCCATCTTTTTGTACAGTTCTCGGATCGCCGAATCCGTTCTCGGGCAGCTTCGAGGTCACTTTTAATATCTTTGAACTTTTTGGTCGAACTTGTCTTCTGTCCCTTCCCGCGGGCGGCTTTACTGGTTTCTTCTACACTGTAAACAAATGATACAAGCTAGTTAACTCACAAATGCCGGTTTGAACGGATATCCCTTGTAACTGATTAGTTTTGTTTCAAGTTTGTTTGTTTGTTTGTAATCTATTTTCGATGCATATATTCTTTAGTCTGTCCTAATCTAAAATAAACTTGACGCTAAATTATCATCATCATAAGGTGACTTGCTTCAAAATATTTGTTTTGAATGTTTTACCTTGAATTGGCGAATAAACATTATGCCTTACCAATCGTCCAGATCACCGGGTCCCGCATTTCGTTTATTGGTACACAGCGTCTTATCATGACTCCACGAATTAAACTGGAATCTAAACATTGGCACCGCGTAATCGAGTCGCCGCAAAAGCTACATCTGTTTGAGCAATCTATGAGTCTTATATATTCAACACGTTTTAATGAAATTTGTTTCTTCCTAAACACAGTTCGATCCAAAGGGGACGTCGACCTCGAGGAGAGAGATGAGTTCTTGGGCTTTTTGACACACAATATGACCCCGCTTGACCGTATTTACAGCTTGAACATACATGTATGTGCCGCGTGGTAGGGTATGGTTTTGGCGCTATCATTTTTGCCTCTGATGGCATTGTGTTTCCGGTGTGATCTTTAGATGGGATATATAAATTGTATCAGCTAAAATTGCAGTGCGTAAATGCCCAGCTAAACAAAAAGCAAATTCCGCTAAAATTGTTAACAAAGCGATTTTATCGAGATTTGTGTTTTGTCGCGCGCGGTTAGCCGTTGTTTGGTCGTTGTTTTTCTTTGAATAAGGTGTCATACTTCGTGTTTGGACAATTCTCGTTTGCTTCATCCTTAAAGAGGGTCAGGGTCTAAGACACTTCGAGGCACACACCAATTCAAAATTTACCGGAGTACCCCCCTCCTCCGAAACGGGACAGTTCCTGTGACCTTAGAGCAATATTGGTGCAATTTGGTATTTTTTCAATTTTAGACTCAGAAACACATACAGTAAAAACCCGCTTATAGGAAAGTAATTTTTTCCAAGCAAGGCTAAGAAGGTTATTATAAAAGATGGTGCTTAACTGGAAAATTTGGCTACTCAGGTTCTTTTTTTCAAATAGACTGCGAGCAGTCTCTTTTGCTGTGAAATCCGACTGGAACGAACGGGGAAAAAGCGGATGTGATTGACGAGCGGTGAGCGGCGAAGCCGTGATCTGCCAGCAGCGGGGCGCCAGTCGCAGCAAAAAGAGATCGCGGCTTGGCCGCTCACCGCTCGTCGATCGCGCCCGCTTTTTTTCGCGTTCGTGGCAGTCGGATTTCACAGCAAAAGAGAGACTGCTCGCAGTCTAGTTTTCAAAATAAATGACTTGTTTGTCATTGGGGGGCGTGGCCAATTTTTTGTATTGTATGCATAATATGTTAAACATCCAAGCATATATTTACCAAGTTAACAAAGCCATCCAAGATAAACAGAATAAAACGCAACATTAAAACATGGAATTGTGTTGTTGCTTTGACTGAATTTCTCACAATAAGAACCTGTTTAAAAGTTGTAGGCTAAAACAGGTTCTCGGAATGGGGAATGGAGAATATGGAATGGCGAATGAGGAATGGAGAATGAGGAATGGAGAATGTGGAATGGAGAATGTGGAATGGAGAATGAGGAATGGAGAATGGGGAATGGGGAAGAGAGATGAGGAATGGGAAAATAAAGTGAGAAATTGAGAATGGGAAATAAATTTTTTCCACCTTTTTTTTTTTCAGATTTACCCTTTATAATGTGGAACAGATATTTTCAGAGGTGATAGTTGTTATCCGCACTCTCTTTCAAAAACGTTTAGACGTCAAAATTTAACGAACGGAATAAATTGATGATAAGGAAGAAGTTTTCCTGATTTCTTTAATTATTTCACCATCTAAGTTTTCAGAGAAGGGTATAATTTTGTTAAATCCATCAAATATTTTGCTCGCGCTTTTGGTATAAACGCATCACATGACAGAATGTGCCCTAGTTTATTTACAAACCTTACGTCCACTACGATAAGTTTTCGTTTAGAATTTAATTTAAGACGAGAAAGCGTTTTGTGGTTGTTTAAGTGCTTACATTTTTCAGAGTCAATTCCATTCCCACACCCCATTCTCTATTCTCCATTCTTCATTCTCCATTCCCCACACTCCATTTCCCATTCTTCATTCTTCATTCTCTATTCTCCATTGGATATTTAAAGATTGAACAAGATTTTTTTTCAATGTCTTGGCTTCCTTTACTTTTTCGTTTTTGTATCTGTTTTAATTAAAAAAAAAACCCGCAACTCTCCCTCTGTGTTTTCAGTGGTAAATTTCGTGGAAAATATAAAGGATGGGATTGAAATGTGCCATTCAATTTCGTAAGTTCAGAGGCTTGTAGCGCTGTTGATATGTCGAGTAAGAACAATTTGTTAGTTTCTAAAAATAAAAAAAGGCAACAAATTCAGAGCTGGCCGATTTAAATGCGCTCCTAACCGCCCAGAAGAATATGATAAGGTTCCTGGACATTTAAGACGCAGTCTCTTTAGGAGTGGTTCGATGCATTTCGCTTTGAAAATCGATTTCTTCCAAACTTTACCCTTGATTTTTTTTAGTCTAAAAGAACTGAAGTAATCAAAAAACCACCTTGGTTTTCCGAAATATCGAAAAATCGCTTCAGCGCTCAACAGATAATTTTTCATAGCACCAATCGTTTTTAAAAAATGAATTTCAACCTTGAAATATCCGTTTCGTGATAACAACCCCAAACCAAGTTTACATACAAAATTTTAGCCAAATCGGTGAACCTCCCTGTCCGGCCTGATCCGACATTTATGAACTATCGGTCTTGGAGCTTTTTGCGATTTTCCGAAAACTCACAGGCACTCGCAGGAAGTACTTTGACAAAAATGTTTGGAACACTTGTCTCATAGTGACACTTTGACTAAATTTCGATCAAATCTGAGCAGCCGAATTCACGTTTTCAAATATATAAATGTTCCCACTTCCTCGAAAAAGGGGAGGGGTCTTTTAAACATTTTTACAAAGATTGTAGGTGTCAATGTACTGGAGAAGAAAATAATGTTTTTTAGCCGGCGAAAAAAGTCCTCATCATATTTTATTCTAAGCGATGTTAACGAGATCTATCTGCGCACACACACACACACACACACACACAAATAAAATTAACTTTGTTTGTGAATTGAAGTTGATCTACGCTGGATTGTATTTAGACTTTTTCCATACCTGACCTGTGATCACTGCACTGAACTGGGGTCCTGTGACATTCCAATGACGTCATTGCTTGAAGGTCACGTGGTGTGTACATCGAAGACTGCCTCGAATTGTTGGTGACTTGGCTGTTTTCTGTTTGGGAAGGTTTTTTTTCTGTTTGAGAGAGAATTTACCGATTGTGACTTATTGACCAGAAGGTAAGATTTTTTAAGACATCTTCGTTAGGTTTTTACAGTGATCTGGCGGTATTCGCTCTAAATTACGAAGTTGAGTATAGTGTATAAATTGAGTAGCCATGTTGGACGATTGCAAGGGTCACGTCAACTTTTAGAAACTATCCTTTTGATTTGCAACAGATGATAACATATAACACCCATTAGAAGAAAACGTTCTGATCTCCTTTGTTTTTGAGCCTTTTAATATTTAAATCTCGACTAAAAAGTATCCCAGCCGCCGACTAATATTCTAAAAGTATGACTGCTGTAGAATTAAATTTTTGGATTTCCTAGGAAGTTTGCATAGTTTCTCGTCATTCTCATGTAATACATCATGGATGGATGATGATACCTCGTGATTTTCTGCTTCTTTTGATTTCATTAAGGCGTTTGTCAACTATGAATGTGATAACTTTCGCATATCCTTCAGGTTTTCATGTTTCAATCAACCAGATGTGAGTTGAAGTCGATGGACAGCAGCAGAGAATCCTGATTTTCAATTTTTTTTTACCTGCGTGTGTTGTCTTTGGTAAGATTTAGTTTTATCTTTTTTCGCAGTAATTAAATCATGAAAAAGAACGGAATCTATATAGACTCGCTAGACTAGCATATGACGTTACGTGAATGGCATATGATTAAACCACATAACAGATCGATAATAGTAAGTTACGAAGGTACCTTCGAATGACCTGCACACTGTCGCGCTATAAACACAGTTGAAAATAAGAAATCCTGTTTCGAGTTTACACTTGTCTATTTCAGTAAATCTAAAATCTCAGTCTGATCACGTTCATGCTCGTAAACGTTAAACTTTGCTTCCACTTAACTTTAAGTAGATCGCCCTAGATAGACACGTCTGGGCCGAACTTCCTTGTTAGACACGGTAGTCCCCAATATTTATTATTCCTTATGAGTGCATCAGTACCTCCTGAATAGTGCTGTCTACGAATTTTTAACTAACCTATTAAAAACAAGGGAAGTGTTTTGTTGTTGTAACATATAAATAAACCTTGTGAAAGCTTAGTTCAACTGAAGCGTACATGTTAACGCATAGTATTTGTTAGTTACGTAGGTGTTCATCCTCAAAGACTTTCTAACAGTATATTACTGTAAAGTGATAGTATTTCGTCTCAGGCAACTGTCATCTTTTGCAAATATATTTTGTCCACAATTGTTACCAGTGAAACAAATACAGTAATCTTATTTTTTATCTCTCTGCAACAAGGAAATAAAAAATATGTCTGGATAAGATGAATGATATTCCTTATGGAAACATATCCTAATGAAGTGGCTTGCATATTGGGTGAAATGTCATTCATTGACTGTTGTGTTTTCATACTGTTATTGTTATGATTTATTATTTAATGTGGATGGGATAACCAGTCCATCAGTGGCTGCTCACACCATTTCATATTTCTCTATACTGGTAACAATTATAATGACCCTTGCTATTATGCTAATCAGTGCTCAAGATGTTCCTGATCAAGATTAGAATTATTTTCAGAATTTGTCACACTATTTTTGTTTGTGTTGTCAAAGTAAAAGCTTTTACAAGGCAAAAAAGTTTTTGAAATGTGTAATAAACTAAGAGACATACAGTTGCACAGGAGAAATTTTAGTCATTTTCATTTTCAATGGTATCCTTGTAGAATGTATTATGCAATATATTTTACAGTTGGATTGTGCTTTGTAATAAGTAAACTACTTAGAAAAACGTTAAAATCACTATCTCGTAGCAATGTAACAGTACTGATCCAACTGTACATTTAAGACATGTCAAATTACTTCAATATGGCTCTGGTATGAGGAATTTGCAACACTTTTTGCTGTTTAGTTTCAATATCGTTCATTTTATGACAATTGATGTTTTGATACCTTCCTGTAGAGTTCAGACAGAAGTGTCATGGTTGACAGTCCTACACAGCCAAATTCTGCAAGGTAAGATATTTCAAGTAGGGGAAGTTTTGTGGTGTCTGTTTAGCTCTCAACTAGTTGCATTAATTTTCTTTTTGGAGAAAACAATTTATCATAGCATTTCTTCCTGTGCTTGTAACTCTAAAGCGAGTTTGGTTTCATTGCATTGCACTCAGCTCATCAAGATTAGTCAAAGTTTGGATTGACTCTCCACTAGAGATTCAGAGCCCCCCTAATTTTACATGATAAATATTTTGTGTATTACCATGGTAATATCTTGCAGAAGAGAGAAACTATTATTGTTTTGGAAACTGTTCTTGTGAACAGTTCTGCATTGTTTAGAGTTCTTACCTGCAAGTAATAATTGTCAGTCAGTCAGTCTTGCAGAAAGTGTGATAGTCAACTAAAATCTTGCAAAGAATACAAACAGAGACAACACAAACATATTTAAATTATATTTAATTGCCAGAATGAAAACTACTTTTACTGATATTTTTGGTTTTTTTCTGCCCATTGGTTTGCAGTCAGCTTTCACAACTCAAGTTCACAAGTAAGTTTCAGACTTGAAAAAATGTTTTTTGTTATTAATTATTTTGTTGGTCTGTATACATCTTGCTTGATCTGTAGATCTAGTCAAGACTGAAAGCATTTCTCTCTCCCTGAACAGTTCTTGTTTTTTTTAGTTATTTTCTGTTTGATTTAAAAGCTTGCATGTATTTAATTTCAAGCATGTTGCTATTTGAACAGCAAATAAGAAATTAGGTAGTCCAAGTGTTGAAGACTTTTAACATGTGATTTAACAATAAACAAACTAACCCACTCACTGACTTAAAAAATGTAAAATGAACACAAAATTTTCATACAGCATGCTTTGTGTAGTGTTTGAATTTGTCAATCTTTTAACAGCCAGCATATGCCTTTATTTGCTGTAGAACCTTCATACCAGTAGGTCCCTTACCATTGTTGTTTTGATGTTGTTCTTTCTATATAGTCTTGAAGGCTACACTTAAGGAGCAGCCAGGATGGTTCAGTAAGTTAATAAATACTGTCATTAAACTTTATAACATAGGCAGTGAATTTTTATATACAGATTCAGTTCTTTGAGCATGCTTCATACTCTTATTATGTATGTTGGTAACTCAATTTTGTGTACCGAAGTGTAGCAGAGGCAATATCTTGTTATACAAAGTTAAATTATGAAAGTGAAAAAAAACCTGTTTATATGCCATCTTTAAGTTCATAGAGATATGAAGCATATGGGAAGTTAAGAGAGCACTCAACAAGTTATTGTTGCTTTCAGATTTGTGTTGCTAACCAGTCAACTCGCCGACGGACCAACTCCGTGATGTTTACTTCGCTTTATTCGCCTTGAGATCCTTATACACTTTGTTGCAAATAAAAAGAAATGCTTTTTACTAAAGATCTCGTCTAGAAAGCCAAGTTTTCGTTAAAAAATCTGAGCGATTGACATGATGAGTCTTTACGGTGTTGTTGTCGCACAATAACTCGTTCGCGTCTTAAGCTGTTATAGTCATTGGTGATGTTCACCAATGTTCACCAATATTTAAGCTTCTGTTAGATGTTCACCAGTGTTTTTTTACTAAATATCGTTTACCTATCTGTATGTTTAACTTCTAATAAGTTGTATTGGATTGACGACCAACTTGCCGACGTCTGTACTCGATTTTATACGTCTGCGAGTTGGCGTCGGCGAGTTGGTCCGTCGGCAAGTTGACCGTAATTCTTTGTGTTTAGTAGCTTGAAGGATCTTTGTGAGACTTCTTTGTGCTTCATGTCTCAATGAAGTTATGTTGACTGAATCAAATGTTAAAAATGCGACTGTTTCAAAACTGAAACCTCTTTGATATGTTGTTTTGATAGGCAAAGGAGATCCTTATGTGAAACTTACTGTTGATGGCAAACAACCCTCAAAGAAAACAGAAGCTGTTCGCAAAACATGGGAACCCAAGTGGGATGATGAGTTTACAGTGTGAGTAATAATACATATCAATAAACTGTTTTAGTTTAAGACTAGTTACAGTTGAAACATCATTATGATAAATGCAGAGAACAGTAAATTTTGCATTAAACCTGAATGAAATACATTTTAGCTACTTCACTACAGTTAAGTGTCTATTTTATCATGATAAATAGCACCCAGAAGTCAGAATGATATAGTTGAACTGAACACTGTGAATGATTTGTGTAAAAAAAATTTATTATCACCTTTAGCCTTGTTACACCATACAGTCTTTTGGAATTGGAAGTCAATAACAAATTTGCACTGAAGAGTGATGTACCTCTAGGATCAGCAAAGATCCTATTGAATGATGTTCTACATTCAAATAATGGCAAATGTGAGTCTCTCTTTCTTTTATCATTATTTTGCATACAACAGAGAGCACTTTGATTTTTTCAGAAATCCAGAATTACTTGTTAAGACAAGTTGTGGAGAGAACAATTTGCTACTGACAAAGTGGTTGAATATTGAGAAAATAACTCATCGACCTGTCATGTAACCAGAATTGTCATGTCTATAAAACTCTTGAGTCTTAAGAATCAATAAATATCACTCTGCTCATTATTGCGGTTTTCTCTATAGAACTATGGATAGTTTGGGAGACAGGAATCATGCAGAATTGTTTAAACTACAGAATTTTTGACTATTCAATTTGACTTTAGATGTTATAGTAGAGCTAAAGAATTCACTGTCAGTGTTCATTATTCATTATGTTGCCTGACACCTACAAGAGTTTAAACATTTTTTTTTAAGTAACTGAACAGAGTGAAATAGGTGATCTATTCTTTTAAATTTTTAATTGTCTTTATTGTGTTATGATCCTTACATTTCTTCCCTAACCCCTTTAACTCCGTAAGTGATCAGGAAATAATTTCTCCTTACAATACCAATACAATATCAAGCAGACCAGTGATGAGAATAACGAAAAAATATCAGCAAGTGGATGATTTTTGTAGATCCAATATCAAGTTCTCAGAACTAACATTGCAAAAATTGTACAGCAGACAGTGAGGAGAATTACTAATGAGAATAAGGAAGTGAAGGGGTTTAGTAAACATGATTGGTATTTATAGCAGATGTTACTGTGTTGATTTATTGCACAGACAGCTAAAGGACAGGGGCAAAATTTCCATTTGCCGCTGGTATCAATTGTATCATCCTAAATATCTCTGTTGTTTTCTTGACTTTGTTGTTATAGTGAACAATCATAATTTAAAAGTGAATATTATCTTGGACAAGAATGGTACTCCTTGTCAAACTGGTGTCCTGGAAGTCATACTTGATGGTATGAGTGTGAACATGAGACATTTTCCCCGACGGGTACCTGCACAAACACCAACACCTGTAGCCAATGGGCCAGCAACTGCTCCAAGGACTGGATCACAAAATAGTACCACTCCATCCAGACAGTCACATCCGTAAGAATCAACCTTCTTCTTTGTTCATATAATGATGTTACCAGTGGTTATTTTTGTGCAATAAGTTTGTAGAGTCCATTGTCTCTTAGGAAGTACCTTATGACTAAAACAAACTTTAAATTCATGTGCTTTTTTTCAGTAGTTCTTTGCTAAATAAAGTAAGATATAACTTTTGATTTACATGTAAATTTGTGGAAAATTCGGATTGACAACATTGACAACATTGACAACAGAATTTGTAATATCAGAGGATATTATTTCTCATCCAACATTTTTTGAGAGTGCAAGGTTTTGTGTTACAGGAAGCCTGCTGATGGAGATGTCCAGAGAAGACATAGTAGACAATCATCAGGACGTCAGAGACCTGTTAGTACAGGAGCATTAGCAGCTACTACAGCCACAAGCACTCCTCAGAATTCATCCCCAGCAGTGAGCAGCAGAAATGGTGTTTCCACATCAACTCCTTCAGTTCCACACCAACTTCATCATGGACCATCACCACCACCACCACAAGGTAAGGCTACATCACATGGAAGTGCACAGGAGATATGTCATGTAATTTCCCAGGAATTGTGTTGTTTTTCAGCCTCTTAGAATCAGGGAAAAATAAGAGTTCAGGGTAGAAGGGTCTTAAGTATCTGGATTACAATAACATTGGAAAAGTGAAAAAAGACCCAAACTGAGCCTTACCTCTCCACAGTGTTTTATGTGTGGTAGTGAATGATGAATCCTCAAGGGTTAACATTTGTCATGCACATTTACAGTCTTGCACAATGAACTTTGGTGAATCATTTTTGAAAAAACTCTCATTAATCAATGAGAGATCGACTTTCGACAAGTTAGAGGGAGTTTCACATCTGCTTATTTACAGCAACTAGAGGAGAACACAAGACCTTTCAATACAATGTGAATGCAAGTAATTCAAGAGCATCTTGAAGTTCATTCCTCTCTTGTGATCCTTCTGAGGGTGTCTTACTATCTGTCAACTTGACTAAAGAGTATTTTGTTCTTATTTTAGCTGGAAGTAATTCAAATGCTGTACAGTCAAGACAGAGGCAAGGAAATGAGGATCCATTGCCTCCTGGGTAAGTTGAGGCAGATCATCCTTCTCTAAATCTCCCTGAGCTTCTGTACCATTCGTATTTTCTAGAGCAAAAAGTGTGGTCTTTAACACTTCTTTGTGTAACAAAAATCAACTTTCAGTGGTTTTGGGTGACTTGGTGATCATGTTACATGTAAATTGCAGACAAAAACTGTAGAGGCAAATAATTCTTTCTGGTCCTGCTTAAGGTTTACCCTAAGGAGTCTTAATACATCAAAAATGGAACAAAAAAAATAATTGCATTGAGGTCAGCAAAGCTGTTTCCCTTGTCACCCCCTTTCCTCACCCAATGTCCTTGTCCCTTTTCTATTTTCTCAAAGATAATACCACTGGAAAAAAAACTTTTTAAGAATGAAAAGGGGAAGTTACAAGTAGTTGTAAGTTCATGATTTTAGACGCAAAAACTCACACCCGTGGAGCTCAAGCATACATGGACATGAAGGAGTACAAAAATGAAACTGGTATGAAAATATTTAACCCAAAGAAAAATTTTAAGGACAGTAAATGGATATTTTTGGTTGGTCATCTGTAAGGGGTGCTGTGTCCTATTACAGTGTATGTTATGCTTTATGAAACATGTAACAGTTTAAGAACATAGAGGTATCTTTGACAATCTGTACTGTACCATTCTGTGTTTCAGGTGGGAGCAGCGTGTTGATCCCCACAGCAGAATATACTACGTAGATCACAATACAAGGACAACTGCTTGGGAGAGACCTCAGCCTCTGCCCTCAGGGTATGTGCCCCCTTAACACTTCAACATGAGATTACATAAAGGTCTCTGATTGCTATCTTGCAGGAAGTAACAGTTTTTCTGCAAGAATTTCATGGGCCAAGTGATATTAAACTTAATATTGAGGAATACAAAAATCAATTGGTTTATTACTGGCCAGAAGCTCAAGAGAAGATGTAACAGTAGCAGTGCATTATCCAATCACAGATCATGAAATATGAGCTCTTTCATGGTCCCCTCATTCATAAGGAAAGATAAGTGGTTAGAAGTGTATGTTTCTCAATAGTTCTTGAAAGTTATAATGTCAAAAATTGTAGCAGGGCTTACCAGCACTTGACATAGTAGCATCAATCATTAACAAGATCATTTCCCCACAATAATTCATTTGTATAGCCATTGTCTGCTTCCCAATGTAGTCTGCTAATGAAGAACTCTTAAGTTTCTTAACAGAGCATCATGTGATTTCTTCCAGCTGGGAGCGTCGAACAGACTCGCGTGGAAGAACCTATTACGTTGATCACAACACAAGAACAACCACATGGCAACGACCAACTGCAGAAACTGTCAGAAACTTTGAAAATTGGCAGATGCAGAATAGAGCTTTACTGAACACAGAGAGGCAGAATTTCCAACAGAGATTTCTTCTTCCAGTATGTGTATCATAATAAATCTATACATGTGGAATGCCCAATAAATCAATTTATCTTTATTGCATGAAACCTCTGTCCCAAGTGGGCTTTTTTTTCTGATTTCCAAAGGGGAAATAAGTTACCTGTTATAACTTACAACTGTTCATTTGCCTAAATTGTAAACGTTTTTGACTGTTTTATAATGCATATTTCTTTGTACAGAACTCATAAACATTTGCTTTTGTGCAAAATCACTTTCACTTGTATCTTATAGACGACCTGTGTACCAGAAACAGATCCTCTTGGACCCCTCCCAGCTGGCTGGGGTAAGTTAAGTTTGTTGTGTCTTTAGCATGCACTTGATAGCTATATACATGTATGGCTCTTAACTAAACATTTTGTCTTCAATCACAGAGAAGAGAGTGGAACCCAATGGACGAGTTTATTTTGTAAACCATAACACAAGAGCTACTCAATGGGAAGATCCTCGCACTCAAGTGTGAGTAGTCAAATTTTATTTATATATTTATTTATTTATTTATTTGTTAGCAATACTTATGCAGGTTGGCCTTCAGCTTCAGGTTGGTTTGAATGGGAGTCTTTACCAAGAACAGTAAATAACGTTTTTGTGTACACCTTTTAAGGAAGAGATGTTGATTGTTTGTTATTTTTTTTTCCTTGATCAGGATGGTTGGTTCAGACACACCACTCCCCAGTGGCTGGGAGATGAGATACACAAATGAAGGAATTCCTTACTTTGTGGACCACAACACACGTACAACAACATTCAGTGATCCTAGAACAGGTGTTGCACTCAAGTGAGTAAACACTTTATAGGTGGTTATCACAAAAGGAAGAATTATGAAACATATGCAGGTGTACCTGTGCAAATATCATAGATAGATTTTTAAATAATAATACACTGTTGAAAAGATAAAATTATTTACTATCAGTCAATGCTATTATACCCTACGTTGTTGCAAGTTTTATTCTCTCTTTTTGCACCACAAGCACATTGAATTTAAATTTAAACTTACATGTAGGTACCAGTAACTTTAAATGAAAAGCCATTTTGTAACTTTGACTGCTTTGCTACTGCTAATCACATGCAAGCTAACCTATTGGAGCCCATGAAAAGCACTCTTTACTTATGTTGCATATCCTTGATATTATTATTATCACTTTAAGTTTTTGGTAATAGAGTGTCATCAGTTATGGTGGTATATTATTATTATTATTATTATTATTATTATTATAATAATTATTATTATAACTATTATTATTGTTGTTGTTGTTATTGTTGTTTATTCTGTTACTGTATGTTATTTCTTTTCTAGTCTAAAAGGTGCAGCCGGTGGTCCAGCCTATGAAAGAAGCTTCAGATGGAAGCTTGGACAGTTCAGACACCTTTGTCAGGTTGTCTTTTGTGTAGTTGATGTTGTCTTTATGTTATTAATGTCTAATTTCCTGTGTGGTAATTGCCACTCCAGTCCTTAGATAGTAGACTAGGGTGAAGTAATGAATGTCTGTCTTTTAATTGATTGAATTTTTCCCTTTTTGTAGTCAAATGCTCTTCCAAGTCACATTAAAATCACAGTAAACAGAACCAACATCTTTGAAGACTCATTTCAGCAGGTTGGTGATGTTTGAAAATTCTACTCGTAAGGTGTTGAAAAGTTATGTTTTGTTGGGAGTTCCTAACCATGCAAAAAAAATTATTTTCATGACTGAATAAATGAATAGGAAGTTTCCAGTGGTCACTTACATTTATTTATACATTCAGATGATTACTACTCATGCTTTTAAATCTTGTGAATGATGCAAGTCTGAACAAATCTTACAGAAACCTGCTACTAAGAAATCTGTCAGCTTTCCTCACCACTCACCTCTATGTAACTATGGTGGAATAAAGCAATAATGACCTTTGATGCAACAAAATATAACACTGTAAGACAATTTGGAAGGAGATGAGCAGTCTTTCAGAAGTCACAAAGCTTTTCTCCACTCACCTCTTCATTTTCTCTTCATGTAATGATTATTACTGACATGCTGAATATTTTGAAATGCTTCAATATTAATTTCAATTGTTTTTTTATATCAGGTGATGCGGTACCCACCTCATGATTTGCGACGCAGGCTTTATATCATATTTAAAGGAGAAGAAGGGTTGGATTATGGTGGTGTTGCAAGGTTTGGAAATAGTACAGTTGTATAATATATGCAGCTAATTGCAATTTAAGGGAGTTAACAACAAAGAGCATTAGTGTTCTCTAGTAGTCAGCGTTTTTTTTAATAATTATGCACATGCATCGGAATTCATTTGAGGTATTCTTGTGTGTGCTTTGAGTGTTAACTTGCAGCATTGTGAGGAGTGCCAGTTCATCACCCAGGCAGTTTTCCCCACCCATCCCCTCTCTCTTTCCACTGTTTATTCAGTGTGACAGGTGCCTGTTTCCCTTTCCTATGTGGGGGCTCATGGCTGGGTTGCTAGGATTTGCCACCCATGGGAGAAGTCTCCATCTAGGAGCTGGTTGCCAGTAGTAGAAGCTCCTGGATGTTTCAGACACTCAACCTCCACTTCGTGATGCAGTTGTTAATGTCAGTTATTATTTTAAGTTTTTAATGTATCAGAGTTTGATGGTAAATGATGCTTTCCTATTCCACAGGGAGTGGTTCTTCCTTCTTTCACATGAAGTGCTCAACCCAATGTACTGTTTGTTCGAATATGCCAACAAGAGCAACTACAGTCTTCAGATCAACCCAGGTATGCTATGTTGACATATTCAAGTACAGTAAACACCTGTATAAAAACAGCCTTTAGTTGAGTAGGATTGTAAGGGCCACATGTGAGATTGTAGTTTACTTTTTTTGTTGTTTGGCAACAGTTATGTCTCCCCAGAGGAAGTTTAGGAGCTACTGAACAACATTATAGCTAGCCTGACTTGTAACTGTTGACAAGGAACCCAAAATGAAAAGAGCCTGTTTAGCCTGACTTTATGGAATCTGGGTTCTTGCATTTGTATGTGTGGGTGTTGACTGTGTTTTTAATGCAAAATAGAATAGTGTCATGCTGGCACTGTCAGAAAACTTTTGAGATACATCTATAATCACAATGCAAAGGAGAAAATACAATCTTGGACAGGATTTGAACAGCCATTAATTTGTGAAACCAACAAAAAGCAGTGATGTATTTTCAAGGCTATAGGTCTTGATTATTTCCGTCAGGTATAATTAATATTGTATCATTCATTTTTGTAGTAAATAAGTAATACTTTTTTTTTTCCAGCATCATATGTGAATCCTGATCACTTGCAGTACTTTAGGTTTATTGGCCGTTTAATAGCAATGGTAAGTTAGATGGGAGTATTGCGTTTTTTGCCAGACTTTTCTCTGTGAATGCTTCATGCAGGGTAATGACATACAGGGCACTGGACATGTAAGGTGATGCAACAGCCAGTTAATAGGAGCCTGTGACAAAAAAACCTGTCACAAACGTTTAAAATGATAAAAACTACATCCAAAGAAACAACTTTGAGAAATGTGATAACCTTGTTATGAAACTGTACTGCAAGGGAATTTAGTTCCTTTGGATGCGTTTGAAAATGACCCATACAAATGGGATATGAAGTATTGACTGGAAGCATATTTCAGCAAAGTCCAAACAGTGAGATGCTCAAATGAATGTTTTTTTTTTTTGTTTTGTTTTGTTTTGTTTTTTGCAGGCTCTTTATCATGGGAAATTCATTGACCGAGGATTTACTCTTCCTTTCTACAAAAGAATGTTAAATAAGAAGCAAACCATGAAAGACTTGGAGTCTATCGATCCTGAGTTTTACAACTCCCTATTATGGATCAAGTATGTTTTTCAAGAACTGTTACTTTTTTGTTATTTACATAAAAACACACACAACAAAGCCAAGCCCCTTTGGTATTTTTGGTTGCTTTTTTCATACACTGGCCCATGCAGGCTGAGGTGACCTGGATGCTGCAGAGAAAATTTGAAAATAAAAATGTCAGAGAAGTGTAAAACTTGTCTGTTTTGTTCATTGTGAGATGTAGGTAGAAATTGTCATAACCTAAATTGAACCTTTGGGGGTAGAAGCAGCATGAAGAGGCACAAAATGGATTGACAGAACCTGGAAATCAATTTGCAACACATTTTGATTTCATTCATTCATTGGCAGATGTATGAAAAACTATTTAAGTTGCGATGAAAACTTATGATTTGTGCACCAAAATTACTTCTGATGGAATAAAGGTGGCTATCTGCATTGCAGGGTTTCCCACCTATTGTATGGCACAAAACAGATGTCTTCATCAACATTTTGAAAACTTCATTTCATCATTCAAACATCATGCCATTTTGCTCTTTTGTCTTACAGGGATAATAATATTGAAGAATGTGGTCTGGACATGGAATTTGCAGTAGACATGGAGCTTCTGGGCAAAATTACTTCACATGACTTGAAACCTAATGGCTCTAATATAAAAGTCACTGAGGAAAACAAAGAGGAATACTTGTCGTAAGTGTGATCTTTTTTCACATTTATTCAGACTTTGTAAGTTGAAATTTTTTCATCCTTAAATCATCTTTAGTTCTTGAAGTGGCTGAATGTGATTTCTGTTCTATGATTACCTAATACCACAAATTAATGTAGCTGCTAAAGCTACATGCTTATCTTTCTGATAGCCCCTTGTTCGGAAGAAGTAGTTGAGCCAGAGATTGATTCACCTTTCCAAGCTGCCCATATGCTTTCAGTGCACACCACTCTGTAGACAAAGTTGAGCTAAATGCTGCCACATGCATTGTATACTTAAATAATAGGCATCGTTCAAAATGTTTTATTCATGATCCCTTGTTTCTCTTTCTTAAGGCTTATGACTCAGTGGCGCTTCAATCGTGGAATTGAGGAGCAAACTAAGGCTTTCTTAGATGGATTTAATGAAGTTGTTCCTCTTTACTGGTTGCAGTACTTTGATGAAAAAGAAATGGAGGTATTTGTATGACCTGATAACAGTAGAGAAGAAGTATAATAGCTAAAGGAACAGTCTGTTCTGCTTTTATTACTGGCTAATCATGAGCAAGGAATGTATACATTTGTTTCAAAAAGTTAGTAGTATGTCAATTCATCTTTGAATGTGATCTTTTTTCAGTTGATGCTTTGTGGAATGCAAGAGATTGATGTTGATGACTGGCAGGCAAACTCTGTGTATCGTCATTACACCAGGAACAGCAAACAAGTGACCTGGTTCTGGCAGGTGTGTGGCTTATATTTAACTGGGCTCTCAACTTGAAAACAAGGCAGAATGTGACATGATATATATGACAATGTGTGAGAACATTCCTTGAATCTCCAGCAGGATCTGTGTTTTGCTCTTGCTCATTCATATGAAAGCACTTGATTTCACTGACTACTTGCTACAGAAACATAATTTTCCTAGACCAAGAAAGAGACATGAATAGTATCCGTATAAATCAAATAAATTCATGAGAACAGCCACCTGGAATATTACAGATCATGTTTCACTGTTAAGGAAATAACTATCAATTGAAAGTGCTTTTGTTGAGTGACTGTTCTGTGCTGTTGGGTCTTCATAATATGATATTCAGTTAGAAGTCCTAGTTAAAAGCAAATTACAGTATGATGATGTCACATGGCACGTTTCAATTTTCAGGCTGTACGTTCCTTTGACAATGAACAAAGAACCAGATTGTTACAGTTTGTCACAGGCACATGTCGTCTCCCTGTAGGAGGTTTTGCTGAGCTCATGGGTTTGTATAGTTTCTTATTTACATTTTCAACCATTTTTTTTATTTTTACAATACCTTGGCTGTTTTCCTCAGCAAAAGTCCTCCTCACTTGGACAAGAATTTTTACAGAAAGTGGCTTTCAAATACACGTAATTTTTTGTAGGGATTACTCCCCAATAACCTTGATGTACATATCTATCAAGTGAAACATTCATTTATGATTTCATAGTTTAATGAAATACATTATAAGTAATAAACATTGGATAATAGTTTTGCTGGACAGAGTTCATGTAAACTTTTAAATGGTACTTATTTTTCTGAAAATAAGGTAAATAGCAAGGTTGAGCTATTCTAACATGTAGTTTTGCTGAAGGCTTTGATGTATCTGTGAAAATCACAGATACACCTCAAGTCCTTTTGTGCAGTAGTGAAACTGGAGTGAACTTTGTTGTAATTCTGTGGTTTTGGTGATTTATTTTTTTTGTGCTGTGGCTGATACAGGGAGCAATGGACCACAGAAATTTTGTATAGAGAAAGTTGGCAAAGACACGTGGCTTCCAAGAAGTCATACTTGGTGAGTTTTCTTTAATAATTGAATTATTGACACCTGAGTTTCATCACTTTGAACAAAATGAATTATACCTGTATGTATGCTTGCCCATCATCCAAAGCTTCTGCTCTCTTTTTGTTCTATTGTGTTAGACTTTGCCAAATATTAAAACAAATGGATTTTCCTGTTATTATTAGAAAATAAATGGATTTTCTGATTCAGTCACAGATTATTAATTTTTTAAGTCCAAAGCACAAGTTATATGGTCTATTTTCTGAAACTTCTTTTTGTGATAATTTTCAACCATTCCTTCATGTGTTATGGTAATGTCATAATTTGTTTCTCTTTTTTTGTCTTTTTTTTTAGCTTTAACCGCTTGGATCTGCCACCATACAAGAGCTATGAACAATTAGTTGAAAAGTTGACTTTTGCAATCGAGGAAACTGAAGGATTTGCTCAAGAGTAATGCTAATTAAAAGCTTTGTACAACAATCATTTTGTATTCTATTGGATTATTTTGTCACTCATTCATTATAACATGCAAGTCTGGTTCAGTTTAAAATGACATGACAGGAAGAAGTTGAACTTTTCTGAAATTCATTTAGGTTTAACAATTATATCTCCGTGGTGTTAACATTAGTGGTAAGATAGAGTGATGAATTATTCAGGGAGTATCTTTTTCAACAACAAAATACTTGACTCTGATTCAAGCAGCTCTTTGTGGTTAATTAAAGATGTGAGTCACCTCACCTACTGTGCCTCACATCAGCAAAAGAAAAAGGTAAGCAAAGGTCAGAAATTGGTTATTGTTGCTTTTTCAGATGTGCCTGATAGGCTAAAAGTTTCAATCACCCTCTCAGTTTTTGAAGACTCTCTTTACTTAGATAGCTAATTGCTGGTTTAGAAATCTGTTTGAATCAAGCATTTTGTTTTTGACACAATAAGGATTATCTGATAGGTTGTCATAATAGAATGGATCACAGGTAGCCCAAGCTCCAGTTGTGAGATGATCATCTTGCAAAATAAGAGTCGTGGCAAAATTAAAAGAGTTTGTACATGGGAATATTTATGACCACTCAAATTAAAAAAAATACGGTCAAATTCTCGATAAAAATACCTCACCTTAATTTCATGATGCAGTTCTTGTTATCTGACAGCTTACTTTGTTGAAAAGAACCCATTTTAGTAAGTTATCCATTTCTAGGGTTTCTCTTATGTAGTAAACCTAGAAATGGATAACTTGCTTAAATGGGTTCTTTTCAACATAGTAAGTGCTCAGACAACAAGCAATGCACTATGAAGGTAAGATGAGGTATCTTTATTGAGAATTTGACTGTATTTTTTTATTCCTAAGAGGGGTCATAGATATTCCCATACAAACTCTTACAATTTTGCCATGACTCTTATTTCACAAGATATCACAGCTGAAGCTTGGGCTGCCTGTGAAGGGTAAGCTTAAGTGGGACAAAGTGGAATATCACCTTTCTTACAGGCCACCATGTGTTGTGTGGTGCATTTTTCTTGTCAAATTACACATTATTTGTAGAGTGTGATAACCTGGACTGCCATTTTTAACTGGACTTAAAGGCTTTTAATATAAATACTATACTGGCCATATTTTTAACAACTGAATGCTGGATATGGCTGAAATGGTGGTGCCACTTGTGTGAATAAAAGAGATAAAAATTAAGTAAAGTGTTGTGAGGGATGAGTATTGTATCATTTATTTGAGATTGAATTACACAGACTTCAAGTGATTGAGTTACAAACAATTGTAAGTTTTGACTAAATTTAGCTCCATCAACTCTCCACAACAATATTTTGTAAAGTACTAGCATCAATTGCTGTAATAATTAATTTGTAGTATTGAAATGCCGAGCGTTGTTGAGATTTGCTTCATGTGAAGATGGATATGTTGCTATTCAATGTATTACTGGTAAATCACAGGTGACCTGCCTTAAGTGGTTTAGAATATGGTTTAGGGGGGAAGGCTTAATTTATGAAATCCTTCCAAATGAAGATTTAAGCTTTGATTTGTTTCACAGCATGTGGCTGTTGTGTTGATGTTTGTATCACACAAAGGAAACCTTCAAGTTGAAAGGGTTTCACAAATAAAGCTCATCTTGATCTGTCATGAGGGTCCCTCTGATCTATGTTCCATTACTTTGTCCCGATGTACTTTCCAAATGCAACAAAGACTTGTAAGATGATTAAATCAGCTACTTATATTAAAGGTAAATTTCCTAAATTTGTTTTAAAATCTCTACTTCAATGTCTTCTGCTGCTTTCTTTTTTAAAGAGGGTTTCCCCATCACACACTTACCCATCAACAACATTTAGACACAGTTTTGGGTAACATATTAATTCTGCAATTGCTAGTAATTTATAACAGCAAAGGCAAACAAGAACATGAATGTGAATTAACATGCACCTGCCTGCATCAAGAATTGTCAACCATCCTTCCTGCATCCTAAGGCAGTAGATTAGAGTGAGCTTCTATGTGAAGCAACTGTTGGATGAAATTTTTGCTTCAATTGATTGTGTGAACCCTAGCCCTTTAAAAAAAACTTCTTAATCTGAAGAGAGCTTTCCACACATCTGATTTCAGGGTTCTTGAAGTGAGAATATTGGCCATTTAGAGAATGGTTGACTACCAAAATATTGAATCAAAAACAATGTCTGAAATCTGTAATTTCTTTGTACTTTGGTTATTGTTCGTTTCTTTGTACAATTCATAGAGACACATTACTAAGCCAGATAACCATCCACAATTCAAAATGGAGCTTTTTTTTCCTTATACCCTTATTCTGCAAAACCTACATTAACTAAGCTGTCAACTTGTATCAAGTGGTCAATCCCCCATTCCCCATTACAAAATCCATCTTCTATAGTCTGCCATCTACTGTCTATCATCTATCATCTGTGAACTCAAATGAACTCAACAGTGGTGAAAATCTAACTTGAAAAACATCCAAGGAGATACTTGTCAAATGTTAAACCACACTAGAACTTACAGATTCTAAACTTGTCAGAAAACATCTTTATTTCTTTTTCTCACAATTGTAATACTCCACAATTAATTGACTATGAAATATTTCCAAAAACGGAGATGTTAATGTTCTGTAACACTCTCAGCGTGGTAATTCTCAACTCAAAACAATGTCTAAGTCATTCCTTCCAAGTCTAAGTATTGCAACACACCCAGGGAAAAATAGAAGCACATAGTGCAGCACTCAACCTTCTTAATCACCATGATCACTATATGTTATGAGATTTGTCATGTCCTTCTGTAAAATTATATCTTTATGACAGGTTTACCACTCAAAATAATACTTTTCTTGATTCAAAGAGTGTCATCTACCTGTTTTTGTTCAGGAGTAGTATCAGCACTGTGCCCATGTCCTATTTTATGTTCAACACTTGGATGATGTTCATAATCATAGTCAATATGAACAAAGGCTCGTTCTACATCTGAGTAACTTTCTAACTTCCTTTGAAGTGATTCCCCAATGTCATGAGCTTCTTCAAGTGTCATGTTGGGTGGTAAGACAATATGGGCCTCTACAAGAAAATGGAAGCCAAAATGATATGCTCTTAATGTGTCAATAAACTGAATTCTTGTGTCATGATTCAAACAAACCCACAGAAGCTTTTGTAACATGGCTGGTTGAGCAGTATGGCCTGTCAGGCCACGTATCTGCTCCTTACCAGTTCTATACCACCCTATAACTATATAAAGACTTATCATGATAGCACCCAATGCATCAGCATTAGGCCATACTTTGTACCCAATGTAACCAAATCCTAAGGCAAAAGAGTTTGAAACTATGTCATTCCTATGATCTTGAGCTAAAACATCTGTTGAGGGTTTCTTTATTTGATGACAGTAAAGAAACATAGCCCCTTTAATGAAGACAGTTGCACCAATAATTACAATTGTGGGAGTTGAAATATCAGGATCAACTGTGTGTTCAATCATCTTTGTGATAGATGTGATTATCACTTGTATTGAAGCCACAGCCATTATGACTGATAAGACTATGATGCTGATTGGCTCCAGGCGGGTTTTTCCCACAGGGTATTTGTAGTAATCAGTGCCCTTAACAGCACGACTTGTATACCACACAACAACACCTGACACCAAATCTACAATGCTGTCTACCAAGCTAGAAAGGATGGACATAGAACCAGAAAGATATGAAGCAACAGCTTTAGCAATTATTAGGGCAGTGTTAAGGAACAAACTCAATTTCACTGCAGTTGACACTTTTTCAGACTGTTTATCTTCTTCAGAGCTGCTATTGAATGATGCGTCAGAGTCGTTTTCTTTGATCTGATCAAAAGTAATTTTTGTCTCTTCCATTTGCTTGTAGTATCGTCTCACATTTTTCCCAACTGATAAAAATCCTGATGTTCTTCTTGACTCTTTAATCCAAGGTCTCAACATAAACATTTCAGAGTCTTGGGTTTGTTTTCCATCTGATATAATATCATTACTTGGTGCAATTTCTTCAAGGGTAACAAAAGGTGATGGTGAACTTGGCATGACTTTTGTGTGTGTGTCAAGCTGCCAATCAGTGTTTGAACAATGCCATTCTAAGGCTTCAGGCCTCAAAAGGGTTGGACTTTCATCTCCCATTCTTTGTCTTTCACTGGAAGAAAGGTTTTCCCTTCTGCAAAATAAAACAAGTGACAAACGTAATTTTAAATCTGAAATTTCAGAGATTGAAGAAAAGTATTAGTAATTCAATGAAATATATTCTTCAAAAAGAAATGAAAAGCAATTTGAGAAGCTTGAAAACAAAACAAAAAAGGATGATAAATGATGGTAACTGAACTGTGTGGAGTGAAATTTAGAAAGGGAATCAAACTGAGTGGATTGCAATTTGGTCTGAAATCAGATGCATGATTTCAACATCAAACAAGTGCCCAGCACTTGTTTGTTCACAAGCAATTGGTTGTTGTAAAGCTCCCTAATTGCCCAGAAAAAAGATGTGATTTAGAGAAAAAGAATTGTGCCATTCGTGAATAAATCGCACCAATGAGAGACAATCAGATGAAAAGGATCACCAGTGATTTCAAAATGGGTGTAATGAATGGATAAATTATTGCTTGACAATTTTTTTTACCACTAATCACCGAGGGGTACTGGACAGTGACAGACTTACGTTGAAAGACCTTTAGATCTTTAGATATGAGGTGGTGTTTAAGTTTCAAACAGAGAGGGGATGGTAAGTCAGGCAAAAGAGGGAAAAACTTGATTATGATTTGCAAATTAAGCAAAACTCGCTTGGTTTAATTTTACACGGACGAAACTTAATTCCATCAACTGACAATGGTTACAGGTACCAACACGTGAAATTGAAACCAAGAATATATTTTTCTTAAGATTCAAGTTTGAAAAAAAAATTATAATGTACTTATGTACGCCAAGGAAACGAGAGGTAGCAAAAGGAGAGCATGATGAATGAGAATCTTTTTACAACATATTTACATTCAACTACGAAATTCCTCCTGCCACATTTCTCCTGTCTTTATGATGAACATTTTCTCAATCTTACCAGCTCTTAAGGGTCGTCAATTTGCGAAAGAGTCGTCATATTCCACAGGCTGCATCTACTTTCAATTTTGCTGATGTAGCAAACCTAGTGATTTGACTGAACCCACCAAATTTCGTTTATAGACCATTACGTAAACGTGGATGGATAGTATTACTCTGGTTGTGTAACAGACATAAGGTGTCATGTCTTGTAATAGTTCATTCAATGAGAATTCACCGTGCGGGGAGGGAATAGTCTTCTTTTTCACCTTCACTCAGCCCCTTGGTACAAATTTATTTCTCTCCCCAGTCTTTCGCTGTTGTAAATATCAAATATGCAATACGTAGCACCAGCTGTGCAAGTTGGACGGGTTGAGACGTGCTTGACTTTGGGAGGGAAAATCGAGTGAGTTATTTGGTGGAATTTATGGATAACGCCATTTCCTCAAATATATCCAATCGCGTGAAATCGATTCGTTGATTCATTTCAGATCAAGCCCACATTTGTGAGTGCAGTTCGTAATAGCTTTTGTTTGCAAATCGAGAAGGCAATTCAATTCTTAACTTTATATGCCGCAATCAATACTGAACTAGACCCTGTGAGCAGGGTAACTGGGATACCTGGATGGTACTGGATCCTTGGAATCCAGTGTAGTGATACTACGGGTGTCGGATTAGTATACTGAAATAGTGAGCTCAAGTCTGGCTAAGGGCATACACCTATTTCAAAACATAGGCATGCTATGCATGCAAGAGTTATTTTTTGTAGGGTGGGTGGTCTTGTGGTCTACATTCTTACAAAAGGAAAGAAGAGTATTAACGTGGAAAAGAACGAAAATGTCGAATTACCTCACACACAGGTATTTTGTGGTAGATTATGTGTGTTGTGCGAATAAAAGTAACCAAAAATAAACTGTATTGGTGCCACAGATACCTGTTAGTACAAAATGCAGTCAGCAGACCGGATACAAAATATAGACTGGAGACTGCAAAGTGGGTAAAAAATGCAGACTGAGAATCTGAAGAGTTTTTACGTCTGGTAAATAATAACATGTCATCTTACAGCTTACCGAGCGTCACGCAATCGCTTTTCCTCGATCAGCCTTCACGGTTATTTGCACTATTGTGGAAAATTCCTGGCCCATTTCTTGATGAAAATCGATCATAATATAATTTCAAGCCTTCAATATACTCTTCTTACTTTGTGCGCGAGTTGGTTTGTGTGATGTCTGTACAGATTTTACCAACGTAACAAGAGTAGATGATGTGAATAACAGTGATGGTAAAGCAAGCTTAAAACGGCAGAAATCACCAGAAACTACAACGGATACACAATTCGCGACTCAATCCAGTCCAAAATTACCGCTCAATAACATCTTTTAGTGTGGATTAGCCGCGAACAATACGACTTGTGTATGCGTCTGTAAGTATTTCGAGCGTTTGCGCTATAATGCATCAAGTAATCGTAATCAGAACACGTTGAAATACAAAACGACCGACAAAAGAGTTTTCTAAGCAAAAATCTCGTGTTCGTCATGTGACCCGGACCTGTCCGTGCATGATAACGTCAATCATATCAAGATAACACGTGATCAGCATGTGAACACCTTCACCCTCATTGGATCACAGTTAGTTGTCATGGTGTTGAGGGCCCAATGACCACTGGGTACTATTGCGCAATTTTCCCATTTTGTGGCGGAGGAAAAAAAAAAAAAAAAAAAAAAGACGACAAAAAAACAAAGGCATTTTATGACTGGGCTACCACAGGTATCCCAGTAATGATGATTATTAATTCACATTTTCATTGCAAAATTCATTCTTGCCTGTTGTCGAACGTGCGTTGTCATACTTCAAATATCGGTTTTCGTACCTGAAGACAAATCAATGATACGTACCCACATTAAAACAACTACTTCTCACGTTACCAATTTACATTAATTTGTGTTTTGGTAAAGAACTGCCGCCGGAGCTAGTTAAATGCGCAATAATTTACACCGCATTTGTTTGTAAAATATTCTCGTGCACGTGTAGTCGTCGTTTATTCTGCCTAAAAATATACTGAAGACGATGTACCTTGTAACGATGTACCTTGTGATTATGTTGTGTTAGTTGTGTCTTTTTTTTTACATTTTAATGCTCTGTTCGTTAAACTTTCTTTACACTTTATTTTTCTTTTCATTTTAACTGAGTGTTTCAAATAAAAGGGTCGACGAACTATTCAGTCAAAGTACAGAGAGCATCATGGGAAGACAAAGCGTTAGTGCTGTACGCCATCACGGTATCTTGTACAGATTCAAAGATGTTAATGACAAATTACGATTTTTATTGGTAGAGAGCAGTTGTATTTCGTGGATTACTGAAATTATGTGGTCGACTATGGACCGTTCATTGCCATCGTACCTTTGCTCTTTTATTCTCACGTTCATTTTCATTTATTTCCTGCAAGTCTTAATTTAATAGTCTCTAAGAGTCACGATAATCTTATGTAGTCAAGTGTTATGTGGGTCTCATATAATTCTCTTCTGTTTTGATTTTCTTGGTGTTGTTTCAAGCACTGTGGTTTCTCGTTGTCTTGGAGACTCCATGTGCTGCTAATACTTGACCTGGTATTGCACTTGGAAGAGCACTGAGTCCACAGCAATGTGACGACAATTTAGCATTGATTACGTTCCATATTTCTTGCGATACAGTGGGGGAGGTAACATCTCCACCATGGCTTGCCATGGTCTTTCCACAACTACTAAAGAACTGTCCTTTGTGAAACCTGCGAAGAGCAGAGGCTGAAAAACACGGAAACAGTACTAATGCATGAATAAAATACTCAAAAATATATCTCGTCCCTGATTGGTGAGCCATAAATGTAAAAATCATTTAAATGCGTGCTATAAAGAAATCCCTTGACAAGTTCCTTCCAAATTTTTTTCTTTTTTACTGTAACAATTATTGTATAAAGCGATCAAAGGAAACTCAAGATCCGATTTTCCAGAGCGTTGTTAATTAGTGTTTAGAGAAATGTGCACAGAGGATGTACTGTGTGGCGTTAGAAGGAGAATCTAGTGACAAAAAGTTACATAGAATGCTGGTCAATTTGGGGGTTTATGACCACTCGTGATGATTTGTGTTTAAAAAGTGTTTAAATTGCAAATATGTAAAAATTTAAAAAACTGGTGCCTGACCATCACGATACATTAATGCAATCGAGCAATTTCCTACACATATAGGTCAAGATACCGTTTTTTACTTGAAATAGAAGTGCAATTTTTTGGACAGTGATATGTACAACAAGTCCAAAATGACCACATCCACTGTCCTAGAAAGCCCGAACACGTTTCTGAGAAGAAATAATTTCCTATAAATGTGAAGAGACCTTAGAGTAATGTACAATTGACGACTTACCGAATATTTCCTACAGACTTTGAAGGCGGCCTGTTTCGTATCTTGTTCAGCGTCATCTCTAAATGTTGACTGCTTTCTTTTCTGTTGCACTAACTTGGTCTCGTATAAACAGACTCCTGTATCCGGTAACGGCTACAAATGAAACATTAAAAGGAACTTGAAACACATGGCAACAGAAAAATTTTCCATGGTCAGCAAATACAAAATAAGAATGAAGTGAGGAAATACCTCTCTAAGGTCGAGAAGAGTAAACATATTGTGATCTTGTAACAGCACAACTTCATGACATGAAGGATTAAATTGAATGTTTATCACTTGAGATCGTCGACTAGTCCATTGTCTAGGCAGCCCATGTTCTAGCGCTTGTCTCGACCATTTGGTTAACTTTCCACTGGATGGTTTGAAAAGATACACCTTCGAGAAAAATAAAAATCCTATAAGCTTCAGAACATTTCAGGAGAACAGATGATGTTTAAAACATAAAAATAGTACACAAATTCTGCTTGCTCTGCAATTAATGTTGGGTGATGACTTCATGACTGATGCAATAATTTAATAAAAAGTTGTCTGTCTAGCGGCTGGTCAGTTGGTACACTCCCAGACATAATTAGTTGGCACACTTCTCACAGACAACGTCTGTGAGGTTCTTTCACTCCTCTCTCCCTTCCAATGTTGTTAATCGCCAATGTTCCTATGCCACTTTACAGACCAACATTAATGGAACAAGGGAGGCATATGGTGTTCCAACAAATGTGTCTTGGAGTGCAGGTCTTTTTGATAGTCTTTCTGTTGGTCTGTCTATCTGCTGGTCAGTTGCTAGGTCTCTCTGATAGTCTGTCTATGTGTAGGACGATTTGTTAGTCACTTAGTACGTCAATCTTTTGTCTAAAACGGGCAAATGAAGGAAAAACACGTACAAGGGCCAACAAATACTCACCTGGTTATTGCAGCAGACCACAGAAAGATAGTTTGTTTGGGGTTGGAACGCTAATGAAGTCACACGAGATTCCAAGTGGGGTAAAGTACATTTTAACTGTTAAAAATAAAATGAAAAAATGTCTTAAAAGAGTTGCCACCTATGATGCTTACAGTTATCTCTCATTAACAAAGCACTGCATATTCCGTAAAGATGCCCACTTAACAAAAGACCAAAGTGCCAACCACGAATACTCCTGCTTATCTTATTTCAAAAATTGTCGCTGTTTCACTTTTTTTTTAATATTAGGTTAACACCATCTGTACAAGTGAAGTACCAACCATGCTATTATTTTTATGTAAGTGTTCGTTATAGTAAAGTACATACGACTTAATAGAAAACACTCACTTGATTCGGAATGAAGTGGAAGTTGATAACAGAAGACAAACAAGCCTGTAGCCATGCGTGATGTGAATCAAGAAGGTGCATTCACTTCAATTTGTCACTATTTATCATACCCACGAGAATTTAAATACAACATTAAGATTTATATCAGAAATGACCCCAACACGAGACAAATGATAACACCCTAATAGAAGCAAATGGTTATACATAGTATTCTTTATGTCTACACCTTGTATGTAAAACAAAATTTTCAGGCAGCAACAATCGAGCTAATTGACAGGAGAGAATGCGATGGTAAGGCGAGAGAAATTACTTCTTCCCACTGCACAAAAAAGAAGAGATTTGTTTGATGCATCAAGAAAAGCAAACGCCTTGTTCAGTTTTGACAAAATCTTTATACGGAGGACTTGTGAGTGTGAAAATCTTTAAGAAATTACAAGTTATTCCAGTTAACTTTACGTCCATGTTGTCTTCAAGTATTAATACTGCTGAGGAAAATAAAAGACAAATAAGAAGTTTCAAATGAATATTCGCAATGTAAGATTCCATACCTTCATTTTCGTCAAGTTGAACACTGTTAAAGTATTGTTATAATCAGCACATGCTAACCAGAGCAAGTCATTGCTGACAGCCACAAGATTAACGGCTGCTAAACCTGCATATCAAAAAGTCACGGTTTACATAAAGTTTACTTCTAATGCCGCCTTAGTAGATTTGTGATTCACTGGAGTTGTAAGAAAGGCAGTTTGGTTCTGTTGATGGACTTCATGTTGGAACACGGAGGTTAAAATTAAATATAATCAATCGTAAATTCGAATTAAGATTTACCACCAAAACAGGAATTAAGAACTATACAAGAGAAAACCCCAGGAGAAAAATCCGTAACGAGAAAACATATTTCGAAGCACAACATCAGTTCTCATCTAATTAAAGGAACATTTTGAGAGGCAGACAATAACTAAAATGACATAACATATATAACAAGCAGCTCAAAAGAGAATGTTCACCTGAAAATATACGGGTCAAACTAAGGATCTGTACGAATTTCTTTCATGCCCAATGTACGTTCCGGAATGTTCATTAATTAAAAAGCAAGAACAGATAGCTTAAGTGTACAATTACCTCTGCCATGCTGAGCAATGCTTAATGTGTTACTTAGGCAGGGTTCTTCACTCAGGTCCAAAATCTGGGAGCGGAGTAACAAGAAAGTTAAATAAAAAATGAGATTATGCTACCGTATCTTGATATATTTCAATAGGAAAAAGAAAAAAAAAAAAAAATATATATATATATATACAAGTATATTGGAATCTTGTTGAGATACCCGTGTTTGAAACAATGACCTTAACGGATTTAACAGTGCAACAATACTGGGAGCTCTAACTAAGAGCACCATGCAAATGCAAATGCACGTAACGCCTCTTTAATAAACCCAAGCTATAAAGGAAAAACTGACAAAAAAACATGCTCAGAATATGACAACCTCCCCGAGTTCCTTTGTCCACATTTAAATTCACCTGAACTGAACCTTGACTTGTTGCAGATATCAACTTTGAACTTTCAGGAGAAAATACTAATCCACGAGCTGGTAACAAATGAACAGGCAACGGCAAAACCTGCAATTGACACGAAGAAAGTTTTATGAATGAAAAGAGTTAGTAATATCGTTGCTTTTGTCATTATTATTATTATTATTTTCTAATTTTGTTATGGGACTATTACATCATATCAAAGTTTGGATTTCGACAAAAAAAAAATAACAACAAACAAACAAACAAATCTTGACCGAACTTGAGCTTACTTTTGTCACAGTCACTTGAGATTTTCCTTCTTTACTCTAAAAGTAGAACAAATTAATAAAGCTTTTTAAACTTCCCTTGGTTATTTAATAATGTACTGACTCTAGAAGTACTTAGCGGGTTTAGCGTTTACTGCCAAAAAGACTTATGATGGGAAAATAGGCTGCTTTGACTCATAATCATCAATTTACAAATGCAAATTGGGTAGTTTCAATAGGTGGTAGCAGAGGGCGTACTCTACTTGATATGGTAGGAGAAGGTGGACACCAGGACAGGACAAAGTCAAAAGGTTGTAAAGCCACTTTCAAACTAAGGGCGACATACGTAGAATATGTATTCTCACTCTGTTAGAGACTTTTCGGTAAAGTGCAGTTTGGTTAAAATCAGAGTAAGTGGGGCAGCCTCTTTTAACAGGTATACTTTCTGTTTTCTTTATTTTTGTCATAGACTTTTACAGAAAATCTCTTAAATTAAACACATCTACGAAAATATACTCTAAGTAGCTGCTAAGAGCGGCGGACTAACGTGCAGAATTGATTCGTGCTGAATTAGAAGAATGTTTACCATTGATAACATGTTCTCTGATTACTTTAAAGGCTTATTACATTAAAAACTAAACCATTATGAATCACTGACGTAGAGAGATAAGTTACCAAAGGTATTTTCCGACATATTTAAGCTTTCAAAGAAAACGGACGATAATCGATTTCACTAGTTGCGGTGTTAAAACGCTTTGTCAGAAACAGAAGCACATTAGTCAACGCCGAATCTTTATCTCTTTACTGATGTTCTTCTACTTTTAGTATCTAATTCCTAAATTACTACATTTCTTGATCTACTACAGTATTGCTGTTAACCTTCCTCTCTTGATAACACACTGCAATGTATTTTTACGATTTTGGCACAAATCGGAAATACAGAATGCAAGCACTCTCCTTTTAATATCAAGAGGCTGTCTACTCAAAACAGGGCACATATAAGAGTACGTGGTCACCTAATTGTAACAAATTCAAATTGTACCACATCCTCTATTTCAGTAAACATCATCCCCTGATGTCCAAGTTCTTTTAACCATGCTCAAAATGTAAGTAAATGATTCACATACTACTTGAGTAAAGAAGCAGTTCGCATAAAAACCGTGCGTCTCTTTCACTTTGCATTCTAACTCCAGGTGTAAATTTTGTTGTAATAGCGAGTCGTTTCCACGACAGTGGTGTTTCCAGCCTTATAGGTGCGTGTGGTTGATTTCACGAACTCTATCCTCACAGATAAAGTTGCCGTAAGACGGCGGCCGTTGCACAAATCTAATTGCTGCTCATGCACCTTGTATGTTCCTTGCTGAATTTCATCTGTGCTTGTCGATTGACTGCCATTCTTCGTGCTCCGAAAGAACCTCTGAATTGGGGCCGAAAGCGAACTAAAGAGGCTGCCTCTTGTCGCATTTTCGTTAATGTTGGAAGCAACTGTTTCCAACAGTTTTAGATGCCACTGCTTAATGATCTCCATTTGAGCCCTCCGCCATTTCATATCTGCCTCAATCAGTCCTTTAATTCCCTTGACGACGGACTCGCGCTTCTGTGTCTGCCAATACTGTAACGCTTCTATGACACTGTGCGGAATAAAAACTTGGGCTCCTCCACCCACCAATCCACCCTGAGCTTGACAGTAGCCTTCGTAGATTAACACTCCTTTGGGAACAATCAGGGTCGTATTATTCTCCATTGTATTCCAGAAATAGGGAACAGCTAGATCAACTCTGTCCCAAATTCCTCCACTGCGTTCATCTACCGTCCAATACTGTCCGAATCTTCTAGCAGGGCCACCATATGTTCGGTGAAGAACTAAGCACTCACCTTTCGGCGTTGTCACCCAGTAGTGTCCTCCAAGAAAGTTTTTGTGGTGCTCTCCTTCAATTGCATTGAGGGGACCAAAATCAACTGGAGTAATCTCCAATTTGACTTCAGTTTTGCCATGAGATGGAGGTTTTGATTCGGAGCCGGAAGAAAAGAAGCCACTCATTGTGTTACTTAGTTCCAATCTCAAAATTAAGGACCTGAAATCGTGGATATCAAGGGAAGCTTCTAATTTTTCTGAGGTATAGTTCACAGTTAAATAATTGTTTAGAGGGGGGTTACGAGATAGAGTGAGCGTATAGACCCCTTAATGATGTGACGTAATGTCAGGTGAGGACGATCAGAGAGATTCCGATTTACTTCCTTTGCAAAATACAATCACAGCGAACACTTTCCCGCTAAGGCTCACTACTGAGGTGTGTTTGGTTGTTCAAGGATCGGTGTTATCGACTCACTCGAAAAGAAAGAAAGAAAGCTGTAAAGTTGGGAACGACAGGCGAATAACCTTGCAAGAATATATGAGGAGAAGATTGTGTCACGGTCATATCCAACCACTTTCACCTCCATTATGTCACCGTCATATCAAATCACTTCCGCCTACGTTGTGTTACAGTCATATCCAATCACTTTCGCCTGTATTGTGTCACATTCATATCAAATCACTTTCGCCTGCATTGTGTCACAGTCATATCCAATCACTTTCGCCTGCATTGTGTAACGGTCATATCCAATCACTTTCGCCTGCATTGTGTCACAGTCTTGTCGAATCACTTCCGCCTTCGTTTGATATTCAGACTGTTTCAGACAATGTCTATTCACATAATTGCTGGATAAAGATATATTTTTGCTCACGAAAACTGTAACAGCTTTGTATTGCACAACATTAATTAAGAGGATATTTAGAAAACAAAATCTTCTTTGGAAAAATACCATGAAAACTCACTAGCATCCGTTCTGAGAACATGATGGTAAGGCCAAACATGTTAATTTTTGTGGCCAGAACACTTACCAGAGTGGCTCTAGAGGTTCAAGTGAACCAGAACTAAATTAAAAAGCAAAACTGAGCTTGTGTCTTTCATCCAGGGAATCTTAGAGTAAATAACTCATGGAAAGTTATTCATGTTCTGGCTTTAGTTCTGCGGATTTTCACTGATGTGTTACGAGTGGTTAGGGGGGGTTCCCTGCTAAACGTAAGTTTTTAATAGTACTCAACACAGCCAATTGCCCCCTCCCCCCCCAACAAACACACACCACTTCTCTTGTACTTCTCATGAGCACTAAGTAACAGATGAACATACACTGACAAACACCACGTAATACTAAAACAAAAATTTTACTCACCAAATTCAGCTTGAACAAACTGATATGGTAAACATCAGAAAATGCTGCCCAAGAGGCACATGTGGACACAGCACTGCACACAATATGATGATCACCCTGATATGTACCAATAACATGACATGTCAATAACATATACAGCATGCTACACCAAACCTTTCATCATTATTAATTTTCCAAATAAGCTTTAATGAAAAGTTTCACATCCTCCCTCTTGCTCTGATGTCCCACTTAAATGTAAAATTAATCATATTTATTTATTTGTTGATTTATTTACTGCTTACTTTCTTCCTTATTTCTAGCAACTGTGCAGGAGTCTTCTGAAGTGCAATGGTTGTTTGACCTACTGTATCTGAAACACAAACAACAAAAATGTGGTCCTCAACCTCTTTGCTTCTTACTCTTCTCTAAATAGCCAAGTGCTACAGATACAAATAACATTGACATAAGTGAATGGGGAGATAACATACACTATATGCACCAAAAGTTACTGCTCCTGAAGGAGACTTATGTGTTTCAAAGCATGTGAGACTAATGTTATGACACAGAAACAGAAACATGGACATTTTCAAAATGTTAATGATTGTAGTAATAAAATAAAATACAATTTATCAAGGGATCACACAATCATTAGACTATCAATAATAATCACAGTATTGTACCCAATTCTTGAAGTCTCCAGAACTGTAGAGTACTTGCTGTTTGATACATCAGAATATTTGCTTCCGATGCCAAGTAAACCACAGGCCTCTATAGGGTAACCACAATGTAAAAAAAGAAACCGCAACATCAATGTCTACAAATCTAATTGGCCTGAATGAGTCATTTTAAAGATTGTCTCAAAGGAGGATTGCTTGATCACCCACTCATACTTACATGTGGGAACGGTGCAACTTTGCCATAGCTTGATCTGCCAAACTCTTTGGTGGAATAAAGAAAAAAGCTTGGGTCCAATCCTAAATATAAAAGAAGATACCTAAATCAACCACTATTAACCACATTGTATATCAATTTGTATTCTACAGTAAATCTCATCTCATTGTTCATTAAAAATATTTGATTTCTGAAGGCAAACTAAATGTTGTATATCATACTATTAATAGTTAGATGCACACCTCCAGACACCAACAGGTCATGAATTCCACCCAGTGTAACAAGGCAACGGACGTCCTGCGAAAACATACGCTGAGAAGCAGCTTTCACCCAGTTTAAAACACCATCCTGTCAGTTTTAAGTGAAAAACAAACCTCATTTATTACAAATATTTTTTGCATATCTACAGTTTTCTGTGTTCTAGCTTCATTAATATTGGCTGATTGAGGGTCACATGGCCTTGCATATTTATGAAATTTATGTATTGGGAACATACTCTACAGTGTATTTCAGACTTTGATCTAGAGAAGGGCACCCCAAATGCCAGGAAACAACCTTGTTTTAACAAAATTTGACATATCCCTCAATTGTTCTGCATGCTGGAATACAGATTTCAAATTGATCTCAAGAACAAATTACAAATACAATTTTTAAGTAATACACTTATCAATAGATATATTTGACTGGACTTGACTATTGTAAGACACATCAATAACAAATAGACACTGTACCTTGTTTGTAATTTGTTGAAACTGAACAATCTTACTGTCAATACCTCCACTAAAAACCATGTTCTCCTCCTGAAAAATGTATGCCTTTTATTGGTTATATGCACAGAGAAAGTACACAAAAATGCATCACAGGAAAACTGGATAGAAAGAAATTGTTTTTGGTAAATTCAAAATGGGAAGAAATCTTCTATCAACAAAAAAAACTTCCAAAAATAATGATAACCATAATAATAATAATAATGATAATGGTAATAATAACAATAATAGTATACTGGCTTTGTTGTATCTACGAACCTTATTTACACAAACAGTGAGTACATCAGCCAGATGAGCTTTGAAACTCTGCAAAGAAAATGTTGAGAAGCACTTAATATAAACATTTTTATCACTTTAATAATACAACCTACAGTTGAACCTGAATTTAGCCGTCACCCAAGGGGAACAGCAAGGTGATTGTTTAATACAGGTTGATCAATTACTACAGTTTCCAACATAGGGGTGTTACAAAGTAATGATAAAAACACCATTTTGTGCCACAATTGACCACTAAATGGACTTTGAAAATCAACCACTTAATTCAGGGTGAGCACTTAATATCTGAATAACTTTATTGGTCCTGTAAAAATCTGGTTTGCACAATATGTACCTGAATTAGTGTTCCTCTCTGGCCATCCCAAAATTGAGTATTTCCCAGAGAGTCTCCTGTAATTATCACAAAATTTCTGAAAGGAAAGCAGACACAGTTATGTCACATTAAAAACCACTTACTTAAAAAAGTGAGTCCTAAAACACAATGTGGTCAGTAATGCTATTTCCACTTCCTTAAATTAGGCACTCAGTAGGTTATTGATGGAAGCCAGTGGTACCCAGTAAGACTGCCAAAATCAAGGGCTGGCAGATATCTTTTCACTAATGATGTCATTTGGCAAACATTTCCAAAATAGATGCACTCTCAGTCATTCAAGCTATGGTAAGAGGTCCTATTTCCAAAATTATTCCCAAATGAATTAATTGTAATCAAAATGTGACCTTTTTATACAATACAAATCTTGACAATTTAATTTTCTTTAATGATGGATCTTGAATACATCTATAATGATACAGTCTCATTAAACAGCCTTTGGACAATAATGAACCAAATGTAATGCCTAAGGATTGTTATTCACAACCTGTCCAACCCAATGGCAAATCCATGATAAAATATGATTCTAAGGTGTCATTCCTCTTAGTTGGTTGCTGATTTGTACAATGGTGCAAACTATACCTTGTCATATGTATGGCCCATATGAGAGTGCTTCTGGATTGAAATTCATCTACTGTTATCCTCAAAGTGCAGTGACCTACAAAATTAGGGACCGAGAGAGAGATGAGACATCCATCAAACCTGTCCATGTTGTCACTACAATCTTCTGAAGAAGTACCTCAAATAAATAACTTGGTAATTGGTAACATAAGCAGATGCATACCTGATGTTACATTGTACAATCTTACTGTACTATCAGAAGCTCCTGTAACAAGGGTATTATCACTCAGATGCCAACTAAGACACAGCACCCTGCCTAAAACATGAAGAAAAAGATGTCCTTTGTCATGAAACAAATACATCAAACATGAATGTGGCTAACTCTGACTCATACAGTATTACATTTCTGGCATGCACTGCTTTTTTTTTTTTATTTCCATTATACCCACAACTAATAGATTTCAAGCATTATAATTCAACAACCATTGAATTTGATTTTAGTGTAATAATGAAAATTATTAGGGTCTTGGTTTGCCTAATCTATTTTAGCCTTCACCTTTGGTAGACAACTGACTCAAATCTTGACAATTTTCATTAACATGTGAAAATCAGTCTAATAATTGTTCATTTTCAGGAGATGGCTGTACATGCAGTGAGTTTTCATAGCTACACTGTATGATATGGAATGCATAAAAGTTAGAGGACTAACTTTTCTTACTAACAAGTATAATGAAAACTCCTTGCACAATAATACAATGTTATTTTGATATTTTGAATTGACTGATAGCAGGGGTTATGGATCAAACCATTCAGGTATAGAATACTATATCACAAATAATTTGAAAGATAATAATTATATAGCAAATGAATAAAATAACTAGCAAGCTCCTGGAAAGAGTCACACCTGTAGTAAACAACATCACAATAAACCAAGAGTGAAGTGTTGATTACTAACAAAGGCCAGGAATAGTCTTCTTACAAACTAGATTCTAGTTACAAATCATTCCAGGTTATGTTTTTATCCTAAATAAGCCTTTTACCATCTTGTTGATCCAGGGATTTGCTGTAATTCAAACCATCAGCAGTGATTTCAAACAGTCTCACTCGACCATCTTCACAGCCAACCTGTCAGTTGACAATGACAAATTTCTTTTATTAATAATTTTGTGTCAACTAAAGTCCATCAGCAAGACTGCATACATAAAATTAAAAAAAATCCTCCAACATAACATTTTCTTATTACAATAAAGATCCAATCTCAAGGGAGAACATTTTTCACTCAATTCTCAAGATCACATGTTTCTCTAACCTAATTATGAGCAATCAGGATAAGAAATAACATGGAGTGGACAATGGTTTTTTATTGGACATTACAAATTTGACCGCAGTATTAATACTAAACTTACTGCCATATGTGTTTTTGCATGATTCACAGACAAACACCACACTGCTCCTCCAAAGGAATCAACTGTTATCTGGAAGACATATCATTCATAAATTCAATCACAAGAGAACTTAACCACAAACACAAATTTACATATATTTAACTTTAAGTATTAATCAACAAGGATTTTTTTTCTCTGAATCACTCCAAAATTCAAGCTACAATAGCTGTTTAGAGAAAATCATGTCTACAGATTAAATATTCTCCATCAAACTGTTCAAGACAAAAAGGATGAAAACAAAATCTTGCACTTAACAATTCTTACATCTAATTTGAGGGTGACATGAAGAACCAACCAAGATAGATACCAATCAATTTCCTTTTATCAGTCTCTCCTTTTCTCGTGCACAAGCCTTCTCCTCATAATTTTGGTGTTTCAAAATGCCAAAAACCATACATAAGTCAATACCTTTGGAAGCAGGCTGGTGAGATCCCATTCAGTGATTTCTGCATGCAGACCTCCAGTGAACAGTCTCCCTTTAGACCAATCAAGTGTTTCCACTGAGGTATCTTTACATCCTGGAATAACCTGAAGATTATATATGAAATGACAGCAAGTAGATCAAATATTGTTTCATAGGTCTAGAGTGCCTAATTTTATGAAGTCCAAAGTACATATACAGCACCAAAGGCTCTTTCATTAATAATAAAGTTAGGTACTAAAGAAAAGATATTGTATACTAACACTGTATGAACCCAAAGAACCATATATAGGCATTCCTTTTAACAAGTTCACATTAGCCCTAGCTGGTAACTACTGGTTTGAATCTTCCTCACATACTATTTTACTGTTCCAAGACTGTGGCAAATCCAATCAAAATTTTTCTAAGACTACATGTATCTTCCCACACAAAGATCACATCATTGTTTAAATTTTACTCCGCAAAACATCCTGAAACCATAAACCTGTGCTTATTATCACAGCTATTTTCCACAATAGCTACTTTATATGGTAACTTCATAAAACGGACAAAACATTTCAACACACCGTTTCTTGGTACCAATTGTCTTTGAAATTCCATATTTCTATGCTGCTATCTGCCCTGGTAGAACAAAGAGAAAAAATAAAGTCTCCAACTTTTTTAGTTTCCACTCAAGTAATTAAATGGATAAGTACATACATTTAGTACATACATTTAAAGTGTGTCTTGAACCCTCCTGGTTATGAAGGGTTGATGTTCAATACGAGTTTTGTAGTTTTTCTTCAACAGTACATATCATATTTACTGTGACTGACCCATCTCAGTCATATGAGATAGGAACCTAATTTTTGGAGCATTTAGATACAGAAAGGGGATGCAAAATGTTCTTGGAGGGTTATGTTTTACAACGTATTTGAGGAAATGAAAACTTTAAGGTGGTGGGACATAGAGGTTTTCTCTGAAATTCCCTCTGTGATAAGGGTACATAATATCTTCTGACACCATAATTTTCCAATAAGCTGAATTTTATAAGTATTTTGACTGGTTCTTCAATTGGAGGATTCAGGTAGATAGATAACCTTATTATTAACAACATTTATCTTCTTATTATATATGAAACATAAGTTCCAAGTTGTTGTGTATCTTTTCAGCAATAAATCACAAATTGTGGTAAGAACACAAGTGGAACACTCAGCTGCTCCTCCTTTGACATCATCTGTGATCTGTTAGTGAACAGACCCACAACAACAAGGTTCATACTGTTTATTAAACAACACATATGGTAAAAAATCAACCAAAACGCACAAGCCCCTGTTAAATGGGCCTCGATTATCCCAGGGATTTTCCCTGTTATCTCTACATTTTCAGGATTTTAACAAAAGTTAGTAAATTGACGCATGAAAATCCTTACTACACCTCTATACTATCCATAACAAAGCAAGAGTAAATTGTAAAAATACTTTACGCACCGCCAACAGAAGCCACGATTGGTTGCATTAAACTATGTGACATGTTCACAAACCACGTGGAGTAACAACCTTGATATTTACCTTGATAAAGCAAGTCTACATGGCTTATCAGTGTCTTCAAATGCCATGCAGTGAATTGCCTGAGGTACATACTCCACAAATCGAACTCTATGTACGTTAAACTTCACCTTAAGGGCCATTTAAAACTTCATCGATTGAGAGCAAACGTTATAGATTTGATCAATCAGTATGAATCACGATCTTTTTGGCCAGCTGTAAAAAACAAAGAAGTAAGTTGTAGATTATTACATATGTTTTGTGTCCTCAGCGACCAAACCGCTGGCTAAGAAGCCGGATCAACCAAGGCTCAAAATTAGTTCAGCTGTCTGGTCGCTGTCTTTAGAAACTACTGAGTGCAGCTGTTTCCTGAGTGATTCATCCGTTTGGTTTCTTCATCACCTGTTCACAGATCTCATATAATCATGAAATCTTACTTCTTCTGCATAATCTTATCTTTAAGCGTTTGTTTCAACAGAGCAGTAGATGTTAGCGTGAAGAATTCCCTTGTTTGGGGTCCAGGACTTGACAGTAGAGCAACTCTGCCGGCGAGATATTTTTTCATTCAGAGTGTAGACAAAGGAGGCAACAAGTGAGATCTTAGCATTAATTTAGCGTAAACTAGAAGATATGAACCTCATCATTAAATGAAGGAAAAAGAGGGGATAATTAAGAAATTTCTCATCACCACTATGATGACTATCAAAATAACCGTTTGTTACTACGCGCTCAAAGTAATTAAGTATGATGGGAGTTCCAAATTTTCCCCTCCCCCCAGGGGGAAGTGGTGCTAGACCCAGAGAGATTTTTTAAAAACTGTGGTTCAAGAAAAATAACACCAAACGTACTTCAGTTTTGTGGCTGTAGACATGGGTGACAGCTGATGAATTAAATCTGGAAACAAGAGATCCATTCATTTGTTGTGACTGGATCATTGTGTCGTGTTCTTTGATAAAATCACAAACTGAAACTGTTGAAATGGAGGTATTTATTGTGCCAGAAAAAAGAGAAATAATTGACAAAAATACACCCATGTTATACTTAAAAAAAAAACCCAATTTGTCTCTGAATAAAAGTAGAATCACCTTCTCCCTCTTTTGCAAAAAAAGATACGATAGCTGTTGGTTGTTTTATAGGTTTTTCAAAGTCTTCTGTTTCACACACCTTTATTGAAAATTCTCTCAATTCTACTTTTTAAATGTGTGATTATCATTCTTTTTTGTCAGTCTTACAGATTCTCCAGGCCAAGCTACCTTTGATGTGAAAATCACAAGCTCATCTGGACGAGTAAGGGCTTGGGTTCAAAAGTTGGACAGGAAAGATGGGTCATTCATTGTTCGCTATAGACTGTTTGCATCGTATCCAGACCTTACTATTGAAATAACACACAAGGGCAAGAATGTTGCTAACTCGCCTTATAAATTAGAGGGTAAGGGAATGTAATCTCTTCTGATTTGCCAGTTGAAAAGAGTAGAAACAAGACAAAAAAAGTCACATCAATATGTCTCTAGTAAGATAACAGCCTTATCCCAAAAATCAGATATAAAAATTTCCACACTTAACCCTTAACTCCCAATATCTTATTAGTAATCTCCATATGGTTCTTGTGATGTTAGTTTGGAGAATTTGGTATTGGATCAAATAATAATCCCCTAATCAATATTTTTCATTGTTCTCATCACTTGTCTGCTTGAAATTGTATTGATTTTGTAAGGAAAAATTCTCTCATGGTCACCTATGGGAATTAAAGGATTTGAGATATGTTTGTCCTTTAACTGTGGAACTTGTCATCATGATAATGATTCTTATCAGTTCATTTATTGATTAACAATCCACAGGGGGAGTATACCATGAGACTTGTTACTGCCCAGAATCAAGTGAGGAAGCCTGGTTAGAAGCCATGAATTGTTCACAGATGTACCCACAAATCCAAAAGGATCTGATGCCATTTGATAAAGTAGACTTGAAAGAATTGTCCAAGGAAGCCGTTCAACGGTTTGGAAAACATCATTCATTGTGCCATTATTCTGTTATCAACAATCAGGTAATTCAAAACAGATGGAAGCAGATAAGTTAAGTTAAATTTGTTATTAGTGTACTGAAGTAAAAACTCATGATTTGACATTGAAGGACAAAATCTTCCTTTGCAAGCACAGGTGTAAGAATGATGTTATGTTAATATTGTAAACTGTTGCTTATTATAAACCAGGGGCGTATAGGTGGCATTTTATTTTATGTCATTTCCCCTTCCTGCATAGAATAACAAGAATGAAAAATATGTTTCACCTTACACTCTTACTGGGAATCATAATCAATTGACAGAATTAGGACCCTTACATTTGATTTCAAAAAATTAAAAAGCGGTTTTTAATTTTACTGTGAAGTAGCAATCTTCTCCATAGTCAACCTGGGTGATAGATGTGTAATGGAAAGCTTTTAGTTCAATGACTTTTTTGTTGTAGGTTTATCGGAAAACTTATGGACAACATGTGGGATTTTCAATGTTTATGGATAACATACTCTTGTCTCTTGCCAGAAAGGTAAAAAATATTTGAACAAGTTACAATAACTTTGTTTCAGGCATATCAAAGATTATCTTATCTTATCTTGCAGTCTTATTATAATAGAATGATTAATAGAATATAGTTGAAAATAAAGAGAAAGATTTTTCGTGCAATAATTTTCACATTTGCATCAGACATGTATTTGAGAATTATCTGTCTCTGAAATAACCCAAAAACTAATTCTGCACTCTCTGCCAGTTACTGGCTTTTACTGAAACCTTTGGAAGATCACCAATTTAGTTTAGTTCTGCATTATTTAAAGTCACGATTTTCTTTAATTTATTTTTCCTTTGTTGATAGGTGCTTCTGCCTGACATGGAGTTTTTTGTCAATCTTGGTGACTGGCCCCTTGTGGAGCATAACACAAAACCTATCCCTATACTATCCTGGTGTGGTTCAGATGAAACACTGGACATCATCATGCCAACGTATGATATAACAGAGTCCACACTGGAGACTATGGGAAGGTATGGTCTCTAAATTATAATGTTGGATGCTCTAATGGCAAGATATCCTTATCTTGAAGTCTGATTTGTCCAGTGGCCTTAATAGCTCCTTTGAGTGGTGAGGATTCACCAATTACCAGACCAGTATTTAACCAAATTTTTCTCTTATTTTATAAACACTCATCTACACTCCAAGGTTTTCTAGTTAAGAAATGGATTGAAAAATAAATTGTGTAGAGTAATGATGTGTGAATGAAAAATAGGACAGGCCTTCAAAATTTATGTGGAGACTTCTCAAAGAGTACCTAGAGAATTCTCTGATCTTTAGTCACCTATGAGACACTCTGATATTCCCACATGGAAGGAAGCACTGTGGAAATATATTGTCTTACCCAGGAGCATGATGTTCAGTAATGGTTCCATTAAATGCTTGAATCTTGACTTAACATTCAGAAGGTGACTGGCACCCACAACATCTCAACTCATACTTCATTAAAGTTTAAATCAATTGCCAGTTTCTTACAGTTTACTACACTAATTGTATAATGACCCCAGCAAGCTCATCTCTGACTTTCTAAGGAGATCTCCCTAATCAGTTGATAGATTTTAAGCTTTTGGTACCTTTTTCGTCATTGTTTCCTTATGGTTAACCCAGACTAAACTGTGCACCTGCCTTGAGAATAGCTTTGTTTGAATTTCAGAGTTTCCCTGGATATGCTGTCTGTGCAGTCCACTGAAAGTCCAAAATGGCCAGACAAGATAAACAAAGCACTTTGGCGTGGCCGTGATAGTAGAGAAGAAAGACTCAACTTGGTTATCATGGCAAGGAAGAAGCCTGAGCTATATGATGCTGCACTTACAAACTTCTTTTTCTTTGAATATGATGAGAAAAAATATGGTCCTAAAGCAAAACACATTTCATTCTTTGATTTCTTTAAGGTAAGCACCCCTATAGCAGCTGAGTTACTCCACAAAAGTAGACTCTAGTGATTCCTCACCCAAAAATCAAGCCTTGTTAATTTAATCTTTCTTTCTAACTGCCACTTAGAGTTATTGTTAAAAATCTCCTCCATGATAGCTTTCATTATTGCTCCATTCTTACTTTTACAGTTGTCTTAGAGATTGACTGAATTCCTTGCCAAGTCTGTGAGGTTTAATAGATTAGCAAGAGGTACAGGGGTGGGTTGGGTTGGAGGCTGTAATGAGGGCTGGCACTGTATCTTTTTGTAAGTATGTGTTCACGCCTCACCCTTCACCCTTATGCTCTGTCCATTTTATTTCTAGTGGAAGTACCAAATTAACATTGATGGAACTGTGGCGGCATATCGCTTGCCATACCTGTTAGCTGGAGATTCTTTGGTATTAAAACAACAGTCACCGTATTACGAGCACTTCTATGGCGATCTTCGACCTTGGATACATTATGTGCCTTTTAAAAGAGATCTGAGTGACTTGGAAGAAAAGTTAAAGTGGGCTATGGACAATGATGAAAAGGTATCTAAAGCTCAGGGGCTGAGTAACAAAGTAACCAGCAGAAAGGAAAAAGGGAGGAAAATTTGCAAACAGTGATTGGATTGAATGAAGCCTTGTATCATCTTGTATGAGAAATTCTGAACAAATATGTAGACCTGTTTTTAACTCCCACAAGTGATGAAGGGAGAAGGAAGAATTACGAAATAAATCGCGGCAAGGAAAGGGTAAATCAGGTTTACTAATGATCAGGTGTAGCTGTCCCAATGAATTACCTTAGTCTTAAAGCAGCCATTATTTGATGAAGGAACATCCAAAGGTTAGAGCGAGCTTCACGGTAGTTAACAACTATTCACCGAAGTATCGGTGGCTAGCGGTGGATATTTACCGAGCCGCAAACTTAAAACGGTTTAAGTGGCCCTTTATTCTTTGTTTTAGCCAAAAGATGATTACTGCAACAATTACGATGTTTTCAGGCGCGCGAGTTGCTTGGAGGTGAATGGCAAGGGATAGTCGGAATTTGAATAGCAGGTCCAGGCGCGCCTTCGACGCAATACAGTGTTTAGTATATACATGTACTATTGAAAGATATACTAAGTGTTTTGAGTGGTTATTTCAGCACCTGTGAAAACAAACTGATGTGTACAATCCATTTCTATCACTAGGTCAAGGAGATAATAAAGAACGCTCAGTCATACACGAGAGATAACCTGCTTGCTGATCAGATCTTCTGTTATCACTATCTTCTTTTCCAGGTCAGTTTGATCTCGTCTTCCTCTATGGCGCTGCCATCCACATATCATCCATTTGTTTACTCAGATCAGTGAAATTTCACACCATACCAGCTAATAGTCGTGTGATTTGGAATGTCAGCCGTAGCTCCAAAGATGCCCCAACTATCCTGCTTTCAATCGATTTTCTTCATAAAAAAGACAAAATGTCAGGTCTTCTCGGCTGTAGCCACCCACCCGGATTCCATTCAGAGTCCAACTAACTTAATCTGTAACTGTTATAAGAAGTTCATTGCGGTCATTTAATCAATCTGTAGTTTTCTTCACCTTCTTAATTGTGTGGTGTAAAAGTGACAAAACAAAAGAAAAACCAAACGAGGTAATTTTTATCATTATTTAGGAGTATGCTAAGCGCCAGACAACCAAGCCTACGAAACATTCAAATATGGAACACATAAAGCAACCAAGTGATAGAGATTCGGAATGTAACTGTATGAAAAACAGGGAGGTAAGTCATTTTAGTAATCATCACATGCAAGTCACTTCACCTGCATAACCATTTTGCGCGCTTAATATCAGATATCTGAGCTTAAATTTCAGTTCCTGTAAATCTGAACAAAATTCTTTAGGGCAATATTTGTCTTATCCAGTAACTGATGTTTTCCTTTTGTTTTCAGCTCCGCGACGAACTCTAAACCTTGCTCTGCTGTAAAACAAACGCTTTTCAAGTTCCGTTTGACAGCCGGCCGGCACACGCTGTTTGGTGTAATGGTTGGGACACGCCCCTTTTGAAAATATCTGCTTTCACAGTTTCGCTTCACGAACTTGTTTTACAACGAGTTTTTCATGGTCTTTGTTATGATGAGAGTTTTGTACAAAAGCTGAGTACTAAAGCTGTTTTGTGACGAGCAGATTTTGAAAATAATTATTAACGGAGGATTTTATGAAGATCAGAAAAGTTAATATAATATTTGTCAGAAATGACCTGGAAAGAAAAATTTTGAATTTTACTTTTGAAAATTTACTTTTGAAAAAAATAACTTGAATACTCAATTCAGTGAGAGAAAGCTTTACTCAGAGGGGTTTCTTTATACCGACTTATAACTTCTATCTTTTCTCCGGCTCTCTCTTTCCCTTTTTTTTTTTTCTTTTTTCAGGCTTTATTTTCACTACTGCATAAGCATTGTTCATAACTGCAACGTTCACTCTCATCTCCATTTATTGATCAGCAATTTAAATGTATGATATCAAGGTATTCATGTCTTTTATTCATCACTCACGGGCTTATTATGAACCGACATAATGACCAGCTCCCGGTTAGCTTTTTAGCTCAGATGGTAGAGCACTGCACCGGTATCACAGAGCTTATGGATTCAACTCCCGCACAAGCCCTTATTTATTTTCACTACAGTTAGGGTCGGTGCCTACTATTGCTACTGCACACACCGGCTGCTTGATTTTGTGCTTAATTTTGCAATATGGTGCGGAAAAACAATGCGAACATGTTCTAGAACAGATTAGATCTCTCGAGTTTCACATATATTTTACAACGAGAAGAATTCTATTCAATATGGGTGGAATACAAAGCGAAGCTGCGCTAATTGGAGACCTTCCTTTCAGTCAATTCAACAATAATTATGACAACTTCTCTTACAAAAGGATCTGTGCTGAATTTGGAATTAATTATCACAGATTTCCGTATCTGGGGCAAATTACGTCATAAGAATGCTTTTTATTTATGCTGCTGGCTTAGGACTTATGTTAACTGAAATAAATTACCTTGATTTTGGTGGGAAGTGAATCAATCAAAGGAACCCTTATCTGCCTCACTAGATATGACGAAGGTGCCGATAAACAGTATAATTACTTTGTAGCATTAACCACAAGCTGGCATGGCAAGATTAAATTACATGTAATCAATAGAAGCATTGTAGAGTCACAAGTAAATGTTCGTTCAAGCATGCTAGGAGGTTCTGGAAGTGGCAAAGAGGTACAACGTGAGTTTCTGACACTGATGAAAGGGCGACAAGACAGCAAGACATATCCAAAAGTACAGCGAATGGTTTGTACCTGGGGGTAACATGTAATAGTGTAGTTTGATCGTCCGGGTGAGTGTAGTTCTGAGAAGGACTGTTGTCGGTAATGGTGACTGACGTTTCGACAACCTGAGCGGAAGTTATCATCAGAGTCAGGTGAAAAAGTCGAATGTACTTAGTCCGGTTTGTATAAACTGATTGGTCAGTTTTGCTGCGATGTTATTGGCTGTAAGACTCAAGTGGCGTAAGTCAGTCGTGATTGGTCGGTTTGGATCCGTTAGTGAAGTTAGGTCGTTCTGCTCGGTTCGTTTGTAATGTTAATGTAGTGAATGAGTCGTTTGTATGTATTGGAGTCTGTTCCAAGTTAGTAAACCAGCTTTCCAGGGTCAGTCGTTGAAAATAGTTGGTGCTGTAGGTTAGGCATTGCGCAGAGTCCTAGTCAATAATGTGGTTCGTAAGTCGGTGATTTTCAGCAATGTGATTGTTAACATCGCCTTTCGTCGTCGCTTGTTTGTGTTCAGTCAGTCTAGTTGTGAGGTTTCTGCCAGTCTCACCGATGTAGGAGGCGTGGCAGTCGGAGCAATTGATCTTATAAACTGCTCCTTGTCTGTTCCTCAGTTCGTCTTTTTCTTTGACGTTGGTCAGTGACTGACGTAGTGTGGTAATAGGTTTGTGAGCGACGCCGATATTGAATGGTTGGAGGATGCGCGAGATGTTCCCAGATATGCCTTTTATGTATGGTATAGTTGCTGTGGTCGTAGGAGTTGCGTTGTCGTTAGCGTCGGTAGTGGTAGACTAGACTGACTGAACACAAACGAGCGACGACGAAAGGCGATGTTAACAATCACATTGTTGAACGTCACCTACTTACGAACCAAATTATTGACTGGGACTCTGCGCAATGCCTAACCTACAGCACCAACTATTTTCAACGACTGACCCTAGAAAGCTGGTTTACTAACTTGGAACAGAATCCCCTCCACAGGTGTCAACCACTACCGGCACCATACAAACGACTCATTCACGACATTAACATTACAAACGGACCGAACAGAACGACCTAACTTCGCTAACGGATCCAAACCGACCAATCACGACTGACCTACGCCACTTGAGTCTAACAGCCAATAATATCACGGCAAAACTGACCAATCAGTTTATACAAACCGGACTAAGTACATTCGACTAACAACAACCTTTCACTTGACTCTGATGATGACTTCCGCTCAGGTTGTCGAAACGTCAGTCACTATTACCGACAACAGTCCTTCTCAGGACTACACTCACCCGGACGATCAAACTACACTATTACATTTCCAAAAGTGTTCAGATATCCCAACTTACAGTAGATGACTCGAAAGTAAGACTCGATCGAGCAGTCTCACCAGGAACCTGGCCTATGCGCCCTTACCTTTAATTGAACACCGGAAGCACAGTTGGCTATATCAATCAGGTGAAGATCACAGAAACAGGAATGAAACTTGGAGTAAACAAATCAATCAATAAACTTGAAAACAAAGAAAATTGTTCCTAGACTTGAAAGTGGAAGACCGTCAACCATTAATAGACAAACTTCATATCCATCAAATCGAGGAGTAAAATAAAAGAGAGAGAGAAAAAATAATCACGAAATGTTGAAGGCAGGACTAATACAAGCAGGAATTGCAGGTGCTTATGCCCTCTCTCGAGTCTTTTGATTCAAGAATGCGGTAACTCCTGGAAAAAAGCCAGGCATTTATACTAAGGAAAGTTATCACTTCCCTAGCAGTTCTCGGCTTGTTATTTTACCTGCAAGTCTTACGAGAGAGCATATTGGCAACCTTTTAACCAAGAGTTTTTAATCCGTTTCCAAAACCCCTGACTGACGCCTGATCAAAGACCACTTGTCAGAGAACTGACGAGAACTCTGACAGTTCTTTCAACAGCTAATCAAACAGCCGTCACCGTAAAACCATATCGCTTGAATAGGTTTTAACTTTTCTCGAAGTTAAATTCTCTCTTCGAGTGCCTATCGCTCATTTTCAAGTACGTCAATGAAGTTTGTTTTCTCGCTTATCTTTTCTCTTGGTGAAATCTTACAGGATACTAATGGTTTTTGATCTATTCAAACATCTACGATAATTTTTTCATGACAAATAAGGGGATAACAAATTACTCGGAGGAATACGATCAGATGACCTTTGCAAACATCAAATGAGGCAGACAACAAAGATTCAGGTGTAGACAAGGAGAGGAAGCTAAACTCTGTTCATGGAAAGGAGTACAGAACCAAAATAAACAATGAAATCCTAAATGATCACGGTGTGTTTCACCCAAAATCTCTGGCAGACGAACTAATATTTGAACCTGCAAGTAATGTAGTCAAAGGATCTGACAAACACAGTTGGATTATGAGTTGACTAACATCCAGCTGGAATGTGAAGTGATACACAATCAAAAATTCGGTTGAGGAAGCCTCCTAAAACTATCTAAATGGAAAACGGTTCATGTATGAGCATGTAACGATATAAAACTATAAAAATCGCCTGAGACAGATACAATGATTAATGAAAGTATCAACGATCTGCGAAGGTCAATGGAAGGATTGCCGGCTTCTTTTTTTCAGTGAACCATACATTGCTGTCTCTGTCTCTGTCTCTGGTACTGGCATCGATACTGAAACTGGTACTTGTGACGAAATACTGCTAGAAGTATGCCGGCATAAATTACTTGGCTATATAGAAGCGGTGAACATAGGCACGTGCAACTGAACTTATCACAATGAGTGCGCCACTAATTATCATATAATAATATGCGCATTCGGGTACAGTCAGTTATTTTAGCGGTCTTTTGAACATGTAACTGGTCGGTTTATGCTGACGTAATAAATGGGCTTTTTAACCCAAACTTATCGTTACAGCACTGACACTGGCACTGTCTCCGTCACTATCACTGTCTCTGTCACCGTAAGTGTTACTGTCTCTGTTACACTCGATATCATTGTCACTGCCCCTGTCACTCACTGTCACTCTCCCTGTCCCTTTCCCTGTTACTATCACTATCTCTTTCACTATAATCATGTCCTACTATGTCACCGTCACTGTCTCTGTCAGTCACTGTCACTTTCCTTATAACTAACTCCATCTCTGTCACGGCACTGTCACAATCCATGTGATCGTCTCTTTGACTAGTTTCAATCTGATCAGTGAAGCCTCTGTTTTTCTCTACCATCTACACGATGAAAAGTTTTTCAATTCGTGAAGGATCTTACCGTAGTTACAGCCCTTAATCATTCGGGCTCTTTTGGGAAGTATTTCGTTAAGTTTTAGAAAAAAAATGAAAATGTTCTTTACCAGCCGAAGAGTGTCCGTATTGGAAAAAACTATGCCCTGTGTCTTTAATACCAGTACCATGGCCCAGTTTTTCCCAATAAACGGACCTCCCGGCTGGGGAATAATATACGGATATATGATGTACATGTTATACTCTAGTCAAAAAGTATTATGCACAAACGCTGCGTTTTGATTTTTTAAATTATGATGAACGTTGATTTTTTTATTTCCTATGCAGGATAAAAGTAATTCATGGAGAATTTCATGCTTTTTAACAAATTAGACACAGACGAAACAATTAAAAATTTGGCAAATTTTTGTTACGGATAATCTTAAAATGATTTTAAACTAATAACATGAGGGTAATTTTGGGAAACTTTGAAATTTATAGAACAAATCTCTTGACAACATTCTGAGGTTTTTTTTTGTTTTTGTTTTTTTGTTTTTGTTTTTGTTTTTGTTTTTTTTTGTCCAATCCAGTAGTCCAGTCCGAATACTTCTCTTTATGAAGTATCCGCTGCGTCGGGAATATGGTGGCGAAGCGATAGTAGTACTCATTCATTTATAGATATATATGTATAAATATATTTATTTTTAGAAGGAAAACTGTCTTACATTAGCGGTTGGAAATTAAGAAATACTGTACGATGGAGTGCTTAGTAATCTGCTGCCAAAAGAGCCATGATCCAATACCCCTTCCAGATGGAGAGAGTGTATTACTTGGCAGAGGCCCTCTGACCCAAATTACAGACAAGAAATGCTCCAGAAATCAAGGTTAGTTTATTCCTTATCCAGTTTAATCTACCGAAATCACCGATGGATTGGTTAATTGATTACCAAATGTCAAAAAATATTTCCTATAAAGCAATAAACGCCATAATAATGACAAATAATTATTTCCTCTCGCGTATAGCTCTAGCACATAACATTCTTCCCTTCCCTGCCCGGTTACTCGCGGACGTTTCATACTCAGCCGTCTCGTAGCCGCCTAGGACCATTCACAGTTTCGTTGTTTCTTACAAATACTTATAAATTATGTTTCCATGGTAAGTAGGTTTAAAGTAAGTTCGGTTTCTTTATAAAATAGAAATGTAATATCAGTGTTAAACAAGTTTTTTTTTCTGCATGTTGCGCGCGTTTTTATGCACGACCACCGAACTTAAGCCCCACCAGGTAAACTTTGGTTATTTATATACCATCCTGAGTGAACTTACTTCACAACCAAATAATTTAATTATCAAAGCTAAACCATTCTTGTTCTTTTTTTCTTAATTTTTTCTTAATGTTTAAATAAAATGAATGCTTTTGCTTTCTATTGTGAATCAATCACAAACGTCAAAGTTACCTTGCACTTGGCAAAAATCAAGCTGTTGTTTTTAAGAAGTTCATGAGTATGCACAAGAAAAACTCTTCTTATATCTTTACTTGTTGGACTCTTTTTTGACTTGACATATGCAACTATTGACATCTGTTCATCCTCTTGCATGTGAAGTTTGTGGCAACTACAGGCCGGTTTTGTTGTCAAGCATTCTAAGCAAGATCCCAGAATCTGTGGTAAATGACACAATCCCATGTCACCTTTAACAGAACTACAGGACATCGACAGAACTATTACTAACACAACCTCACAGAAACATGGATAAAAGCACTCAACTCAGTTAGGCCTTTGTAAAGTTCAAGAAGGCCTTGGACAATGTTTCTCATTCCATCCTTTTAATGTGACTGGAGGATTATAAGACCTTTGATGTAGCAGGTCCACTACTCCACTGGATCAAAAGCTGTCTTAAGGGAGGAGCCAATTTATAATTGTAAATTGCTCTAAGTCTGACACACTACCAGTCCAATACCATTATCCCCCCCTCCCCCGTAAGGATTGTTCTTAGGACCAACCTTTCTCTTCCTGTTTACAAATGACCTGCCATCTCATGTGAAATACAGATAGTTTTGCTTGTTTGCCGACAACATGACAATCTGCTGCATTGATGGGAGAGTGGTTAAAGCAATATAGCACTGCTGAACAGAGCTCTAGACAAATTGCAATAGTGGTGCCTAAACAACAGACTCACAATCCATCCAGGCAAAAGTGAGGCCATGTTACTCTGTCAAGGAAATCCCCAAGATCCTCTTCCACCCATCACTTTAGGAAGTGTGGTAATTAGTTGGATAACCAAATCGAGACTGCTAAGAAAGACAGTAGATGACAAGCCAACCTGGCTTCCACACTTACTGGAGCTCAAGAAAATATTTGCTAATAAGTTAAACTTTCTCCATAAATCAAATTACTTCTGACTAACGTTTGCCTCCATCTCAATTGTTAAGTGATTCTGCCCTCATTGTTGTATGGTCTCATCTTGTGGGGATGCTTCTGTAGCAGTGAAATACTTCAGCCTCTAGCAGGGATCCACTGCATAGCAGCTAGACTTATTTTTAAGCTTCCCTGTAATTTGAAGCTCATCAAGTACTAAAACAAGGAAAATGGTGGAACCTGTATTTTTACTGCAATCTGCAGTTTTTATAGGTATCCATAAAACCTACCACAAAAGACTACGGACTATAACTGATCACATCATATCCAGACAGACTGTGTTATATATGTCACTAGTGCAAGATTCATTCATTATCCATCCTGTGCTTTGACTGTGCTGCATGAAAGAGTCTCCCTAGCACCCAAAGGTGCACTACTCTAGAACTGCTTGACAAGCAAACATTGTGAATTAGTCAGCTTCACCTGTTATGGGAGCCTTCAGCTGAAACTGAGATTGTTAGATAGTTTTAGGAATTTTAGATTCAAAGATTTTATCTGCACAACACCCAGATAAAAAGTCCCACAAGCTTTACAGCTTTGATATTTATTGTTTTAAAGTGAAGGATTTGATTTGATGTGGATGGATTTGAGGTTTTCTGAGCAATCGTCTGGGTTTCGATTGTCACTGAATGAGATGGATATGAATCAACCAGCAAATCGTTCAATTTTGGGTATGAATTGACTGAGTACAAATGTCTATTGTTACAAACATGACTGGATGCCCCCTGCTCCTGTTAATTTTTAAACCAAACTTTTCATGTACATCCATATCTTGATATATGCATAGCTGAGAGCATGAGCTGATTCTAAAATGACTTGATAGACACAACTTGTGGACAAGTAATCAGACTATTGACATAAAGGGGGGTAAGTTTGTAAAGAAACTGTGGTGCTGTGTTGGTGGGAGAGTATAACAGGGTACTTTAGTATTATCAACTGAGTTGATAATGTAAATTGGCCACCAATTTTCAAAGCTGACATTTTGAGCATTTGGCCCTTGTCAGAAAGAAGGGCTAACACTCAAAATGTCAGCTTTTAAACTCTGTATGTTGGCCTATTTATGTTGTCAACTCTGTTGATAATACTAAGTTACCAGAGTGTTGACATAATTTGACATGTGATTGCCCAAAGGCTCAGAATATTTTCAAACCTTTATGAGGGAGACCTACAGTACTGCTTCAATTTTACTTGAGTGTGCCTTCTTATAGTGAATTAACGAAGTACAAAAACTTAACAGATTTCTTTGCAATTTGGCTTGAAGACTCCCACAATACCAACCAAAGAAATCATTTCCATTTTTCGTAATTGAGCTCTCAGGATGGCTTCTGATGTACCACAAATGGCTAAAATTTTTGAAAACAAATTTGACAGGAAAATTGCAAACTAACCATAGGAATGTCGAAAAATCCCAACATGGTTTTAAAGACCAGTCCCTCAGGATTGAAATTGTGTGGAAGTTTTGTTTGTGAGGTCTCTTTGATGACCTGATTATTAATTCCCCAATTTCTTATGACCCACAAGGGATTTTTAAAATGCTATCTAGAATGGGACATTATTATGGCCTTTGCAATGCCATATGCATGGTACCTCTATGGTGCCAAAATTGAGTGATCAAGTTTGTTTGAATTTGCAGTTCAGCTCACAGCAAATTATGTAAAAAAGGAAGTGCTTGTTACTCAGGTAATTAGATTCAATTTTTTTATACTGACATTTGGGTTTGAGAAGTGAAGTCCTATTCAGGTTTTCCTGTGTTAACCCTTAACTCCTAGAAGTGATCAAACTTCTACCTATAATATCCATACATTGTCCAGCAAACAGCAAATAAGAATACCCAAACTCACCAGCTAGAAGTTGTTATCTTGATCTAATACCAAATTCTCCTAACTTCTTTGCAAAGAATTGTGTTAAAGCTGGAGGGGAGAATTAACAATCAGATCTTGGAAGTTTAAGGGTTAATTTGGTTTATTATAGTGACACACATATCTGCTGTAGATTTGTTGTGGAAATTTTTTTCAAAATTTTTAAAATATATTTATTGAAAGCTTTTTATCAGGATTTGGAAGTCTTTGAAGTGACATCTGAGTTGAAGTAGAATATATTTGGCTGGTCATGTTTGGTGTAATATCTTAATTTATTTATTTTGTGTCTTCCTATTGTTTTTTCTGTTTATCATTGAATGCATTTATGTATTCATTAATCTATGAAGTTTTAATTTCAAGATTAATAAAACTTTTTGCAAATCAGCTGGGTAACAATTCAAGTTCTGTTGGAGGAGTGAGTCTTAGCAAAGGAGACTCAACATCTCTTGGTCCTGGAGGAACTTTCTGTCTTCTTGGAGACAAGTACTCTCACTTCATCTATTTCAGTCAACTTCAACCATCTGAAAGAGATAAAAATGATGATGAACCTAAAGCCAAGAAAGCTTGTTTTGATACTTTAAGTGATTCAGATGATAATCTCACATCTGAAGACTTAGAGGACATACGCCGTGAATTTGGCCAAGAGATGGTGGAAAAGATACGACCACAAAACAACAAAAAAGTTGATCTTTCAAAAGGGGATCTAGATTCTTGTAATTTGAGGGAGTCATGGAAGGATATTGGAGGGGAGCTAATTGTTTTTACCTGTAGAGGGATGGAAGCAAGTTCTAAGGTATTATAATTGTTAAATTAGGAACCTTCATTGCTTATGTTTTGCAATGATTTGGTGTGATGATATTACCTGCAACTTCAGTGTGCTTAGACAAACACTGAGTATTTCTTGGCTGCAGTTAGTACCTTTAAATTTAATTTTTAAAAGTTTGGCCAGATTATGCACTTGCCAGTCTGTTCCAGTCTTTATGACTAGACTAAAATACTTTTTAAGCTACAAGGTATTAGCAGGCTAATAGTTTAATGTGTTTTAAAATAATAAGTTCTTGTCTGTTAGGCTGTTTTTAACCTTCAACAAAGCTCCCAGTGAGGTTTAAAAAAAAAAGCAGCTGCAAATTGATTAAGCTGAAAACTATTTGCAACCTTATAATTGTAGTTCTGTTCCTTTGTGAATTGTTATTTTCCTCTAGGGTAGAGCAGAATGCTGAGCATTTCCCTTACACTCTTGGTTGGTTAGGGAAGGGAAAGGGTGGTAATTGCAAAAAAAGGGTTTTAATGCTTGGTCTTTAAGAGTGATGATGCCTGTGCCAAAAAATCACAGATATTCACCCCTCCCCTCCTTCAGTCTGCCTTGGCTCATCAAATCTTTCAAGCATATTTTTAATGTCTACAAAAAATGAATTTCCTGATGCTTAATAAAGACAGCTTCTTTTGCAGATTGCTGGTTTTGACTTGGATGGAACACTGATCACCACTCAGTCTGGGAAGGTGTTTCCTACCTCAATAACAGATTGGCAGTGAGTTCAATTGGAGATTGATAGCCCACATTAGTGTCTTTCTATATTCATAATAAGTGCCTAAATGTATTACATTAACTGTATCTTTGTGTAAACTATTTCCCACATTTCAAATATTTGACATAATTACATTTACCAGAAATATATTGAATCTGCACATGGTCAAAATGACTTCAAAATCTGCCTTTCAGCTTAGCCATCTAAATACTATCAAAAAAAGCTTGCGGTCAAGTAGGGAATTTTCTACTTATTGTTGGTCAGACACAAGTCAATTTATTATCCATTTAATTGACTCTTAAGAGCAACTAGCATCTAAAAATAAATAACCCCCCCAATCACACATTAAGGTCACAAGATGATTTTTGGTTAAGCCTTAATAACTGGTTAATAAAAGCTGTTTTATTGTTTAGAAACCCTTCTTTAGTTATTTATTTACTCTGTTCTGTCTAGAATACTATGTCCAGAAGTTGTTCCAAAACTGAAAGATCTTTGGCATAATGGATACAAGGCTTGTATCATCATTTTTTCCTTTCAACTAAATTGGTTAACAACTTAAACAGGTTTGGCCATTTGACAGTATGTTTTTCATGTATCATGCTGGAACCTTTGCAAAATTTATTTTTGTTATTTGTTTGTAATTTAATTTCTTCAATTTATTCCATTTCCTTAACAGGTTGTCATTTTTACAAACCAGGTATAGTTGAAAACTTGTATTTTTTCCCCTCAGTGTTCAAAATTGTCTAATCAGTGGAGATGTAAGCTATTATGTCATATGTCTTGTGCATAAGTTTACCAATGCTTTTCATGACATTGTCTCTTCCATTCCATGTAACAACATTAAGAGCAGAATTATGGTTTACTCTGACAAAGGATCTTTTTCAGTGTTAATTTACGTGAAAAGCTAGTTAATTGATTGACCTATGGAATAGTTTTTGTTGAAAGTAATCAGTTTTTAAGAAAAGGTTTATATCAGTTTGTTGTAATGAATCAATAACTTCATGATTTATGTCATTTTAAATGCCAAAGATTTTCCTGACTTAAGAGAGGTGGATTATGTTTGTTCCATTGTTGATCATGGCAGTTAGAAAGTCACATTTAATGATCAGCAGCAAACAGATTGTACTGCTGGTCAAATAGCTTGTTTTGATAATTCTCTCTTTTTTTTAGATTCTCTCATATGGGTTGTTTCATTCTGGGGTTTTACAACACTAAGTCCTCTGTTTTTCTACCAGCTTGGCATTTCCAAAAAGCAGTTAAAGGTAGCAGACTTTAAGTCTAAGATTGAGCAGATCATTAATTACCTCAAAGTACCTGTGCAGGTGAGATAAATTATACTCATGCCCTTGATCATTCTGATTACTACTTATATTTTATGGTGGGTATTGATAACTGGTTATTAATATAAATCTAGACTACAGTGTGAGCATTTAAAGAGAGTGGGGACTGGCTTCTAGTTTATTCAAGCTTAAACAATACTGCTTAAGGAGGTCGATTTGCAAGACACTTCAAAATATATCACAAGTGGCCACGAAAGGAAATATTGCCAAAATTGACTTGATTTGACAAAAATTGAATGACTTGTCACAGTTGATGTTGACCTGTCATACCAGAAGTCGATTTGTAAGGCACTTAATTAGAAAATATTCTGCGAGGAACTAGGGAGGGGGTTGGAGATGTTGACGAATCAACTTGATTTGACTCGGATTGAATGACTCATCACAATTGATGTTGACCTGTCATACTGGAAGTTGATTTGTAAGAAATTGACTTCCAGTGACATGGATCAACTTTGCTAATGACAAGTTGAGTCTACCTATGTGAGTTGTGTCAATTCGTAAACATTGAATACCCCAATTTAATGCTTATACTTCTGTGAATCAACTTCTGGTGACGGATCAACTTTACTAATGATGAGTTGAGTCGGTCCTTGTGATTCGTCAACATTGAATACCCCAATTTAACGCTAAAGTATGTATTGTCTTCTTTTGTGGATTGACATCCAATTAGATGCATCAACTTTACTAATGACAAGTCGAGTCGACCCGTGTAAATCATGTTGATTCGTCAACACTGAATACCCCAATTTAACACTTAAGTATGAATTGTCTTCATGTGCAAATCGACTCATGGTTAGATGGATCAACTTAACTAATGATGAGTCGTGTTGACCCATACAAATTGTGTGGATTCATCAACATTTATTATGCCCCTGTTTAATGCTCTAGGAGGGAAGAAGGTTCATTTTTATATTTATAATATTCTGATAATGAACTTCCAGCCATTTCACCCTTTAAGAACATGGAAGGTTCATGTAGTCATATTCTCTTTTCATGCTACCCATTTTCACACATTGCTTAGGCCCCCCGACTTCCAGTATGTTTATGCACTATTCAACTTCTGGTATACCATGCTACTCATTTTCACACATTGCTTGCCACCCTCCACTTTCGGTATGTTAATGCACAATTCAACTTTCACTGTATCGATTTGTCAATGACTGTAGATGAATCATAGCACTTTGGGTGTATTGGACATGTATGGAAATTAGATGGCACTTGTCATATAGTCTTCCTTTTCTTGAGACAGGACATGTACTTCCCTGAAAGAGCACCTGGAACTCAACTTCACTTGCATTTGATATTTGATCTTTATAGGTTTTAATTGCAACAGGAAATAGTGTCTACCGCAAGCCGCTCACTGGAATGTGGAAGCACTTAATCACACAGGTATTACTTTTGGTAAACATTGTTAATATTTTCCCAAAAATATTGATATTTGCATGCATTAAGCAAGGCCCATGCATGCAATTCATCCAAATTTACTAAATTTTGTTTAATTATTGTAGTAAGTAATCACAAAATTCACTACATTTCCTTAAGCATGACTATTTTTGGTGTAAGTGTTTCTTTTAGTTGTCAAATCTACATTGTCTTCCCAACCATTCCACTGGTGAAGAAATGGGAAACTGGAAGTGAGAGTCACGAGCCTCCCTTATTAGGTTTGCCTCCCAGTCTCCAACATCATTAGGTCCTCTGCTTGGGGGTGATACAATGGCTGAAATTTTGTCTGAGTACATAAAGTTGTCAAACAGATTAAACTGGCATATATCTGTTGCCACAGACTGCTGGCTAGAATGACATGCCTGGTTTTTTTTCTTCCTTTTGCTCCATCTATGATCAAAATACACCCCTGTACTGTGGACCCACAAATGAAAAAGAAATGCCAATAAGGAAAGAAACAGGCTTCAAAGTCTTAAAATTGAAAATCACATCTTTCCCAAATATTTTGTTGCACTGCATGAGCAATTTGAACTCTTGTCTTCATTTGATTTTGGTTGCCATATGGCTATAAATTACACACATTTGGCAACTGGTTTACCATGTTATGAGGTTTTACCCATTTTATCTGATTTGACCTTTCTATGTGATGTTTTTCTCTCTTCAAGTTGATTTTGCATATCTGTTTTTGCTTTATTTTACACATATTTGGCAGCTAATATTTACCATGTTTTGAGGTTTTACAAATTTCATTTGATGTAATTGACCCTTCTTTCTATCATGCAATCACCTTGTGAGCTTTTTCTCTCCTAGAGCAAGAGTCTTTGTTTTTCATTTCCCTTGCAGCTTCACAACTGGCCCAAGCACTTTTTAACATAAACGCCAGCTTTGCACACTAGTTATTATGATCTTGCATGTAAAATGGGCTATGTATTACACAAGAAATCCCCAAACAAGCTTGAGTTATTCCTTTGTTTATTAGTTTCATGTTGTATACCAAAAATGTGTAACGAAGGAACACCCTAAGAATTACATCAATAGAAATATCTATTGGATATTATTAATTTACTATTTTTCCTCCCAATAAAAACCTCACTACAATGTTTTCACCTACTCACTCACCATATTATCGCATCCAGTGATAGTTTATCTCTTACTAGGTGTATTCTCCTATGTGGGGAGGTACTTGAGGCTTTTTTCAATTTCAATGTTTGGTTCACTCGTCTCTCCATGAATCAATAAGGGTACTTAACTAAGAAAAACAGACATTTATCTTTGTACTAGGCCAATGATGATGTTACTGTAGATGAAAAGGACAGCTTCTTTGTTGGTGGTAAGAGATCTACTGATGTCATAAACAGATTTGGACATTTATGAATTCAATGTGTTTTCCTTTAACATCAAGTAATATAGTATACCATGCACAAGATACTTATCTGAAGAAATTAGTTGCAATATGACATGACAGACTGACTTCAGTACCCAATGACACATCAGAACATATCCCTCTTTCTTTTCATCCTAGAGTCCCTTATTTGATTATACCAGTAAAAGGAAAAACCTTTAAGTTATACAACCAAAGCTAGGGAACTTGAAATCACATTTCTTGTATCTTAGATGCAGCTGGGCGACCAGCTGGCTGGGAGCCAGGAAAGAAGAAGGATTTCTCTTGCAATGATAGATTGGTGACTGGCTTTATTTTTTTTTATATCAGTGAGCTCTGTAAAACTGTATTTATTTTGTCCATAACAGCACAGACATGTACATAAGGGTACTTCTTTAACACTGGATGAAATAAACAGCAAAAATTTAGTTAGTTTCTAAGTCCACTATGAGGAAGTGAACCCAGACCTTCTGATTATGATGTGCCAAAGCTCTGTATTTCTAATGTGCAATTCTCTTGGCAATCTATTTCAAACTTCATCATCCTTAATAACTTTGTGGTATTTGGGTGTCTGTCCTTAGGTTGGGAGGTTTTTGGTGTGGGGGCACCAATAAATTTTAATCAATTCTAGGAAAGGGCTCAATAGAGAGAATGTGGCATTAAGCAAAACTTAGAGGAGAAAATAAACAATCAAGGAAAGAGACAAATGATTAAATTTCATCATTTGATCCTTAATAATGGTGATATTGATTGCCTACACTTGTTTTACAATAATTTTCTCAATACCTGAAGAGAGTGCATGTCTACTCAGGTGACAGATAATAGCTGTTTTCCTACAAATGACTTCTGCAACATTTTTCATTGACTATGTAATAAAATTTTTAAAAAAATTAAGTTTGCAGAAAACATTGGAACACAGTTCCACACTCCAGAAGAATTCTTCCTAAAGTATAAGCCATCACCATTTGAATGGCCAAAATTTCTACCGGTATGTATTCTAGAGGGCTTTATGTTCAAAGGTATTTTAAAGAATGTAATATATAGAGGAGCTGAGGGCACATGCATAAACTGCAGGGTCTGAAATTGCAACCAACTGGTTTCCAATACAACTGAAAATTGAGTGTTGGCAACAAGATTTTAAGTTTTGGTAGGTCGGACCATACCAAACCTAATTTGTTAAGGACACAGACATTGTACCCTCCCATAAAAAAACACTGAATTTCAGACCCAGCTTCCCATTTGATTGTATTTAATAGTTTTTCATTTACAAACCTTGCTTGGGAATGAGTTTAGAATTAAACACCTGTGATGGTATGACCCTACCTCCATAACACACATATTGTATGTTATCTTCAGAAAAATCTAGATGCTAATGGATCTTTATTAAACCCATCAAATGCAAAGTTGAAGTCAGAAGGTCAAGAGGTACTGAAAAATGTAGAAAATTGACTCTTCTAGAGGTGGGCAGTATTGTTCACTCTTATAAATATGTAGCCTCATTATGACTTGTTAAATCATTCTTAGCCCACCCTTCTGATAAATAACTATTCTGATTTACGTCAACGTAGCTTTATAAGAGTTACTTGACATCCTTTGGCAACGTTATATTCAACAGATACATAGCTTATAGTAGCAACTTTTCCTCCTTACAATTTTCTCCTTTTGTGTGGCAAATGTGTCACAATTGGCTAATGTTTTACATATTCGAGTTAATCCCCATAATTGATCAACTGTAAATTGAAACCACGCAAAAGACAGTATTTTTAAGACTTTATCAAAGAACCCATCAGAAATAACTGACTTGCATTTGTCTTGTTACAGCTAATTGTTATGGTCGGATATCCCGCATGTAAGTAAATTGAGGTGAACAGGAAGGTCAGACTTGTCTTTAAACATAACCATTTGTAGAGCCTAACGGACTTCTTTACTTGTAGAGTTGCTCGTAACTATTTCCAAGACAAGCGACTAAAAGTATACACTTCTCTTCATTTAATTTTGCTCATCTGCATTCCTTTCTGTTTTAAATGTAACACAATGGAACTTTCCGTTCCATGTACACTCTTGGCATTAGGAAAAGTCTCTTTTGAAAAGAGGTGCCTCTTCAGTGTAGATAGTATGTGACTGTTACTATGTTTCTAATAATTTTTGTTGGGTATTCATAACCAAGTCGGACTTGATATTTGTTTTGCGAACAGGTTCATAATTTATTACGAATTCTGATTTCCCAGTTTCACTACGAGAATGCTCTGTGGTTCGTTAAATTCGTCATAACTAGGTGAAATGTGAGCGTTAAATCAATCTCTTCCCTAATTTTCTGTTTAGAAACTAGTAACAAATACAAAACAACGTTTGCTGTTCTATTCTTCATTCAGCTGGGAAAACCACCTTTGTTCAAGATTATCTTCTACCGCTGGGTTACGTCCAAATAAACAGGGTAAGACATTAGCGCTAGCTTCATGTCTTTCACTAAAATGGTTCGATATAAAGCGCTGCTATTTCGCGGTTTCTTTGGCATGCTAAGAGATTGCCATTGAAAGCTCTTTCGTCATTCCTTGAATGTATGCAAGACATTTGATGATTAACAGGTATGGAAAGAAAAGTGAAAGGGCAAAATTCTCGCCTTTCCTTTGAGGTGATAGAAAGCAATGGATCAGATCCACCAGCATCCTTTCCACGAAGAGATGGAAAGAGCAGCTGTACTCCTAGCCTCTTACTGGTATATGTAATTCAAGCCCTTGTTAGTTAACTTTAACCAAGGTAATACATCACAATATGATAGTAGGTAACGTGATTATCTTTGTTCTATAGGATATCCTAGGTACATGGCAGAAGTGTGTTTCTGCTTGCAAGGATGCATTGTTATCGGGTAAAAGAGTAGTAGTGGACAACACAAGTCCAACAAGGGAAGCAAGAAAGAGGTACTGGTCACCGCTTTTAATCACTCCGACGTGTGTGCCCTGCAGTCTACAACTTTGCCTCATAAAATATTTTCTAAAATTTTAATTTTTATGAAGAAAACTTTACTATATGCAGAACTACTTACATCTCGTTGTAATGGTTTGTGAAAGATCGTCAGTAGACGGAACCGATAAAATTGTTATTATGATTATTACTTTTATTATAATTACTTTGAGGTAACAAGACTTGCCTTTTTTTTAAGCCCTTAAAATGTGTATTTCTTCACTTGTGCACGTGATGGATAGTGTTGGCATGAACAGTGTACCTTGGTTTAAATGCGATGACAAAATTTTGTTTCATCACCAAATGGCGTTGTTGTGATAAGTGTCCTATTGAATACGAGTTGTTCAGTAATTGCACTCTAGTGGGTAACTGTTCGACTTTAAGCAGCCTTTGAGATTTGGTTACTTCTACAAAAATCTATGTTAAAAAGTTTTTAAAACGTTTCATTTTATATGTCAACAAATTGAAAGAAAATGACATAAAATTAACAGTGTAGCGTTTAAGGAAATCTCTTTTCAAAGCAAACTATTAAAATTATTTCGACAAAGTGCGGCATTTAACCTTTTTTGCAATGAAATAACTTGTAAACTTGAAAATAACCATGAAATGCTTTGAATATTTATGTTCTGCTCCCGTATTGTTTGTACCTAATATACATTTGCATAATAAATGATGAAGTTGTACGAGACCCATAGATATTTATCATGTCTTTCCTCAAGTCTGCCGATGGGTTATCAAGAGTCCGATCATATCTTGTGTTGCTTTTCATTAATTTCAGATACCTTGACTGTGCAAAACAAGCCAGGATAAGTGCTCGGTGTTTCTTATTTGACGTGACCTTTGAACACGCTCAACATAACAATAAGGCAAGTAGAGTCTGCCATTAATCTTCTGACGGAGGCCAACCAACTTTACACGCATTTTTCTCTCCTTACGATGTAAAGTACAAAACAAACAACGGTTGTACAAAAGATGTGTTTATTCCTTCGCTCAATATTAGTACCTCTAATAAACGAAATTTCTTGGCATGGAAACCTACATAATGTATTTTTACTTTTTTTAAAATTTGTTTTAGATCCGTGAAATGACGAACAAAGACAGCACATACAAGCACGTTGGACACTTGGCTTTTGTGAAATACAAGTGAGTCCTTTAAACTGTTGAAAACACCTTTGACGCTTCATTAGAGGGGTGAACAGACTCATTTTGAAACTAGAAAGTGTACATAGTATCATACCAACTTGTGTCTATCATCCTTCTCTTCAATACGACTTCAATTCAACATCTCGGACCCCTGAAAACAAAAATAAAACACTGAAGTCCTTAAAAAAGGAAACGAAGACCCAAAACACGAACACGAAATCCCCAGAACACGAACACGAAGATCTCAGAACACGAACACGAAGACCCCAAAACACGAACACGAAAACACTAGAACACGAACGCGAAGACCCCAAAACACGAAAACCACGGCTCAACAACAGCAAAATGGATGCTCCAAAAACTGTCGAGCTAGTCAATTATTGAAACATGTTTTGACAGCGCTGTGTTTTCCTGCTTGTGAAACACAGATTTGGAAGATGTTGCATGAGTTTTATTCTTCCGCGATGAATGTCTGCTGATCGGCAGGGGGCGGCTTTACATTTCCAATAAATTTTTCGACAGTGAAAGACGTAATTGGCGGCTCACCATGGCTCGAAAATGGTAATACATGTAAACGAAAACCGCCACAAGCTTTCACTGTCCGAAAGAGTAATAATAACCATTATTTTCTCTTGTTGCGATGCAACCCATCACTTTCTAGAAGGCGAATATTTTAGTGAATTCAAAGGAAAGTGAATCTACAATACTGTTAACGGAAGTTCGTTTACCTGCGCTGATTACCCATACCGCTGATTACCTGTGGAAAGTGATTAGCATCTGAAATGTTTCTATATTGAGGTCAAATAACACTGGTGTGCAATACTTCATGAGAGGTTATTACAACTTCCGCATGTTTGATGTTCTTTTTTTTAAAGCAAAATCGCGTCAAAACCGATCATAACTTTCAAACGCGTGCAAAATTTTACAAAGGCCAACATTGAGGAACCTCGTTGTGGGGTCTTCGCTCTCCAATCTTCGTACTTGGGGTATTTATTTTCTTCCCTAGCACCTTGCGCTAATTCGAACCAGAATCAGTTTTCCTGGATTTTCATAATCCATTTACTGCAGACTCGAAACGCTCGAAATCGAACCTGTTTTCGTTTCGGAACATTTTCTTTAAATTTTTGACCTTGATAATTTGTACGTGACTTTCGCGGACTACTAAATTTGAACTTGTGGGGCTCACTTCCTCCTGTGGCGTAGATTTTTCTTGCATCTCCCTCATTACTAATGAATAGCATCGTTCGTTTGATAAGAGTTTTAAACGTGCTAGGACTAAAAGTCTGTTCCTATATCTTCCTACACCTATGTTTCACGATGAAATTTGCGTCCTTCTATTTACAGGTCTTCGTACGAAGAACCACGTTGCGAAGAAGGCTTTGAAGAGATTGTTAAAGTAAACTTTGTACCAAGGTTTAAAGACGATCGCGTGAAAGAATTGTACATGCAGTTTCATAACTGAGTTTCAAGTCAAAGTGACCAGGGAGAGTCACATAATTCAAAAACTGAGTGCGTGGCTAGCATGTAGGGTTGAGTACGCATACCTAGCGAATCATCTCAGCAGCGCACTTTTACCTATGACTTTTCTGTCAATATGTGGACCTTTCAGTGGTTGCAAGAGATTACAAACTGATCTCTTGGTGGTAGTTCATGGCGTATTTCTAACGACTTTCGGCTGATTTCCCTGGCTTTTCACTGTTTTTCCTTTTGGTAAAAAACACGAGGCGAAAAAGGGAAGTAAAGGTTACTTTATCAAAACAGCTTATAATCGTTAATGATCGTTCTAGTGATTCGTAACAAGTTTCTAAATTGTCGAAATAATGAAAGATGCGTTAGCGTCTGCGAAGAAAAATATTACAGAGAGAAAATATTGACACAAACATAGCCGACCAGCTGATCTGAAATGAAGCTACGATGGGTTCGCATCCCCAGTTCATCTATGGCTAACAGTTTTCAGGCTGTTGCTGTCGTTTTTCTTTTCGTATACCTGTCAACTTTCGTGATGTGCTAACGAGCTTAGTAAACACCCCTTACGTTAGGGACAAGGGTGCTTGCTCTTCTTGCTAATTCAGTTAATAACGACAACACGGCCCGATTCAATTTTAACAGTTAGGTCTAAGATAGCGAAGATCAGCCGCTGAAAGAGGCTTAAATTTGATATTCGTGGATCGCGTAAAGGATCCAGTCGTATCTATTGCCCTTACTAGTGGAGAAGAACTTTCTGGTTTTTAAGTTTCTTTGAGAAATCTTCCATTAGGAAATTTAGGAAGAAAATCAAATCAATCACATGTAGTGCAGGACGGTTTAACGTGTAGAAACTATCTTTGGCAAGTCAGATGGGAAAGGCAATTACGATACAAATTTTGGCTGATGCAATTTTAAGTGGCGAAAAGGAAAGGTGAGGACGATCTTGTTGGATTGTTGGGGTTAACTAGCTTGAGTAATTAGCGCAAACGGGAGGCACGAGAAGTCCGATCAGCAACTTTTATTAACTCTGCCTAAAGACTCTTAATGGCTCTTCATCGGAAGGACTAAATCTCCGTGTCTCTACTTTAGCCTTGTGGCTACCGTTTCGTTTCCGATTCATGTGACTTTTCCTAAGGGATTTTTCGTTTGCGCTTGCAGTTTGTAGTTGGCGTCGAATATGACAGCCCTGAGTGCACCCTCCTAAATATCCCATCGGTAGGCATGCCTGTGCTCACGGGATTTGACGTTGGCAGAGTAAATATATTTTTAACCCACAATAACATAAGGAATTCGAAATATACAAAGTACTTAAAAAACTCTTAATCCTCGAGAACTAAAAGCTTAGCAAAACTTCCTGTGAAGGACTCGAAGTAAGGTCAATGACAGATCACTCAAAAGGTAAAAATAATTGTGTGGTCTTGCAGCACAGAACAAACCAAGGCTCACAAGACTCGCATAAGGATTTAAAGATAATCTAACAGGCCTAAACAATTTCCAAACACTTAGCCAGAACATTCCTAATTTCGTAGTTCCCAAGTACCTCTAATTTTCGTAGTTTATAACAATTTACAGGCAAATAATGTACATTGGTACGGGGAAATTTCAGTTAAAAATTAGACTGGTAATAGGCTGTTTTGAAGCTCGATATTTCAGCATTTCAAAATTCGAAACGAGAGAAACGTTGTGTATTTATCGTCTTTTATATATTTCTCGTTTTTATTTATTCGTTCTTTATTTATTTGTCTGTAAACGTGTCAAGTTCAACTTTTGAACCGGGCATTACGCAGGTAATAATGAAATTAGTGCTCAAGGCTATGGGCTCTTCTTTTCTTAGTTCAGATTCATTTACATCTTATCGGAAACTGTGGAAACTAACGTGAGACGATATTTGCTTCGTAGTGAGACTCAAAATCAAATAATTCCAGAAGTCGTAATCCTAATCGCACTCCTCCTCATACCAAACGAGAAATCCACAATTTTTGAATTCGCCACGTTCTTCCATGTGTACGATCAGTTTAGCTGAAATCACCCATTTTTCTTTTCATGGTAAACATGTTAGCAACAAATATGTTTTGACGTACTTCACCAAGTACATTTGGGTCACAAAGTCGGGGGAACTAGCTGCGGACCGCACCACGCTCAGTGAAAGGCTCCAAGGACTCTCAAACTGTCCTAAACTGTATTTCTGTAATCTCTCGGTTCTGTTACACACAACTGATTAATTCTGCTTACATCTAGTTTTACTTCATTCTATGTAACTCTGGTTAATATCTTAGACACCACACTTTCATTCTCACAGAAGAGTTCCCATTGACTAACTCACCTCTACTATTGAATCCTATCTACTAAGAAAGTTCTAAAGTACATGCTTATATATTTGCTATCGATGGGGATGGGTGGGCATGCTAACTGAGTGGCCTTGGAAGATATACGTTTATTGTTAGAACATTAACCCAAACTTACATAAATTTCGCAAATTAACAACGATACACTTAGTGGTTCCGATCCACCGTGTCAACCTCTGACTGCGAAAGGTCTGAAAGAGTCTTGGCGCCTGATAGGTCGCAACGGGCAATGTTATCGTTGAGCTGTTTCGACTAGTCAGAAGTTATAACGATACATTTCCTCGTTTTTTCTCTTTTGATCAGGATCGATAATGCTAAATTGTTGAGATGAAAGCGAGCTCCACGCGTCACCATAACACCAAAACAAATAATTTATACAGTGTCTTAATTCGTCTCCACTGGTTGTCTCGCGGTCCTTTTACAACCACGTGAGACATTAGACACTCTTGAAAATATTGACAGTCTTCATTGTTAGCTAAAATTTGCATATTACTACTTTCATCATAATTTGTACGCAAATGATCATAAACTGACCATGATAGTATTGAATCTTTACCATTCTGCTATACTTTTGGTTGGAGTTATAGTAATTAGCTCAAAGATCTCAGGTAAGAATGTTCATTAATTTGAATGACGAAGCACACCGCATATCATTGTTAAGTCGTAACATTCCAATTAGGTCTTTTCTTATTCACGGTCGCATGGATAAACCTTCGTAATTGTTTCCACCGTGAAGTTAGGAAAGTCCTTGCTGCAAGAGGAGAGGGAATAAGAAAAGGACAGAGTTTAAAATTGGTTTTTTTCATGATAATTATAACTATACTATATTATTAAATCTGTTTTTACGAAGGTTAAAATCCACGCTATTTACATGTGTTCGACGTTTTATCATCACTTGATCATTTTTTTTTTGGTCGCGAACACGTTTTAACTTGCTCTATTTTTCTTTTTTTTTTTTTTGACTGATATGAAGATGGTAGAGCACGCAATTTCCCAAGGAGTTTATTTTTCATAGATTAAAAATGAATTCTGGATTTGGGTTAAATGGTATCCTCTTTGCGCCTAACTGAATTAAGTTTACTTGGACGACCACAGTAGTAAATTAACGATAGCACTATTTGCTAAGAATAAATTAGGTTCCTCGAGATATTACTTTTTTTGTTATGAACTAGGATGAAGTGAAAATCTGTGAAGTATTTGAAGTGTCGCAATTTTGCCTCAATCGCTCCAACTGAAGAATACTGTTCCCTATTAAGATTTGGGTCTTTTGATAATTGTATTATACTGACTGTTTAACTCGTCGTGTGATTTAGCCGATCGGTGCGATTAAAAGCTATTTCTTCTCGCCTTTTTCAGACGTCACACTTTAAAAGAACTTTCTCTTGTAACATATCTGGTTTGTGTCCATTTATATGGGACCATAGGGGAACTCGAACTTAACCGGAAAATTTAAATTTCAAGCAAAGGTTGCTTGAAGCGTGAGGTAGAATGTAATGGAAAATATTTATTTGGGCAGTCTCCGATAGAATATCAGGATTTCTCTTGTTTAGTATTGATGCAAAATTCCATCAAATTGCTTTTGCCATTCTGTGTTCTCACACATCTGAAATCATTTTCTCGCCTGATCTAGTCTTACTTTGTTGGATACCTTGATTGGGGTAAAACCCAACATTTAACTGATGTGTCTCTTACATTCTTTTTATCCATCTTGGCGCGTGGTTTGCGTGATTGAAAGAACTTAATACATCTTGCAACAGGTCTTTCTGACTATTATCATCGCTGGCTCGGACCCGCAAACCAACAGGTGTAACTGTGTCGAATTAAACAATAGAATATATTTCAGTGTTGCTTGTGCAGGTTTATATGTCACGATAGCTGCTTTGATTAACAAGGTAATTCCCCTCTCTACGGGATTGATGGCATTTCAATGAATGCTCCGTGACAGGCAACAGAATGAGCGGATCATAACGAAAATAAGTGAAAAGGAATGATTTGCAAACACTTTCGTTTCTTATTTACTTTGAGCTAAATTGTTCCACTAGGTACCTCTCAGTCACCATCAGGTATCATTGTTGAAGCAGTACAGGGTTTGGATTTTGTCATAATATCATGGAAATATCAAGAAAGCGCTAAGTATTACAGAATCTTCTTCAAAGAATTTAATTCAATGCAGGGAAACTCAAACAGTCCACTACACGAGGTCGGTCCAATGCTAGTCTACTGTTTAGCGGATAACACTACATGTAGTTATTGTGTGTCAAACAGTGACAGGGATGTCTCGTGTAACAAATTTAACACAAATTATGGGGCACCTTTGCTTGAGAGCAAACTGGAATACGAGGAGCCCGTGAGCATAAAAGTTGAAGCTTGCACTGATGTGTACCCTGACTCATGCCAGAGTCATAATGAGTGGATCAATTATACAATTCCAGCTGGAGGTAAGTGGGTTAAATTTGATCTGTCACCTTTACGACATCTCTAGTTTTACCTGCAAACTGTCTTACGAATATCACTTAAAAAGGTTAAATAGCTACCTCATCTTCACCATAAATCAGCACATTATTGTTAACTTCAGTTTTTAAGATAAGAAATTCTATTTGAAATTCCTCCGAGCCGTTCTACGCAGTTTTAAGGGTATCGTTATCATAATCTGTTTTGATATGATGAAGAGAGATTTGGCAATCCGAGCTTACTGGCACCCCTCAAAAACAACAAAACTAACCCTCAATTGAAATAATGAAATGTTAAACGAACTGTTTCTTCTTAGTTTCGAGTTAACATGCATTTGCATTCGCTCTATATGAGGACGACGACGATGATGATGTAGGCCAACGCAACATAGGAAACCTTAATTCTTCTTCCTTTTCTTGACCTTCCTTGTCAGACTGACTAAACACCTTTTATTCCCCTAAGCACCTAGTGCAGTGAGGGATGTACACGCAAGGCCATTATCATCCAAAACGGTCGAAGTCACGTGGTCTCCCCCTAATCAAACAAGAGGAACCATTGTAATGTACACTATATTGTACAAAACTGATCACGTAAGTTGAACTCTGTTTTTTTCACTAGCTTATTCAGTGAAAAATAAGATCGTAGAAAGCAGGCATTTTATCAAAAAAATCATGTGTAAGGCGAATGAACACTTGAAAGGATTCCCTTTACTGTCTCCACATTACAGGCATCACTTTGACTAACGTATATTGAGATACAGGTTCCCTTTCGTTCTTAACAATTGTATGTAGCCGGTGGGAGCAAAGGAAGACATTCAGTACAGGGACAGTTGATATTAAATTTTCCTGCAGTTTTGTCCCAGCGTGCGTTTATCATTCAAAACTGACTTCTTTTGCTCTGCTCTAGGTCCGTTTACAGTATTTTCTCCCCTACTGTGCACGCTTGAATCACCGAAACTAATGTTGCTTCTTGTAAGCTAGTGTTTTCACGAAACTTTCCAGTTGAGTACTGGAGACAACGTCACTTTTTTAATGCAAGTTAGGGGGACATCGTATAGCCGAATAGCTTAGTAACAGCCTCAAGCCAAAATTAACAGGGAGACCAAGCTACTGCTAGCCGAGTGCAACTTTTGATTCACATTATCTGAAATGGTAGCATGAGGATAGCTACTGTAATTTTGGAGCACTACCTTGTATTTATTTCTGTAAGAGACATGCTCAGGCGTGCATGCAGTGGCGCAGATGGCACAAATGACGAAATTAGCAAATTTCTCCAGAGTTCGATATAATCATTAAATAAAGCAAACATTTTTGTTGTCTCCAATTCAGGTCATATGTGTTTTTAAAGTTTAAGTTTATTCAGTTTCAAATGAAGAGGTGGATGTTACATATTTTGGTATAGGGTATGAAAATGGGCGAAGAATTCAGACGTGTATCAAGAGCAATTATCACGGGCTTGAGTGCAAAAACGACTTACAGTGTTTGGATGACAGCCTCTACGGCCAGGAAAGAAGGCGCAAAATCCAATATCATCACTGTTCAAACATGTAAGAAAATACTGAAATCTTCCACCTGTTTATATATTTGTTCATCTGAGTCTGAAATCCCTCTCCGTGAAGCTTGGACAGGAAACCCAAAAATGCCTGACGGAACGTCTGTTCACGACTTTCGTGTAAGCTCATTCGCTTAAGCTGATGGCGTGCTGTCCTAAGAAAATTTTGAATTGTTGCTGTGATTAGTTTTTAATAGATTACGAACTACGCAAGACTAGTTTACCTTTATGTAATATCAAGGCGTTGTTATGGACGAGGAGTGGATAGTGTTGTTTTATTTCTTGCACCTATTTTCCTTTAGATGAAGACGAATGTGTGTCTAATCCTTGTCAGCATCATGGAAAATGTCACGTGGATGGCATGTCCTATTTGTGTAATTGTTCAAGAGCCTGGGAAGGAGCAAACTGTGAAAGTAAGTGAAAAGTACTTAGATTTTATGATCAGTTGCAAGTGGTGATTTTTGACATAAAGGTGACTCAGTCTTCAACTCCCAGCACCTACCTCAGTTCAAAAGAGAACTTGACTAAAATCTGCTTTTCAGTGTAATATTTCTACCCTTACCCATATCAAAGGTGTTATAAACCCCATCAAACTGACGTCGTTTTACTGCAGGTGAGAGACAAAAAATGCCTCTTTGACTTAAACTTAACCAAGAATTCGTTAATATTGACAAAGCGATGGAGCCCCGGCAGGTAAAAAATAAGAGGACACAAAAAGGCTTACTTAATTCTACCAAAAGTCTGTAAGGTCTACTCCTGTGTTATTATTAAAACTGCAGTCTTTATTTGTTTCCTGTCCTCAAAAATTGTTGTCTTATTTCAAATGTGATTAGTGTTCGGTATTTTGAAGACCATTTCAGAGACAGGTCTCTCGTATCCTTGACTTTTGAGGACAAAGTTTTTGGTTTGCATTTATTCACATTTTACGTATTATTCATGATATGTATATATTTTTTTGCAGTTCCTGAAAGTTTTGCTATGCAGAAAAACCTCTGTATCGACACAGGAGGAGGAAACAAGCTTCCTTTTCAAACAAATGTTTCCTTGGAGTTTTGCTCCGGAAAGTGTAGAGAGAATTTAAGGTAAGGGGAATGTGCAAATACACCCACACACACCCACACAAACACCTATTAAAGGGAGTCCTCTGAAGGTAGCCTAAGAACATTTGCTTTTGAGAACGTATAACGCTGGCAATGAAAAACACCTATGTGTTTGTGTATCACCGAACATATTGTACGTAAGTTGTTTCACTTATCCCAAATAGCTTTAGTGTATGAATTTTAAAGAAGGAGAGTTGAAACTCATCAAACCCAAAGGCGACCTGAAGTTTGATTAAATAGTTTGAACTAATCGAGTCCAGAAAGCATCTGGAATAAAGAAAAGTTTCCATTTCAAAAAACTATACCATTCCAACTACTTGCGTGAAGATCAGAAACTCCTCTGTAATTTTCTTTCTCACGAGATGTACCTTTCTTGTGTTCAATCAGCTGTAAATCGTTTGAATATGGACTGGGATATGAAAATAATGGAACATTCGTTAAATCTCTTCGTCGACATGGTCTTGGAATATGCAAAATGCAAGGAGTGGACGCGACAGAGAGAGTCCCTATCGCTTGTAACTATGACTACTATGAGAAGAGAACTCCTGTGTCAGCAGGTTCAATATCTTCTTTGCCATATAAGGCGCTTATAAGAACTTTAGCGTTAATGTTTCTTCTCCAGAAATAGCAGGGGGCGCAAAATTTACAATCAGCGCCAGCTTTAATGTAAATAATGCACCGTGATGTACAAAACAGATTATATACTCCTGAATGTAACTGAATGGATTACATGTACCGCATGAGCTCAGCTAAAAGCTCTTCCAATGGTCTTGACTTATCTATAACAGTAGTTCAAGTTATGTCCTCTTTGGTGAGAGTTCTTCTCTTTACGCTTTACATACTGTTCTTAATAATGTACATGAAAAAAATACGTGCTTCTTATCAGCTGAAAACGAGTGCATTGTCATGCAACACGAGTGCAAAGTTGAAACACGAGTGCAAATTACAAATAGCGCGCGCACGCTTCCAAAATTTCATCTGTCTTGACCTTCTGCGATGTCTTTTCATGTACATTATTAACAAGTAGTAACATGATTTCGAGTGCAATTTGGTGTAGGCGACGACGGTAAAAAGTAGTCATCAGTTGTTACCACTATCCTTTTCAGATCAAGGATGACCTAAATACAAAAAGAACATGCTACGAGCAATCATTACCTTCTTTTAGGGAAGTTTCTTTCATTATTATTTTTTTAAGAAAGGAAAACAGTCTTAAAAAAGGGGGGTAAATTTCTGGGGAAACTGTGGTGCTGCGTCGGTGTGGGAGTGTAATAAGATAATGTGTTTAACAAATGAGTTCATGATGTAAGTTGGCCACCGCTGGCCACCGTGAAGAGTTCGTCAGAGAAAAGAGTTTAGAGTTTCTAAATATTTGATATAGTTCTTACGTTCTAAACTGACTTTTTTATTTGTTTCACCATCAAATATACTTACTTATGGTAAGATAATAGTTCTTCTTTGGTTGAGGGCGACAAATTACAACATTTCATGTTTTTGTTTTCAAAGTCAATTTATCTGTTGTTGTTAGTCAGTCATGTAAATTGTTCAGTCCAGCATTGATCGTCTGTTCTGAAGACTTGAGGTCCTTGTCAACATAAAGAATATTAGTGTCATTTGCAAATAAGGAAAATTTAATTTTATTTGAACATAAGTAAATGTCATTTAGATAATACGACTGGAACTACTCGGTAATAATTCCCCATAAACCAAAAAAAAATTTGTTTATCAAGTAGTATTTTGTGATTGACAGTGCCAAAAGCCTTTTTTAAATCAATGGTAATACCACATGTAATGCTTACCTGTATTGTTCTGCATAGTTTTAACAGTATCAAGGATCACATGATTTAAGGAGTGTGTCTCACGGAAGCCATATCATGAGGAATGTTTTATCGTGTTTATGCCAATAAATTCCTTCATTCTTTAATACAGTAGCTTTTCAAAGATTGACTTGCAATTTGAAAAGAGAGAAATCGGTCGGTAATCAGAAGCATCAGTCTGTTACTCACTTTTTAAGGTAAGTGTAATTTTTGAGATCTTAAATTTGAAGGGTGGACACCAAACGTAATAGAAGTTTCAAAAATTTTCGACTGGACAGGAGATAAAATGTCCCATGAGCATTTAGGACATTGGGCAGGAAAAGAGTACAAACCATATGATTTGTTGTTTGGTAGTAATAAAACGTCCCATTGCCTCAGGACGTCATCTGGGGCAATGGGCCGGTTAAAAAAAGGAAAGAATCAGGTGATTTTAATAATTGAGATAATCCATATGATTACTTTTCGTGGGTAGTTTACTTGCTAGTTTGGTGCTCACACTTGCGAAATGTTCATAAAGAATGCTTGGTATGTGTGATGGGTCACTAATGACTTGACTGTTATTATTTGGGTCTCAGTATAATGTGGTTCTCATTTTATGATATCTGTTTTGGTGGTTTAATCATTCATTGGTTCCTTACCACGTTTTTTTTTTCATATTATATTTACCTTTTTAATAAACAATCAAAGTTATATTGCTTTTGCTTAATCCCTTTGATTTAAAAGTGTCTTTAAAGCGGAACCACTCAAATAAAACATGTTCATCTCCCGGAATCCGTTCCAGAAGTATTCTGATCAGCAAGTTTAAAAAAGAAAAAAGCGTTTTTATCATTCTTTCGCAGAGTTCTGAGAATTTCGCACACGTTAGTTTAGTAATCTTGGACTGTGTATTTTCACTTGATTCAGGCTTCATTGTTGCTAATTCAGCATTACACGTTCCGTTGTACGATCCACCTATTTTATTCCAATTTAACTCAAGGTTGCAAAAAGTGCTTCATCTGTTAGCTAAGGAAATCCTCAGCTACTTAATTCCGTGTGGGATTCAAGGCTTGCTCACGTTCTACAACGGTTCGTGGGCACTAATTTCCTATTAAACATGGGTTGTGTTCCTACGCCCTTAAGTTGCTTAACGCCCTGGAAATACTTAATTAGATATATCACTGTTCGCAGAACTCACTTTATTATCCTTTACCTCTTCCTACTTTAACGGTGACGTTAATAATTTACTTAAACGGTACAAAAATTTTACTAAACGGTAACGAAATTATAACTTACTAGATACACAATTAAAATATAATAAATAAAGGAAATCAGTTTTGAGCGCAGAAACGCTTCAAGGCATTCTTCCCCCTTTGACTCGTCTATGAGTGAAGTATTTTAAGTTTGTGTTTCATCGCGCATCTGCTGCTGCAGCGGGTCTAGGGCTACTAGACCTAGGACTAGGCCTAGGACCTTCTCGACCCTCTTGAGCACTTTCCCGTGGTACTTTGGATGGGGTCTCGCTTCGCACTTCAACGGGGTAGAGTTTTTTAAGGAGTCTGGACATGCGTAGGGACTTCTCTTTAGCAATGACTCGAATGTTTGCACCCTTAACTACGTCATCTTTACCTTTGACGAGACTCTCTAAAACTGCCGTTCTCCACTCTAAACGCTTCTTATTCTCGTCGAAAACTGTGACTACATCTCCACTCTCTGCGCTCTTTGCATTTTTACCTGCCTTACTTGCGTAAGTTAGCCATGTACTCACTGCTCCACCGATTCCAAAAATGTGTTAATCTAACGCTCAAATATGTAAATCTTAGAGTGTATCTACTCTCATCTTCTTCGCCTTTAACAATTTCGTCTGGAATTGTCTTGATTCTTCTCCTGAAGATCAAGTGCGATGGAGTCAGAACTTCTTTGCCTACTTCGTCGAACTCGTAAGTGGATGGGAGTTCAAGGTCTCTTCCACTTCGATCAACATGGTAGACAAAACGTCGAGGTAGCCTTGCATCACCCAACACCTTTCTCAGACGACGCTTCACACATCGAAAAACCCACCCCACCTTTGGGGGGCCCGCTTTGAACTAAACTTCCATTCATCTTTGCCGAACGACTCTTTTTTGCCTGAATTATTTTCGGTCCCTCCATGTGCAAATTCTGAGCTCACAAACTCTCACTACTCACATAAAGTAATGTGCAGAACCCTTTCGGTGGAAATGCGTATTATTTCAACGGTGACGAGGATGAAAAAATCACTTTCTTATCAGAGGATCTGCAGGGTTTCGCGCCTTTGAGAACCTCGGAAATGGCCGACAGAGTCCACCACAATCTTGAAATAATACATTCTTGTATCATTGGATTTCTAAATGCCCTTCACCGGAACGCTAATTTGTCAACATTTGAAAGTGTAATCTCCTAGGTAGGTCACCCCCATCAGTTCATTGAATCCTGAACTGGGTAGCCTGGACTCAGTCGTTAATTAACACTAACCATGAATAAGAAATTGATCCTTTTCCCAAAAAACCTTAGTCTAAGAATTAACATTAAAGTAAACAGATTAATGAGGTTATCAAATAGTGAAATGAACGGACTGGCCGTTTAAATGAAAACATATGATCATGAGGCTGAGCTCCACTTTAATCACAGTGCATCTAAAATTACGTTTGCTCATTCCAAGTGCATACAATAATTTAAGAATTAAATTATCTTCCTTCGTCACAATGTACACTCTTAATATACATTATTCCTAGTTTTGAAGTTTAGAATTCTGTTGTAGAGTTATCCAAAGATGCTTCTTCAAAGCTAGTTGTATCTAAAGTACCTTTCTTTGATCATGCTAATAAACTTTTCTAAAAAAATTTGCTCACAGAATTCTATCAGTGAAAGTTAAAGAGACCAAGATTTTTTCTTTTTTCTTTTTCCTGAGCAATTATGAAAGTTGCACCTTTCATTAATCATTAAAATTAGATCTTGAACTATTTTGTTACTAAAAGGGACTTTAGGTTGAAGGACCATACAGTTGAAACTGGCTTTACCGTTAAAGGGGGAACCAAAATGGCAAAATTTCCTCTTTGACAGATAATTCAATCTGTTCCAAGAAATTATTTACATTTGTGAATATAAGTGTTTATAGAGATGCATGTCAATCATAACTCCTTCCTGTACTGTCCAACCAGACGAAGACGGGGATAAATCTGTGGATCAGTTCCCTTAGGAATGGCTGTCTGACTGAGACTGAAATAGGGTGCAGAAAGAAAATAAATTAGACCATATTCTTTGACAATAAAAATAAATCAATATTGCACTCAATTGAAATCTATACACATGCAAACTTGCCCCTCAAAAATACTTGCAGTGAAAGGCTTTCTGCATTTTTGCAGCTTAACACACTTATCAAACTTCCCTAAAAACATTTAGCAATAGAAAGAGGTGGAATGGAAAAGAAATGAAAATTAAAATCTCATTTGAAACCTGAATCTTTGTTTGGATATCAAAAATGGAAGTGCAGTCAAACCTGTATCAAGCAGTCACCCATGGAGAATGGTGGGATGACTGCTCAATACAGGTTCTAGTTCTCTGATAGAAAACTCCACTCAACCCTTTGACTCCCAAGATCTCATTAGCAATTCTCCTTACCGTCTACCATAAAATACATGTACTTATGATGTTGATTTGGAGAATTTGGTATTGGATCAACATGTAGTTCCCTAATTGAGTTTTCCTCTTTATTCTCATCACTTGTATGCTTGATACTGCATTGATAATGTAAGGAGAAATTCTCTCTTGGTCACTCATGGGAATTAAAGGGTTAATGTACAAACCCTTGCTTAAAAGTACTTCAAACATTGATTTCAGGAAAGGAATATGGATTAAATTTAACTTGAAAGATTCTTCTTTGATCAATTTTAGTGGTTCCCCTAAAAGTGACTATTCAATACAGGTGGAAAACAATGCAAACAGGCCCTCGGGACTCAGTAAAGGGTAACCATGGCTGCATAATAGAGGTAAAAATTACAATAACTTTAGGACTTTGAAGACCTACCACTTAATAAAGAGTGACTGCTTAATACAATACCCCTCACTAGTAATGCAGGTTTGACTGTACTTACTAAATTCCCTCCAGTGAAGCATGTGAATGTGCACTTGTCATAAGCAGCTTAAATGTTTCTTCCTTAAGGGCTACATAACATTTGAGGTATTTGTCATCAGCAAATGTAGCTGACTGTCTCCATTTTTCCAGGTATTTGAGACCTGATAATCCACAAAAGAAACAAAATAAATTATATTAACCCTATGAAGTATTGATAAATAAATAGTTGTGTAAAAAACAGATGGTACAAGTCAGTTTGTTTGGTGAAACATGATGGAAATAATTATAACACTCTGTATCAAACTCAGTAGGCTATCACAGCGTGCAACAAGCAACGATTTATTTTGCTAGGCCTGAGTTACTTGGTAGCTCTTTACAAGACCACAGTGTAACTTCCTCTTTCAGCCAAAAGTTTTTGAGAATGAACAAGAACATTCACTCAACCAATCCGTTAAAAAAATGGAATCTTGATACATGTGAATCATCTGAGCACACTGAAAAGAAAATTTATACAATAATGGACTAGGGAACTCATCTTGATGCTTAAGAGATATACTCAGTGCAGTAGACCATAGTTAAAATGAGAAATCAATATCACTAGATCAATGTTAGCATTGGTGAATTTTATAAGCTTGGATTCAACTGTAGATAATATTCATGCAATAATCACTAACAAACCCAGAAAATTTTAGCAACCACCAGTCTTGTTTTATTTACCATATCCCCTAGTTAATTTTTTTTTATTCTGTTTGATATTGTACTGAAATTGAAAGGAGAAATTCTGTCTTGATCACTCATGGGAATTAAGGAGTAAAGTTGCTACATGAAAATTTGTTACCTGGAAATAATTTGGTCGCAGGACTGAACTCCAAAGACCTGGTAGTTTCTGTAGGTTGATCTGAAGGATGCTGTGCCACAGGACTCCAAAGGTACAGATGCCTCAGTTTTGGCAATTCACATAACTTTGTGCCAAGTTCAGAAATTCCTTCTTCACTGAGCAGGTTACCCTTAAAATCAAGGCACTGCAATGACGAGAAAGATTTAAATGAGGTAAATAGTGCATTTAAACCTGCTTCAGTGATGTTGTTGTATCCCAGACACAGTTCTTTCATTTGGCAAATGTAGGGAGCAACAGTCGCTAATGCTGCAACACCAACATCCGAAATGCAATTAGACTTCAATGATAGTTTGCATAGATAAGGTGTACAATTGAAGCCCTCACTAAGAGTCACAAGTCCCTTGCATGTGATCTGATTTTTGTCTAGAAGCAGTTCTGAGAGGCCAGGTACACAGGGAAGGGCACTTGCCAAACTTTCAGCACCTTCATCTTGAAAGGCATTGCCAGATAAGTCTAAATGGACAAGCCTTGGGGTCTTTCTAACACAGTCTCCAACAAACTTTCCTTGATGTAGCAAGTTTGCAGAAAGATCCAACCTTGTCAATTTTGGGCAGTGTGCAAAGGCTTCACCAAGGACTGTAAAAATGATTCTAGAAGTCTCACTAGCAACATCTGTCTTCCGATTTACATCATGAAGGGATAGATTTTCCAGATGAGGGACCTTGGGCAGTCCACCTGTCAGTGCCTTTACACCCTCAGCTCCAAGGTCGATGTTGTTTTCAAGGCTTAAACTGGTCAGGGTGGCAGTACAAGACAACTTCTTTGACAAGTATGCCACACTGATCTGGGTTAACTTACAGCCACTCAGATCCAGAGATTTCAAATTAGGGACAAACTTCAGGGCATCAATGACATCTTTCATGTCTTCATCTCCAAGTCCACTGTAGCTCAAATCAAGATGGCGCAGGTTTGGACAGGACTTCATAATTAATGCAAAGTCATCGCCAATATCTCGCCTAGATGCATTTCCACTGAACACAAACCTCTCCAAAGGAAGGTTGGGGGACAACTTCCTGCTGAAGGCTTCTACCACACCATCCCCTACGATATTCTGATTGAAGCACAATTCTCTCAGAGAAGGCATTTGTGAAAGAGAATTTGCAAAAAAGGCAGCAGTCTGCTTTTCTAGCTGACTGTGTTCTAGAACAAATGACTTGAGGTCAGGGTTGTTTTGCATGAAATATGTCATAGCTCGCACACCATAAGGACTGATATCACGACCAGATAACTTCAAGATTCCATCAAGAAGAGTTGCCCCCAATTTACTGGCAAGGTGGCCCTGGTGGGACTCAAACAGAGCAAGAACAAACAATTCAAGGAAGTCATTTGCTTCACAAGAGTCAGAAGTGTTGACGGTTTCTTTGAGATTTTCAAGCAAGGGTACAAACACAATCTCAAAGTTGTCCCCAACAAGCCCAGAAACAAAATTTAGTAGAAGAGAGTCAGAGACTTTTGTAACACATTTCAAGGTTAGAGAAAGGACTTTCTTCAATCTTAATGGATCATTTGCAGTGCAATTAATTTCACGACTTAGCCACAATCCTGCCATATACTCTTGGAAAGACTTGTGAACAAAGCAGCACTTCTGCACTGGCTTCAGTCTGGAAGTGCTTGTCTCCTGTGACAACAAACCAAGTTCAAAGACAGTTTTGTTAGATAACTTCTTCTCCAATGCTTGCACATCAAACAGGAGATTGTCTTCAAGTAAAGCATTCAAAGAAATCTCTCCTAGAACTAGCAGGTCATTATAAAGATCCTTGGGGATATCTTCCAAGTCAGTGAACACCCCATCTTTAGCCTCACCACCTGCAGCATTCTTGGCAAAGTATCGTTTTACCATGAGTAAAATTAGCTCTGTAAAAAGAGTTGTAAGTGTAGACAGAGCTTCAAAGGCAGTGTCTGGGGCATCCTCCCACAGAGCGCATATCAGCATGGCTGTCAAGGGAACCTTTGCAATGTCCTCAATGACTGGGTGTGTTTCCAGTTCAGACAATAACAGCTCAGCAGTACTAGCATCATCTTGAAAATATTTTAGCACATAGCTTCTAATGTTTTCAGTGGTGAATCCTGTAATAACCAGTCGTGTGTCCATCATTCGTTGGATATGTGTGGTTTTACCTGGCCTTGATGTGAGAACAACACAGGAATTTCGAAAAATTCTTCCCCTCAGAATGTCTTGGAGGTGAGTCAGGCATGACAAGTTTGCTTCATCAAAACCATCTAGAAGAAAAAGGACTTCTCTCTGATGGGAAGCAAGGTAACTAAGCAATTGAGACACTGGAATGGGAAAATCAGAAGGAAACAACTGCTGGATGATAGCATCCTTGAAACTTCCCTTTATTTGCTTCAGCTCAATGAGAATTACAACTGTGAACGGCAGTACCTTGTCATCACACCTAGACCAATCATGAGCAATCTTACACAGAAATGTGCTCTTTCCCACACCTGCTTCACCTTCCACCAGTATTCGTCTTGGTTTAGAACATCCAGGACGACTACAAAACATCATGGGGTAAGAATCCAAGGGATTTTGAATACACCTTCTACCCTGTGACACCAATGATATGATTTCCAAATTGGTGTAAATGTGGTCTATGTGAATCTGGAATGAGTCATTCCAGGAGATTGGCTGAATCCAACCAATGCTTTTTTGATAATGATCCCATAGGGATTCTTGCATATGATGTAAAACTGCATCGCCTGATCTGTTCTTCACTAAAAAAAAATAAAAAATTACAAAACATAACTAATTAAAAGAACAAATCTGAATATAATCATTACCAATACAATTTCCTCAAAGGTGAATGGTGCAGACTAGCTGCTTTATTTTTCATTAATCATTTTGTAGAGTTGTAATCAGACTGTGTAATTAGACAGTTGACTGTAATTGGACAGTTGAAGCAGCTAATCATACTTAGTCCTTTCAGTCAAATCCACCAATCACAGAATTGATCACAATAATGATAGCAACAACCACTTATCCTAAAAAAGTTGTGGAATTTCAAAAGTTGAGGAATTTTTAGACATTGTCTCTACTATATGTGTTTGTTCTAAATGTATTTGTTGTTGTTGGAAATTGTAACAGTCATGATTAATTAGTTAAAGGACTTCATGTCATCCAATTCTGTCTTTAATTATACTCGTGATTGATAATTCAGCCTCCTGCTTCGCAGTTGTCCGATTTTGTTAATCACTTGTATGATTACAGACCAAATTAGACTCCACTCGGTCCTATTACTATTATTAACTGAGACATCATAGTTATCCATTTAGACGAGTTATTCAGGGCTGATAGACAATAAATGAAGCGAAAACGTTTGAAACACAGGGGAACAGAGCAAATGCTACCAAAGGTCTGAAGTGCAATTCCTCATGGGGACTCAGAATTTTTTCTTTGTCCCATCCTCACGACAAGACAAAAAAATGTCTCTCTCCAATGCTATTGCTATCAGCCATAGCTTTGCAGGTATGAAACTGTTGACTTCAATTGGAAGCCTGGACAGCCCCCTTGCTAGTCAGTTAGTGTATATGATATATAAAACTGTGCTTTGCATATTAAACAAAAAAGTCAAAATTTAAACCCCATTTTACTCAATTTGAGTTTCTTATGTATGCACAAATCAGAGATGTTTGAATGTTTCGATAAGTTTATTTTAGTTTATGCATTTTTTTTCAGTACCCATTGTATTCATAAAATGAAAAAAAAAAACCATGCATTTGTAGCATAGCCTCTTTCTTGTCTCAGTCTGGAAAACCAATCATGATAGATACCGTACAACTTTTCTTCTCGGCCGAATACTCAACCTGTTTCTCCATTTATTCAATCTAACAACAGGTCAGCAAAGTGAAAAGAATATCGTGATTTTTGCCCTCTTAAAGTATGGATCAAAAGGCTTAATAGCGAATTATAATCATACTAAACGTGGTTAGCAAATTGGGCTGCGAGAATCCAACTACATGAAGGCGCAGTGTACTAATACACGAAATTTCTGTAAATCGTTACTTTGTAATTTTCAACGTAATTACAAATGGCAGCTGTACTTCCCACAAATTTGATGACTGTTCAACAAATAGGCTACAATTAGAAAGGTGAAATCTAGCTTACTAACCTTTAACACAGAGTAATTCATCTTTGAGATCAAAACGATTTATCTCGGATAACAGTTCTGCCAAAAGCTCCGTATTTCCTTCACTCAATAGGTTCCTGTTTTCCAGCTCATCGAACAATTCAAGCGGGCGGGCAATCTTCTCCAAAACACCGACAGGAATATGCTGTTTACAAACAAACTTTAACTGACCCAGTTCGTCGTTTGTTATTCCATTTGAGACAGAGAGAAGCCTGGCTCGAAACTGATCCATCACTATTCTGCCAGAAGTAGACGGAATTTGGAAATCCCAGCGTTTACTGTACTCGTAGAAGTTCACAATTTTAATACAAGCCAAAGTTACATCGTCTTTCTGTCATCTTCGAAGACACTTTACTTTGCAGAAAAATTGCCTGTTGAAAATGATTTCTAGATGCATAGCTCTCTGTTTCGAGATGTATTTTTAAGGATCACTCCAGAAATAAAGTAGTGTCAAGCCTCCAAGAAACCGCCCCAACAATTCCCAACCTGTTTCATTTCATTGGAGGTCACTCTGGAGGAAGTCCGCTGGCCTAGTCGCGGTCTCCCGCACATAGACACAGTCAGGGAGGACTTGCGTAATCCCATGTTCCTGACGCGATGAATAATCTGAGCTTCAAGACGATACAGATTTCCACTCATAATCTCGAGCTCTGCGTGTCTTTCCCTTTTAAACCTACATTTATGGCTCACAGTCCCAGATTGCAGGCTCTCGTGTAATGTCAGGATTGGCTTCTGGTAATGTACACTTTCAGTGGACAGGGGAAACCGTCCCCTCACAAAAATTTACCTTCAAGGTAAATGTCCTTCTAAGGCGGATTTCGAAGAGCCAAATACATCACACAAATAACAATCGATCGATGATAAGTAGGCTTGAAATGTAGTCGTAATTTAAATAAACCATCATTTCATTGGTTCTGTTGGATTTTTTAAATCTACATCTCGTTTCAAACTACGGAACAAGGTGTATTCCATAATCGCGCGCTCAACCATTTTTTGGGAAAAGCTCGTTTTTCGATGTTTCAGAATGTAACACTCACTGGGTCGATTATTCAAACAAAGTTTAGCCGTTGTTTAACAAAACCGCGTTCTACACTATCTTAAATTTAGCTGAATCTTTCATCTGAACATTTGTTTTAGTGAGCAATGTCAAGCCGTGCCGAAAGCTCGCAGGGGATGGACATTAATTTAATGAAAACAACACCCTTATAGAGAATACGTAAGGCCCACTGCTTGCGTTAAACCGCGGTTTGGGTTAGAATTCGTGTAAATAACTGTCCCTTTATGTTTTCATATTTATTTTGATCAAAGTTTTTCAGCGCTGCATAGACATATTGACGATGTGATATTAAACTAACAGGCCATGGAGTTTTAAGTTTGTTTACTTGAAATCTTGTCCCATTTGGAAAATTTTATGGATCTTTAAATTGAGATTGAAATAAAAATTCTCAACCAATTCAGGAAGTCAGGAGACCTTAGAAACTTTGAACGCAGTCGATTTAAGGCTGAAGCAAAAAAAGTTACACTAACTGGCAAATGCGAGGCGAAATACGACTTACATTGTACTGAATACGAATCACGAAGTCTTCGTGATTTCGATTCATGATTGATTTCTAATCTTAATGATTGTTTCTTACTCGGAACTGGTTAGATCAAATGACCACCACAAACCATATAATATTTGTTTCCTTACTCGGAACTGGTTAGATCAAATGACCACCGCAAACCGTATAATATCAAGTCAAGCTTTAATAGTTATTCGATCTAAAAGAAAAAAAAATTATAATTCGCAATCAGAACGAAAGCAAATCAAGTCTTAATCTCGTAGCTAAATTATAAAACTTCAATGTAAACTTACTTCGGTGGCGAGTCGTTACAACAGTCTCACTTTACAGGTTAGCAGATTCTCTAGGTAAGCGGATTTAGAAACAGAAAAATTGATAACAAAATAACTTTTTTCCCACTTCGATTCCGGTGAAAAACTGACTTGAAACATAATAATCTAACGCTTTTAAATCAATCTATGGAATTAATGTCAATCACAATTCTTGTCATTGAGTAAATCTGTCAACAAGAGGCAATGCCTATTTGATAAACGAAACAATGATACTGGCATGCATACTCCCCCTTCCCCCCCTACCTTAACCCCTCCCCGACCCCCCCCTCGAGAGTAACTTTCCGATGCTGTGAAATTTTTTTTCTCATTGTTGATTACTCATTTTAAAGTAGTAAAAAATAAAATCTCCAATAAAGAGAAGCATCGCTGAAAGTCCACAGACCTAAAACGAAAATAAACAAAGCCTGTTAGTCTTTATGTTTCCTTGTTTATAAGCAGCTGCGTGTAACATTTCGAGAACATTTTAGCGAGAGATCAGATATATATCATGGTCCTGCTAACCTGAGGTAAGGTTAACGTATTAATACCAGACTTCAGCGAAAATGATCTGATGAGCAGCGGTGTGGTGAGTGAGAAGGAGGGGCTGAGGGGCGGGGTGAGGAAGGCGGGTGAGAAGGAGGGGCTGAGGGGCCGTCCTGGTATTTTCAGGCAAAGTAAGTACATTGGCCTATCACTGAAATACTCGACGGTGATATAATGTCAGAAATAGTTCTGTTTTCCCTCTCATTCACTTTGGTTGACCCGTTTGTTTGAGAGATATCACCTCAGTTAAATTTAACTTCGCAAAGACCACAATGGAAGAAGAAAGAAAAAAACCTATTCAAGGGACTAACCGCTGACACCTGTAGGTGCCCACATGTTTGCCTCCCAATATGCCTCTGAGCTTGACAAAGGTTCATTTCCCCAAGCGGGGTGGGGTAATTAGAAAGGTGAGTAACTTCATTCAACAGTAAAGAGCTTGAAACGAGCAATAAAACGGCGCTAAAAATACTGATCCCCATATTCTGAAAAGAAGAAAAACAATTTTAAGTATCTGTGAGGTCAGAAAAGTAGGTTTTTAGCTATCGATTGTCGAATCATTTAGCCGAAAAATAATTACGACAATGACACGAAATATTACAAACACGAAATTTACATGGCCTAAAACCATTCAACTTGTGATAAATGCGATTTATTGTATGATCAACAGGCAGTGGAAGAAACAGAAGTTGCATGTGCGAACCTTACGTTACAAAGCGGAGCGCCATGCAAATCAACCTGGAAGTAGGTGCCTGTAAACTGTGGCAAATCTGAGAAAACAGGATTATAGCTGGTTTTTTGAGGCTCTCCAAGTCACACCAAGGGTACTTACCTCGCTGTCTCAGTGTCGACATTCACGCTGGCTTTTGCTTGCACGTCGTATAGACTATTCAGTGTTGTGCATTCTTGCCTTCTGAATTTTTGGTAGGTTTGCGTATTGTTTAGTTAAAAAACAAACAAACAAAAAAAAACAAAATAAAACAAAACAAAAAAACAAGAACAAAAAAACCTGTCATCAAAGGGGGCGGGGTGGGATCAAGCGCTCCTCTGGACCCACCTTAGCTACACCCCAACAAAAAAAGATTCTGTTAAGGGTCAGTAAGGGTCTGTTAAGGATCAGTGCAGCCTAAAAGAAATTCGAGTCTACGGAAGAATTGGTTAGCATCTACTCACCAGAATATTCCATTTTTTCCCGATTCTGTCGCTGAGCGACAACAAAGAAAATACAAAAATCAGTGTGACGAGCAACCAAAGAATGATGGTGGAGGTCATGAAGAACGAAAGTCTCTCCATGTGATCAGGCCGGGAAATCTCCATATCATCTCTTGATTTAAAGAAGTTATTGTAAAGAGATATTATTACAAACGCTGACAGCAGCAGGATCTGTAAAAGAGTCGTGCGTGCAAGTAAGCGGGTCAAATTCTTTCAACTATAATAGCTAAATAGTTTCATACTCTAAATTAATTTAATTCAAACAGAAATATGGCTTCTCTGAGGGGGCAAAAAAACGCAACGACCGGAGTGGAGTACCATCTTAATTTAAAATTTTCTTTCAGACTGCAATTACACAAAAGGGAAGAGATTTTAAAAGCTGAGAAAAAATGATTGAAATAAGTCAATGGTCGAAACTCAGAACTCAACACAGCCTAAAGGAGGTATTTTCCATCAGACCCCGATGTAAAAATTCCAGGGTCTAATTATCATTATAAGATGATTTCGAGATACTGGTATTTTACTGTAGAATATTAAAGGGGTATTAGCGAGGGAATACTTATGAGAAGTATGCTTTCTCTGTTATAGATGCTGTAGAGAAGCGAAAGGGCTTGGATCTCGTCGAGGGAACATCGCGCACAAAATGTGGTTTTTAATTGCCCCCACCATTCCCCCCTCCGTCGCATCTTTTCCAATTTATACCCCAAGGAGTAAAATATAGATATGTTTCCATTTAGCGATGACATAATTTTATGTAAATCATGTGAGAAAGAGAGTCATTCTCCAGACAATTAATTATTCTTAATGACTTACAAATTCTGCAATCTTAGAAACTCCAGCAGGGGATCTCAAATATTCCGAGGCTGACATTTCGCTTAGGATTATTTTTTTAACCTTAGACGCAACGGAGTTCTTGAGTGAGGATCTCTGGAAAAATCTGCCTGAAATCAAATTGACGTAGTATCCAATACTTTTTTAGTAGAAGAAATGCTGTCCTAATCAAATCTAAACAGAACAGTTGCACTAATATTATTTATCATCAAACATTCTATCTCAGAAAAAAATGAAAGGTAAGAGTTAGCTATGAGAGAGCAATACGAGTGAAAGAAGAGTACTACGGAACAAGTTGTTACTTATGAAATACGAGGAACCACAGCAAATGGCACTTGTTGGTAAGCACCAAGATCTTCTCGCCTCTGAGTAAATGAGTGATCTTACCTTAAAGTTAGGTTATTTTGTCTCGCATACCTCTCACACGTGAACTCGTTTTTCCCGAGATGATTGAACAAAAAGCAAGCTTGATTTAGTTAATTTTTTTAAAAAATATCTACTTACATCTTTCTGAAACTGGACACGTTTACTAAGATAACGACTTAATTCAATGCGTCTCTCCACCGTCAGACTATTTTTCCAGCTATTACTATCATTCCCACAGAGAACCAGATCACATATGAAATTAATTCTGCTAATGTCATAGGACCTAACGAGCTTTTCATTCATTAAAACCAATAAATGAAGTGTCCCCCGCATTTAATGTTCTCAGATATTAATACTGATAACCCCTCACATTTTTTCTTACTCAAAGTTCAAAGTAACGAATATAGTCAATGCTATTCCTACAGTTAACACTTACTGATGTTAACATAAGGTGGGCGGAGTATGTTCGAATAATTGACTTCCCCCCACATCACTTAGCTTGATATAATATCGACAACTTGACCATATCTTAGCTGCAACTACATCAGGGAAAACGGCAAGCACACTTCTAAAAACTTTATTTACGTAGTGTAATATACACAGCAAGTCTGGGATCTTGACGCAAATCTCTCTGTTCCTTGATGTTTCGGGTATGCTCTCACATATTGAAGCATATGCTCTGCACAAACAAACGTTTAAATTAATTTCAGGTGTTGATCTTTCGAAAATGTACTTAATGAGGTTGCAACATCAAAAGCCATCTACATAGTAGCCTAAAGATTTATTCGTTGCCAAGGCGATGTCCTTGGCCCCAACCTCCCCAACCACCACCACCTCCACCGTTGTCTTGGTTGCGTGGCCTACGGCTTGCAGGGGGAACACCAAATCCACTTACACCTCCCTGGCGGTTTGGAAGAAGCTTGTACCTATAAAAAGGAACAGAAATGACAAACAAAATTATTTGAAACAAATTCTATTCAATCACATCTATGAATCATAGCACTGGTTTAATCAATAACCTCACTCCTCTGGCAAGAATATTACTTACTTATATAAAGGAACTATCGCTGGAAAGCATACTAATCGAGAGAAATGAGATAGTAAATCATCTATGCTACAATATATTTCAATCTAACCAAGTTAATTAAATAAAAAGTCGTGATAGTATCATAAGTACCCCTGATATGAGATCAAACCTTAGGAAACTACAGAATCTGATGAAAAAGTGAAGTATTTTGTATAAAAGTATCTATCAAGTAAAAGAGCCTCCATGTGATCATTCAAGGTAAAAAAATAAGCCAACAAAGCAATGGAAAATGTACAATGGAAAATGTACAATTGAAAATGTACAATGTAAAATCAACCAGACTACATACAGTATGGATGGTGTAGAGAGAAATCGCTGTCCTCCAAAGTCTTGTGGGTATTTGAACATGAGGAAGAAGTAAAGGTGTCCCACAAAGATACCAATTAGCTCCATAATACCACTGCAATCAAAATAGATAAAACTTGTTTAGGATTTGAAATGAAGTTTGCACAAAGGCAGAGTGAGTTCTGATACATACCCTCCCTGAATGACCATGTTAAATACAGCTAACACCCATGGAAGGTACATTGCCTGAAACAAAATAAATTAAATTCAACAGTGCCCCATACAAGTCAACTTTATGCTGAGGGTGTCTGGCTCTTTCCAAATCTTTTTGAACATTTGAAATTTGTTGAAAAAGGAAAAACATACACTATCAGGGTATGTTGGAGAAGTTTCAGGGTTACTGTTTGAAAACCTAAATGGCAAGTTTTTCATGTACTAGTATATTTGAGGTCTATTTTTTAACAATTTGAGAAACAAAAAGAGAATAAATGCCTTAGAGATCATAACTTTAAACCACCATTATGATTATCTTTTTCATTCTTTGTCAAAATTAAAGATGGGTAATAAGTCTGAAGGATTCTGTTACAAAAGAAAATAGAAATCTATACCTTAAACTGCATGCCAAACCAGAACTGTACAATCATATCTTTATTCACTTGACACCATACATAAAGGACACTTAAAACAAGTGGGTCCATGAGAAGCTAAAAAGCAAAAACAGACATTATGCTTTGGGACAACAAACAATACAATATGACAAATACAGGCATTGGAAAAAGGAGAATACTTGTGCTTCTACCCACAAATCACTTTCTACATTTCAATGAAATCATGTGTTTTTAAAAAAGGTGTAACCTGTAGGTTGTGTGTGTGCTTTGAAGCATAAAGTAGTGGAGCTGTGAAAAAGAGTGGTCACAAAACTGCCCAATAGGCAGTTATTTCAGACGTGCAAAAAATTTTCTCCTATCCACTATCCTCCAACCAAAACATTTCTCAATGAAAACCCTGTTTATCTAAATGTTACAAACCGCTGAAGAACACTACAAATGATCATAATAAATGAGTATTGTGTGTTGTTCATAGAGGTTTTTCACACTATCAATAATTTTTTTTTTTTGGATTTATAAGGATTGAGGAAAAGTTTAAAAATATTGCAAACATTTGAACAGGACTTAATATTGATTTTCCTTACAGGGTATTCAATGATTGTAACCATGGATACATCTTTTAGTTTAAACTGTTTTCAGGTTAAACAAGTGTATAACTTACCCTCAAAGGCATAAGAAGTCCTATGATCTTTTGTTAGTTATGAAGACAAGTCAAGGAACACTTCAACCCAGTAAACAAACATTACAATATTAACACAAAATAGCTTTTTAAACCCAATTTCTAAATATCAACCATGCAAGAGAGAATAGGAAGAACTCTAGCTAAGGTCAAAGTACTGATTACATCACAAATAAACATTTGTTTTAACTTAATTTTCCATATTAAATTCTTAGGAATTTGTATTTTCTTCTTTGTTGTTTTTCTTCCATGTCATTTCTTAACAAAGATACAATTAAAATGATCCCATTGAAGAGCATCATAAACAAGTAATCAGCTGGCCGACCATCAAACAGGCCTGCAAGGAAAAAGAAAAAATGCTTAAGAAGTAATAACATTAGATTCACATCAAGCACTGATCTACAAATTCAATGTGAGGCAGTAAGATCATGAGAAGTTAAAACACAGTTCTGTACAAGTTTATCATTGATGCAAGATACACCACAATATGGTTAATGCTCAAATGTGTCTGCAAAAGGGATGAGGGGGTTAAAAAGCTTCTGGGCTTTGATGTATAGGCTTCTTAGAAAAGGAGGTTTAGGTAGTTAAAATTCATAAGGAGACAAAATTTGACTAGTTTTTATGTGCTTAATATCATTGTCGCTCAGATATCATTAGCATCATACACAGTATGCATTTCCTAAAATGAAAATCTATATGCAGGACTAAGATTTATTACAGAATATTCTGTAACAAATGCAAACTCTCCTACATCAGTGACAGTTTGACACAAGGCAGAGGAAGTGTAAGGGTTCTGAACAAGGGAGCTCAGTTGAGAGTGTTATTTATTCACATTCCCATACTTTCTCATTCTTGAGCAATGTAATGAATCATGATTATTTGATAAAAGAAAAGTGATAAGAAAGAAAAATGGGTTAGAACATATATATTTTAAGCAATAATTTAAACTAATATTGCAGATTATTTTAAATTTTCACACTAGATATTCTAGGTTAAACCAAATACCCTAAGTAAACTAGCAGTTATCCACAGTCTCCACTGTAAATCAAACACTCTCTGGTCACCCCTGTTATTTCTTTGGCCAAGTAGGTTAAGTTAATTTCCCTACCTTAAGCAGATTTTACCATAATCTTAAGACTTATGAATTATATTTCTCACATTTCAACCAAAACTGAATGTGAGTCAACAAAGTTCAATTAAATTTTTTAGGAATTCAAGATTCTGTATAAACCAGCTTTTTCATTATTTACTTGATAGAGTGAAAAAAAAATTACCTGTTTCAAGTCTTGTAGAGTATGAATACAGGAAGTATATATTAATCAAATAATGAAATCCAGTCTGAGGTGAAATAGGGTAGTATACAAATGATGTGACCAATCTCCATATCTGGAATGAAAATTAGAAGGGATCTGTAAGAATTAGTGTCTCCCTTTGAAATGCTCCATTCAAAAAGTAGATTACATGTTGCTGTCCCTATGTTCAGTTATAAATCACATATGACGTCAAAATATGTAATCAACAAAAAAAGGCAAAGGAAGCACAGCCAGGTGTGTTACTGATGGCCTTCATATGACATATTTTGCAAGGGCAGTCAACAAGTAGACTCTATTCAATCTTTGACAAATTGTACCATTTAAACCCACTAAATATTACATGAACTCACACCAGCTGCAACACATGGTAGGGATTAAAAAAATGTTTCCCTCCAACAGATATCCATGGGAAAACCAGGCAAATTGCACTAACAAATTAAAGTAACATAATTTCCCAACACTATCTCTGGAGTATGCTGAATCTTGTAGCTGTATCAAAATCAACTGATCGTCACAGTGATAAGTAGACTTCCTACCCAAGTGAAGCTACACTTTGCAGAAAAATTAAGCCCATCCGCCATTTATGTCTTATCCTAAACGCTTTTGTCTTCAACTTCCGGCTAATAACTATTGATCATATATAGAAAGAGAAAAAACTAAGTTGCCAAAAATTGATTACTATGACAACAACCATCAAAAAATAGGTTGAGTGCGAATGGTTTATTCTTCATACAATACGAATTAATTGAGAAATTTACGGAGCAGTTAATTAGATTTTCTTCGATTTTTCATATCGCCCCTTTAAATGTCATTACAACTGAGTACTGTATCTACACCTGTATGCTAAATAAATCTTCGCAAGTAATATTTTTTATTTCTCTTCAATACCATTGTCTAACTTTCGTATGACTGCTTTCATATAACACACTGGCTTACCTGGAAACGGTGTACTACGCTTGCATAGTCCAGCATCATGTGAAAGCCATTTATGAGTCCTAACCTTCCAAGAAGGGGAAATACGATGGACAGAGAGAACCACCATCTTGTCACAATAGGTATACCTCGAAACCACGTTCCAAGTTCATTCTCTGCCATTCTTTCACGTAATAAAATATCCTTGAATTTTAGCCTATGGCAAGTTAATCACTAAAAGCGGATTGAAAATCGTCCAAAAATTATCGCAAAAGTCCTGATATAGCAAATTTCAAACAAAACAGACGTGGCGAAGAGTTACAGCACCGGGAACGTTTTAGTGCATTGTGGGACATCTAGTGACAAGGCTTACGCGGTCGAGAAGGAACTAAAGGGCCGGTCGAACAAGCTAGGCGACAAAAAGTGGTAACTCGGCCGAATTTCGGGAAGAATTTTGCTTTAACAAATTTTGTGCACTGGAAAGTGACAATCTTATCTTTATGCTGAAAACGTCAATCAAATTGTTTGCTCTCTTTAAATATTCATTTCAGCGACGCGCGTTAAATTAAAGATCCGAGGTCATAACATCGGGCATCTTGCGCAGAAAGAAATTTAAAAAATACACAGAGATGATCCTTCCAAGAAACATGTTTCTGATGGTTTGCAGTTTTCCTTGCGTTGCAATTGAATATCGCTCAAGGACAACTGCTAATTCTAACGTTGCTTTGCTACTGGAAAATTCACCTTCTTACAATGAAGGTGTTTTTAATGCTACAGATGAATCATAGAAATGCATTATGACGTCGCCGTCGATTTCGTCCATACTGGGTGCTTCCCCGACCAGCTGAATCTTGGTTCAAGATTAATTTCAACTGCAGAATTATATGAGAGAGCATTTTTTTTATCGTCAATTGAAAATGAACGAAATACATTCGATCGCCTCTTAGTAATCTTACGTCCTTTTCTTCAAAGGGAAGATACAAAAAAGAAACTGTATCAAACCAGAAAGTTCTTTCAATTGGAATTTATCGCCTATCGCACGGAGAATCATTTGAAAGCGCCGGTGTTGCTATGAATGTTGGAAAAACAAAAGAAATTGAAGCATTCATGGACGTCGTGGATGGGCTGTGTGAACTAAGGAACGACTACATTAAGTTTCCCACCACAGTGGCAGAAACAACAGCAGCATCTATAACGTTCACGCCCCTTTCCAACCTTCCGAATATAGCTGGTGCAATTGACGGAACCCACATCAAAATCAAAGAACCAAAAGATAGTGCAGTCGATCATTTTAGCCGTTACCAACATGATGTTGTCGTGCAGGCTGTTGTCAACGGAAAAAGGGCTTTCATGGATGTTGCAGCTGGGTTTCCGGGAGCATGTATGATGCTTGAGCTCTTAGAAATAGCAGAGAGAAAGCAGAGCATGGAGACATTCTTGATGCAGGACCAACTACTAGAGTCGATGGAAGCGAAATACAACCTTATTTAGTGGGCGATAGCGCCTATCCTCTTTCTCCGTGGCTTCAGAAACCCATTCCTGAAGGTACCAGAGATCCGGATGAGATTCGGTTTAACCAGGAGCTATCACCAGAGCGAGTGCAAGTCGAGTGTGCATTCGGAATTTTGAAAAGTAGATGGAGAATCCTTATGTGTATGGAAGAGTGCAGAGCTCAGCTAATTTCGAACATCATTTTGGTGTGTGCAGTTCTACATAGCTGTTGTATATTATTTGGAGATGAGTGGGAGGAAGAGGATGAAAACAATGATCATGATCAAAGAGATAACGATGAAATTCCTTTAGATGGGGACAACATCAGAGAGATTCTTGAGGCCTACTTGAGTTCCATTTCATATGGTATCTAAAAGAATGCGTTTTAATTACATTACTATGAAGATCTGTTTAAAATCTCTCGGCCTTGAAATTTTTTATAATAATTATATAGCTATAGCTAAAAGTTCATATGTTCTCAAAGATCATTTTCAGAATGTCTAGCAACATTGTGTTAAATCACTGCGATACTCCTCGATTGTCAAAAATTACAGTCAAAAGTGATATTAATTAAGAATGTATTAGATCCTTTGTATTAAAAAAATCTTTCAGAATAATCAAAACTTTAGCAAGGAAAGCGAGCGAAATTTTCTCTGTTCACGCTAGATGATCTTGATGCAAGAACTCTTCAGTTTGGCGCGCTTTTGAAATGAACATGATGCATGTACGCGCGTTAACGGAGTATGGATGGTGTGAATGAATTTTGTGACACTAAACACAAAGGTGCGATATCATCGCCTGACAAAAAATTGGCGAGCTCCGAGGGCTCGCCGATTTTTTGTTGCGGCTTCTTTGAACTTAAGTAGAGTGGGACAAAATTTTGTCCAGGTGAAACACGCCGGTCGCACACGTCTACAATACGCGTTGACAGAATTTTTTGCAAAGTAAAAAAAAATCTGCCCAGTGCCTTATATATCTGATTAGAAGTTTTGGCTTGTGGGTATTTTGTAGGTACAGGAGCACACACATGGCGGCCACGTAAGCAAAGTAGCGTTGAAAAGCGAGGACCACCATGGTCAAGTATTTTTGCTGCTCAGCCTTCAGTACAAATTACCATCTGAACGCGTAACGTAAACGGGGGACAGGTCAAGTTTTTTTGTTTGCCCCGGGACCCTTAAATCGAGCTGCTTACATTAGAATTCTTTGGAATTCTGATGTAAACGGGAGCATTGGATGCAGAAATACACGTACTGTATTGCCTGAAAACCCTGTCCCAGCCTCCCATTAAGTCAATTAATTACCTTTGTTTTCGCTGTCAAGACTGGATACGGCCGCCGAAGAGGCTTGGGTCTATGGTTAATTTTCTCTCTACAGCGGGTGGTATGGTCAATTTATGAACAACACTTACCCCATTCCCACAGTGACACTCTGTTTTGCTCCATTTCAGCGAATATTTTCATTACGTTCGCGGAGCTTTAATTTCGGGATTTTTTTTATAATCGCAAGGAAAGTGAAACCAAGTACCGGCGAATTTAAGTACGAGTAAAGTACTAGCATTTTGATAGCAGCTCTTTTGATGAACGTTATTATATTCGCATAATATACACAATGTTTCTGAAATTTTAAGTTATAACACAACAAAATGGAAACTTTTTCGTTTTACCTGTATTTCAGAGCGAGTTTAGACCTTGTTGAAGGATTTTAGCTTGTTTAGAATACTGTGGTTACTCGAAAACATCGCTGAAGGCTAGTGCCTCATTTGTTTACATAACATACCAAAACAATACAAGCTGTTTACCGCAGACTATTTGCAAGTAAAATAACTTGGCTAAAGATAACACGCCGTTTGATTTTTGTTTAAGTGTTCAAAATTAAAATAGTATCAGCTTGTCTATTTTTAGTACGAACGGTGATAAACACAAATTTTATCCGTCGAGTTTACTCTTTTACTGTAAACATCGTGCCTCTTTGACGAATTTCTGATGAACAATATAAGACAAATGAATAAGTGAATTGAAAACACAAAACAATCTTCTCAAAGTATTTTTTGGCAAACAATAATTTACGAGTTTGATAATATTAATTCGTCAAGCTCTGGCCAAGATCAAAAGTTATCGTTGATTTTAAAATACTTAATCAGTAACTGCTAGCTGGAGACAGATTTCACTCGTTTTAGATTGATTTGGTGTTTGGGAAACGAGATCAAAGGGTCCAAAGTCTCGTACGTTTAAGTTCTTGCAAGAGTTCATAGTCCTCTTATTCAAATAAACGTCCGCTTATAAAGGGTGGGGAAGGTGAGGAAAAGAATTTAATCTCAATCAGGTATAAATATCGAGAGCCAATATTAAGTGAAGTATAATTAAGGAGGGATAGATGTGAATTTAAAACACAAGAGGGGTAGCTTTTTGTCAGACCACGATAGCGCCAAGTTTGATAGGTGTCCACCGCCCCCACCCCCCCCCCCTTACTTACTTTCAAAACAGAACGTTATTACATAAATAAGCCACGCCACTCACTGCATTCAATCAGTGCGTAACGGGGAACATAATACAGACGTCTCGCGCCATCATCAAATCAATTCTGCTTTACAAGAGGGTAAACAGGCTAACAGCAGTTAAATATACGACTACAACTTAACCCGACCCAAGATTTATTCAACTTTTCATAAGTTTGTGCTATTTGAGAATACTTTAAAACTGCAAAGTAACAGGAATCTGAGAGCGATTGCATAACATTCTGTCAAAATGCCAGTCTTGGAAAGCTTCAAGAATCACATCAAGGAAGCATTCCTCGATATCTCCATTATAACATACGTATTGGTTGTCATTTTTGGCACAGCTTCATGGATTGCCATCAACGGGCTCTGGGTCGAATTACCTATCATTGTCCAAGAAATTCCTGAAAGCTGGTCTCTTCCATCCTACCTGACAGTGATAATCCAACTGGCAAACATAGCTCCGTTAGCTTTTACACTTGGGAACAAGTTTTATCCTCGCATGGTCCACGAGATTCCCGTCATATACATCAGCCTGTTTATTGGCACGGTTTCCTGTGTTCTGTTGGTATTTTTTTGGAAAGAAACGTCCTTCATCGCCGGAGCTGAAAGAAGCACTGCGTTGTTAGTCCTCTGTTTCTTCCTTTCTGTAGTTGATTGTACATCGTCTGTGACGTTCCTACCATACATGGCAATCTTTCGAGAAGTCTACATGAGCCCATATTTCCTAGGGGAAGGTTTAAGTGGTCTGATACCCAGTCTGGTGGCATTGGGGCAGGGTGTGGGCGGGGGGTCTCATACCCCTTGCCCCAATGAAAGCCCCACACAGGCTCCCGTGAACACCACAAATGGAACCTCCAACATCACCGACTCTGGCAGCTGGGGACCCGGCCCAAAATTTCCCGCTGAAGGATTTTTCTGGTTCCTGGCTGGGATGATGTTGGCATCTGGGTTGGCCTTTTTGGGATTGAATTATCTCTCTGTGGCGAAACGACAGCAAGTGAAGACGATTTACGAAGTTTCTCCCGACGGAGGCCAGCGTTCCACCTTAGAGCTTGTCTCTTATGAGCAGGGCAGCTCACCAGGTTCAAATCCACTATCTAATCAAGGTTCCATTGATCCTGACAAGACGACCACGAAAGATTCCATATTCCTTATGGCTATCTTAGCTGTTGTCAGTGGCCTGAGTAATGGTGTGATACCAGCTATACAGTCATATGCCTGTATTCCTTACAGCTACTACATCTATCATTTGACTCTCACCCTGTCCAACATTGCCAATCCAGTCACCTGTTTTGTGTTTCCATTCATCCGCTCTACTTCAACACTGATCATAGCAGTGCTGAGTTGTGTCTACTTTGGAATGTGTACCTACATTCTCATCGTTGCATCACAAAGTCCAAATGTGCTGTTGCGCTGTAACGATTCTGGTGCTGTTTTGATTGTAAGTATATCCTCCGATGAAGTAATTAACCAATTCCTTTTCGGTTAACTTTTATATGAGCAAATGCAATGAAATAATCATCGCACTAAGCTGGTTAAGTACTGCCTGATTACCTAACACCGAAAACTGACTGAAGATCCCGAAAATTTTTTGAGAAATCTTATAGGCTCCTGGGTAACGTCTTTGGACCATGTAGGTGTTTCGTATGCATAATTGCCCTGAGGCCTAGGATTCTTAGCGATTCTTTCTCAGAGTTTCGAACTTTCGCTAAGCTGTGCGAAACGTAGGACGAACGAGCTTAATGTTAAGCTTTCGCTAAATGGCCTACATTTGACATGTTGAAAGCAGTGAATGACATTTAACAAGACCAGTTTTGCGGCAGCTTCTTTTATTTGCCTTTGCTGATTCGCAATTATCGTTGCGTGAGTTTTCCTCGAGGAGCCCCAGGGAGAGAAACATCGCCAGAAATAAAGGACATTTCGAGCCCGCTAACAATTATCAGCGGTATATCGTATTACACTCCGGAACAATAGAATAGAATTGAGTCAACATGCCGGCGATTATGGCTCGATCTGCAAAGAAAACATCTGGACCAATTATTGCAAAAATATTTTGGGATGTGAGGTTTACATTTACATGCCGCTTCGTTCTAAATGACCTGTTTCACTAGTAGTCCAGCTGAGCGATCTAAAAGTTGCAATTTCAAACGATACAAAGACAATCGAGTTTTTGCTATGCACCTGTTTTGTCTTTCACGTATTCAGCTGTGACTGAGCTCGAAAACCCTACTATTCGCTAATGATGAGTCACTACCGTTACATTGGTTGTACACTGAGTACCAAAATGCTAATTTAGAACACAAATAAAAAGTGACTGACAAAGGCTCAAGTTATATTTTAAGTTTTTTGACGACCAATGAATATGTATCTCCTTTTTTTTAAGGTCTTCATCAGTGTCAGTGCAGTTTCTGTGGTAACTTACATCAAAGTTGCTATTGGAGGAATAATGCGAGAGAAAGGACGCAGGCATTTGTTGTGGTATGGCGTAAGTGAACAGATTGGTTCATGTGTGGGAGCATTAGCCATGTTTGCTCCCGTAAACATCTACCATTACTTTAAACAAGAGTGAAAGTATTCCCGTAAAAACACTGTATAGCCTGGAACGTGAAGAGAGCTTTGTCTTGTGCTCCAGGTCTCCAAAGATTTAAAGGACAATTTTATGCATAGATGTTACCGCATGTTTTTTAACCAGCATGGCATACAGCATCGAAAGGTCACAAATTAGATTCTCGCCGCTATTAAGGAAGAGAATTCATTTCGTTGTTTAGAAACTCTGCAAAGGCGACGTGAGATAAGTTTTCTTTTCTTTTTCTTTTTTTTTTTTTTTTTTTTTTTAATTTCATAAAGGAATAAGAATGGTCACTTTCTCTCAGGCTGGTAGAAGTCAAGTTGGGGTTTCAAATCAGGTTTCTTTGTCAACTGGTGAGAATGAGTCAGTGAAGACTCTTAAGGCTGTGACGTAAAGTCATTGAAGCTCTTTGCTCCTTACCAAAGGATTTACGGTTCAGACTCTCCGTTGGTTAAGTGAATCGAAGTTCTATAGATAGGTTAAAAATCTTACGTGAAAGCTTCTAAGAAGAAAAAACTTAAACTGGCGAGTTTTATTTCAAGGGAAGCTATTGTAAAGTCTTACAGACTTTTCAATTTTTTTTAGACTTTTTAGATTATTGGACTACTCAGCTTAAGTAGACTCTTTAATAGGATAGCTTTTTTGCTTTAAGTGCAGCCGGAGTATTCTGAGATCCTCTAAAATTGGTAAGACAGCTTGGATTTCAAAGCAAATAAAAATGTGTGATTATAAGCAATTATTCACTCATATATTACAGAAAGAAATGAATCTAACTATCAATCAACAAATTCAAAGTAGATAAAAAGGTTTTGGGAAGACTCAGTGCAATACAATAATTCATTTGTAACCTGGGAGACTACATTATTTTGAGCGATAATGTCTACGTACAAACGCTCGCCAAGCCACCATCTTAATCCAGCAACGAACAAGTGAAGAGCTCTTGGATTTGGAAATATTTTCTGACTCGTGCTGTATTGGATGACATGAGCACAGGTATCCAGACTTCTCTCTTTTAAGTCCCCAGAGAAGTTAATAATACCTTTATCTGAAATATTATTCTCTGCTGTGAATACATTGTTTCAATTATAAGTGTGCCTGCATTAGCTGTAGAACTGATCTTGTTTCTATTAAAATTCAGAGCTAAAAAATGAATCCAAGTCTTTTATATTACCACGCTAGTAGGACCCTGGAAATCGTGTTTTTGAATAACGAGTTGATTCTCCGAGCAGCATACAAACCGGATTAATACGAGACTTTTCTTGAAGGTTTGGGTAAAGGGACATTTCCCTATATAGAGTACCATAGTCAAAGTTACCAGAATTGTTTCCAAGAAATTCTGGTGATAAAATAACTTCTGTCATGCCAATAATTTCTTCATTAGTGATTGATAGGCATGACAAATACAGGAGGTGAGGTGCTCCCTAAATGCCGCCAAATGTAGTATGGGCCTGCAAGGTCTCAAGTCCTAAGCATGGAAGACATATTTACTATTGTCATTGTATTGAGGCCTGCGAATAGCTGTAATGCATTGAAAAGAAAACAACAACAACAACACAAAAAGAAGCATCCAAAACCTGTTAAACTCTAAAAATCGATGAAGTGTACAGAAACACAAGGAACAATTTGAAGAATTGTCATAAGATTGCTTTAGGTGAAAAGAAATCTTTTACTTTTAATGTCCGATATTGGGTCAAAGGCGTCATGTACTATGGTAAGAACGTCGGTAATGCACGACTTATATGTTTATTATTGATTGTTCAATTCCAATTCAAAATATTCTATTAGACTATGCTGGACATGCCTGGGGGGTGGGGGGGTATTGGGGGAATTAACAGGACAGAATCTGTAACAATTGTTTGTTTTGAACAAGTTAGCAAAATGAATTGATTTTGCTCTAAACAGGATTCTCAGGCTTTTTGGACACAACCCTACCTAATATTTTTCCCAGTGAACCTTCTCAGAAACAGTTAGTTCACTCATATACAGGGAGGAATCCTAGAAACTCCCTGTCATGTATACAGAGAGGTAAGGTCAGATTAGCAGCAAACTGCCCCACTCTACCAGAGCTTGTCCAGGATCCAGTTGCTTAGGGGGACAAGTAATATGCCCCCCCCCCCCCCCCCACATTTGACACAATGCCAATCCATTGCTTGGTTAACATGCTTCTCTAGCAATCATATACTCTTGGGTGGACAAAAGCACACTGCAAGTAAAGGGGCTTTCCCCAAGAAAACATCATGGATATAGCAATGTTTTAGTCAAGGAAAGGTGGGTGACACAGGATGCCAGGCTGTACACTTACTGCAAAACTTTGAAATTGTGGTTTTCGAAAAAATACCAAGTACAATAACTGTAATTCTCTGAAGGTGGTTTGGGGATGATAAAACAATTATGAATTCTCGTTGACAACAGCCATAAATATGACTACATCCATCCAAACTGGGAATGTTTAAATTGCTCTTCAATTTTTCTCACCCTTAGTAGGATCACAACAATAAGAATGCAACAATTCACCTGACAAACAACTTATCTTTCCCCATAAGCAGTGAAAGAGCTCCTTAAAACTTACAACTTTCTTATAAATATAATTAGGTTAGAATTTAACATCTACATAACAGGAATACAATTTTGAAATTGGTTTATTAATGACAAGAATTAGGTGGATTCGTTTTAACCTAATAACTTAAATTTATCTTAGTTTTCTCTAAATTAATTGTGGCTCAAAGCTCCAGTCACCATCAGGCTACCTAAAATCATAAACTGGTCACTGGAATTAACATTCAGTTGTTTAAAAAAGAAGCAAGAAACAAAATAAAGGAATTAAAATTTTAAGCAAAGTTACACAAAATTTTATGGCATCTTCTCTTTGGACATTTTAACACTCAAAAATTAATATGTTACAACTTGTTACCTGAGTACTGAGCAATTTAGACCACAAAACTTTAAATTTTTTCTGTGTATCCCATCACAACCAAAATTTTTGTGACATTGAGGCCTACGAATAGCTGTAATGCATTGAAAAGAAAACTACAACAACAACAACACAAAAAGAAGCATCCAAAACCTGTTAAACTCTAAAAATTGGTGAAGTGTACAGAAACACAAGGAAAAATTTGAAGAATTGTCATAAGATTGCTTTAGGTGAAAAGAAATCTTTTACTTTTAATGTCCGATATATTAATTTCTTGGAGAAAACATGCATCTATTTTCATTCAGTACATCTCATGCTTGCTTAAAGAAATGGAAAACATTTACGGGAGCAAAGATTGCCAGAGCACCAGCACAAGACCCAGCTTGAACACTAACACCATACCACAAGAGGTGCTTACGACCTTTCTCACGCATGATTCCTCCAATAGCAACCTTGACATATGTTACCACAGCAACAGCACTAACGCTGATGAAAACCTTCCAAAGAAAAAGAACAAAATGTGTAAATAAAATGAATAAATCAGTGTAAGCCTTGACATAATAACCTTTAAATGTGTTAATTAAATACTATTTCCCCTATAGTAAGAAACAATTGAGGCTCAGTCTTTTACACTATCAAATTTAAATGTGTGATGCACAGTTTATCATAGTGTATAAGATTTTAACTCCAATTGCCATTGTGTAAAGTATTTAAGTCGGAGATATTGGTATTACTAATAAAAAGAAAAGACATTAAAGCCAGGCACTCAGAGGTCACTAGGCAACCAAGACACATACAGACATTTTGTGCCTGAATATTTGCCAGTTCAGGAACATAATTTCAAAGCCAAAAAGTTGGTTTGGATCTCTTATTCACTGTCCTTTTTCTCAAATATTCGATCAAAAATAATTTGAAAACAGAATGGATTTTAAAATGCCACATGTGCCCCAGAAACACAAATTTCACACTAAGATTGCTACCATAGAAAAAATAATTAAACCACAGTTTTATGCCATAATTGACCACTTAATGAACAAATATACATTACTTTGGGAGATAAAGATGGCTCAAATTTCACTTGAAAGATTATTCTAAGTTTTATTTGAGAGATTCAGTTTTATGTGACTGTTTAAAACAGTTGGAGGAAAATACAAACAGGCTGTTGGGGCTCAGAAAGGGTGACCATGACCATTCCATAGAGGTGACTGCTTAATAAAAGTAAAAGTTACAGTGTTTATGGGGAAAAAATTTTGCAACTTTGAAAACTGACTGCATAATACATGGTGACCACTTAGTATGGTGCTGCTTTATGCAGGTTTGATTGTAGTGAATAAATCTAACTTAACACTGAAACAATATATTATGTACTCACTATCAAGGCAGCCCCAGAATCTCCACATCGTAATAGCACATTTGGACTCTGTGATGCCACGATGAGAATGTACGTACACATTCCAAAATAGATACAACTCAGCACTGCTATGATCACTGTTGAGGTAGTGCGGATAAATGGAAACACAAAACAGGTGACTGGATTGGCAATGTTGGACAGGGTGAGGGTCAAATGATAGATGTAGTAGCTGTAAGGAATACAGGCATATGACTGGATGGCAGGTATCACACCATTACTCAGGCCACTGACTAATGCTAAAATCACCAAGAGGAACACAGTGCCACTTGTTGACAAACTTTCCACTGCATGATCTTCATTGTCATGGGAATTTTGCCTGCTGTCCTTTTGCTCATCATCTGCAACAAGTTCGATGGTTTGGTCATTACTCTGAGCCTCTTGGCCATTTTCATCATAGTTCTTCTTCACTTGCTGCCGTTTTGCTAAAGGAAGGTAATTCAACCCTAGAAAGGCCAACCCAGAAGCTAACATCATCCCAGCCAGGAACCAGAAAAACCCCTCTGCAGGGAAGTTTGGACCAGGTCCCCTGCCACCAGGGTCGGTATTGTTGGCTGAAGTTCCATTAGTGGCATTCAGAGGAGCCTGTGTAGGGCTCTCAGTGGTACAAGAGGTATGGGTGCCTCCTCCCACGCCCTGTCCTAATGCCACTAGGCTCGGCAAAAGACCACTCAGTCCTTCACCTCCGAAATATGGGCTCATGTAAACCTCTCGAAAGATTGCCATGTATGGTAGGAACGTAACAGACGAGGTACAATCAACCATGGAAAGAAAGAAACACAATGCTAAGAGTGTAGTGCTTCGTTCAGCTCCGGCGATGTAAGACGTTTCCTTCCAAAAAAATGCCAACAAAACACAGGACGCTGCGCCAATTCCCAAGCTGACATAAATGACGGGAATCTCGTGGACCACACGAGGGAAGAACTTGTTTCCAAGGGTAAAAGCCAACGGCGCTATGTTTGCCATTTGGATTATAACAGTCAGGTAGGATGGGAGAGACCAGCTTTCAGGAATTTCTTGGACAATGATGGGTAACTCGACCCAAAGTCCGTTCACCGCTATCCACGAGCCTGTACCAAAAATTACCACTAGTACGTATGTGATCACAGAGACGCTAGTGAAAGCTCTCTTGATCCGCTTCATTACGTTTTCCAAGGCCATTTTGGTGTTACAAATGTGATTGTCTATTCCCTGTGCCTTCTGTGTTGATTTTCTGTAAAAGAAGTGTCACGACCAATACAAATATTGATTTTTAAATGAAAAATTCAATCACTTCAGTTGACACTGTGACTCACAGATGACTGAAACGCACATGGTTAATATCAAATGCCAGCGAAAGTTAGGAAAGCGATCCCTGTCGGGGAGGGGGAGAGGTTGCATTCCAGAGAGAAAAGTAGTGGATTACTATTCATCACTTCAACTTCAACGAACTTACTTTTTCGACTAAAATAGGAAAATTGATGGGAAAGTCCCAAAATAGACCTATAGTCTTTCTTCTAGATATAATGGTTTGCTCTCTATCTGTTCCCGGATGGGACACTCTGAACTGCAGGCGCGTTTACAACATCTCTTTGCGGACTTAGCTGGAAGAGTAAGATTACTCATATAGTGAACACGAAAAACATACCGTTCGTAGCGCCACCGGTAGCGTTGCATCATGGTCGTTAAACGAGAAGTAAGTTCATTTGGATATCTCTGGTAGCAGCAAGATAGTGTGAATAAATAAACATGGAATGTAATGGGGATTCACTGTCTGTTGCCGCTCCTTCGAGAGTTAAAAAGTGTTTGCGGGCCTGTGCGACTCCTGTTATTTCTCCTTGGCGAATTCGTTGTTAGGAGGCAACTGGAGAGATTCAGAAATAATCGAAACTGCAGCCTTGCTCAGTAGTTACACTCTTAGCCGATGGCCGTGTGAATAATTTAAATTCGCGAGTTATTTAACGGGTATTCGACCCTTGACATGCAAATGCATTACAAAGAGACAGCCACCTTCTAATGCACGAACTATATCTCATGTAATACACTTTAAAGGCGTAAATACGGGATTCGCGAAAGGAGAAGCCCTTACGCCTCTTAAGACCAAATTCGTCACGCTCCACGTTAATAAAAAAACGTACAGAGTTTAAAATATGCTTAAAGAATAAAGGATACCTAGAATAAGGTTTTGAGAAACGTATCTCTGGAGTAACATTCTGGGGGAGAGACAGTATACTTTAAAACAAGAAAATACACATGAAAATATTAACTTCTGTAACACAATCTCATCCAGCTTTGCCAAACCTCAAGAACATTCAGACAGGCAAATAATACCTTAAAACTAACCCTTATTGTCACATCACAAACGAAAGTCATTAAAAGATATCCTAAAAAAATATACGCTTTCAGGTCAGAAGATTTCAAAGCGCAAGCGAATGACAGGAGTCACACAAGCCTATCGAAACCTTTTAACGATCGACTGCCTCTCGCTTGCTCGCTGTCCTAGTGGATTTGAACCCCCCGGTCCAAATCCACTAATGGATATGGACTCCCCGACAGAACTGAGTGAAAACATCATCCTTAACGTTCTCGTAGAAATAGATACTACTTTGCGTTTCAGTGCGTACTGAAGTATGTTTTTAATTCAAAACATGCGTATCACCAATGCATACGAACTGGCAGCTGGAGATGACCTGTCTGAAGACAGAGGTCTAGAGGACTTAGAGGTCTAGAGGTCTTCGTAATTGTTAGGGTGTTATTTCAGATCCCTCAACAGTTAATAGTGGAGGGGGACAGGGGGGCGGGAGCCCGGGAGAACAGGGGCGGGAGAGGGAGGGAATCTGGAGAACAGGAGGCGGGAAGCGGGAGCAGAAATAAATAAGGCGATAGTTTGTTGTATATTACTGGGTATTATTCAGTCAAAAACACTTATTAAGCAAGGTTTTGAAATTTCCATTTAACATTCGCCGATGCTTAAAAGAAAATTTTGGAAGCAAGACTCGGGCTTGAAAAACAGCATTACTCGCGGTGAATTTGAAATTCCCTTCAATTTATTACGTCACAGGTCATGAGATAGCATGACACACGAGACATGTACACTTATACTTCAGTGTCTGGTAAGATGTAGCTGTCGAAAATCTCCAGCAAAGAAAGCGATTCATGGTCATTTAGGTAAAATGTCGTCAAAGACTATGTTGATCGGCCTCAGTATTTTTCGTTGTGGCCACGAAAAATCCGTTCATGGAAGACCTTCTTGGGAGCTCGCTCCGTTCGATTGCACATCCCAAATTACTGAAGATTTTGCCTCGTGGTGCAAACTTGTTTCAAAGCAATGCTGCTCCAGTGGGTGCGCTGAAGAGTGCGGAGTGGTTCACGTTTCGACGCAATTTTTTATTTTGGACAAGGCTAAGGCACTTCCCATTAGGATAGGGAGTCAAACAGTATGGCAAGCCATCAGATTGGAATTTATTGACAACAAAGACAAAATGATAGCAAAAGATTACGAACTACACGATAGGTATGATTTCCTGTGCTGACTGTATTATACACGGTAATTTAACATATTCGCAGTTCCCAAAATTCTCTCAAGCAAAAGATCGCCACATTTTTCAACTTTTGAAGTGGGACGATTTGGGAGAGGAATCACCACCTGTGTATTTGGTACTGGTGAAGCGCTGTCAAATGAATACAGAAAATTCAGTCAATGATTAACATTGCACAATCTGGACAACTAATGCAAAGGAGTGCAACATAGTACAACATAGCACAAATCAAACGTGTACTAATGTTGTAGATATGAAAAGATATAGGCAATAAATGCAAAGAATGAAACCTCACACTCACAAGAGACAAAATGGTTTCTCAAAAATGAGGTACAGAAACGTCACAAAATTGGCACTAAGGGATGGCTTGTGCAAAAATATCAGATTTCACACGCCGGTCCAAAACTTCTTGTGTACTCTTGTGAAAGGTTATCAAGCACGTCATTTTAATCAATCGCACGCCATTATTTTTAATTGAAAAAGCCCTCTACTGACAGAAACTTCCAGTCGACCTGATGAAAGACACAGAGGACATGAGTAAATTGTATGTTGTTGATAGCCAGAAAGGAACGCTTGCTGAAGTTCGTCTTCATTACCCAGCGCTAGTGAAAGTAGCAGCAACTGGTTACACCAATCCTATGGCAGTGGCAATGGTTCACGGAACTGTCATTGTTGCCGAGAGAATGGGGATATGTTTACTACCTAGACCTGCATTCCAAGTTGTAAGTTAAGATTGGGGCAATGAAAAAGGCAGAGATGGAAGCATTTGTCGCCAGACATGAAGTACACGTTGATTACGAACATGGCCAACACTATAGCTGAGAAGAGTTGAAATCTGCCATAACTGTTTTTCTACAGAGTAACTAGAAAAAGTGTGACCAGCAAGAGAACAAAGCTGGATCTGGAACCATGCTTGAAAACACCGGTGGCAACGACCAGCTGTGCTGATGATTCTTTTCATTGCTGACACTGGGAACAAGAAACTAGCAGAAGTAAGAGTAGAGAGGGCTGACTTTAAGCTAGAGTGCAATGTGCGAACGGTCATGAACCTAAAGGAGAACGTCAATCCGACTGGACTGTGTGTCGTTGAGGGCCAGCAGAAGCTGTTGCTTGCTGATTACGGGACATTTGGGGCCTGGTCGTTCTAAACCTATAAACGGAAGTACCTTGTGCAGCCAAATTCACGGAGTGAGTTTGAATTGTCATTCAGTCATTTTCACAGATACCACATCACACACGTTGGAACAGTTTTCTCTAGAAGCATCTGTCTTAGATGGAAAGAAAGAAGTTGAGAAAGTGGACACAATCATTGGTGATGGTACGAGTGGAGCAGAGGACGGGTTCATCGATGTAGCAAGAGTGTTCCACCCAACAGGGATGATTTCTGATAAAGGAACAATATTTTTCGTTGACACAAGCAGCAAAAGTGTCAGGCTTATTACCAAGATATCGGCTTTGATAAAGTATGTCAGAGTAATGGAAGACATTTATCTTGCCTTCCATATTCATTCTGATATTCTAGGTCATGCCGAGTTGCCATCTCTCTTAAAAGCCGAGCAACGCATTGAGAAAGCGGAAAACCCTAATGCAGATACTTCAAAACGCCAAGGCCAAGTTTAAAGTTTCTGAAACGATGCAAAGGCCTCAGGGAACCCTAGCTGAGAAGACGGTCGCCTTAGTAACTTTCATCAAGAACTTCCTTCATCGCCTCCGAACACAACTAAGTAAAGAATGTCCTCATCTGCTCGAAGTTGTTGATGTAAGAACATTTCTTACACTCGTTAACAAGTATTTCAATGGTGAAATGCAACAGGTGACAAACACACCCACTGTGCTAGAGGTGCGATGAACATCGCCGAGGCAGCAGATGAGACCCTAAAGAGAATTGCTCGGCCTGGATATATTTGCTTCGCTCGGGAGAAACAACACTATGAGCTACCATCACAGTTTTCGATAAAGTACGAAGACTTGCTCCCGGTGCCATAAGTGCCAACTACGTTCCTGAATAAGGAGGACATCAAACGCCTTAACGATTGGAGAAATTAATTTGAACGAGGGGTCAGGCAACAGTCCGTGCGAAATTCTTTCACGAAAGACAAGGCTGGCACTCTCCCCTTCTATATGTACACCTCGGCGGATGCAAACGATAGCACCGAGGAACAAGCTCTCACATCAATACAGGAGCTTTTAAGGCTGTGAGTTCTGAAAAGGAGGCAGATACTCCGATGCATCCACCAGGCAATAGCTATAGAGCCCGTACCCTTGCCTGGACATGATCACAATACGTATCAGTCATCATATACTGAAATTTACGTAATCAAATGCAAATCTGACTTTTTCTCCATCTTCATTTCACGTACGATAGACGCAAATGATTTCTTTGGCACTAAATATGTCATCATAGATAAAAGTTCTTTTCTCTTCGAAACATCTAGCGAAGAAGAAAAATGCCAGAAAAGTGACGATATTTGTGAAATTGATAAAGATTCGATACGATTATTCAACGGTCGTTAAGAGCTAACTGAAGAAAGATTTTGCCAGATCCTTTCAGAATGCCGAGGTGAATGTGATTTGGAAACAAATGAAACTGAAGAAAATCAAGAATGCTATCTTGACTGGGAGGAAGAAGAGGCTCTAACCAAAATTTGGGTAGGAAGAGGTCAGGGCGGCCTTCCCGGCGCATGGAAGACTTCTTCTTACATTAAAATTCTCTGCAGAAGTTTAAAAAGATTTCAACCTCTCGATAACAGACACCGCCCGCTCTGGAACGAAGTAAAGTATCATACAGAAAGGGGCGTCCACTCAAAGACATACTCGTAAAAGCAAAATTATAACGAAGGCAAGAAAACCGACATCCTTTGGAGCCGTGTGAGCCTTTAACACTTAAAACAAATATACAGAAAACTTGACGTACTACGAAAGTCGTGTACGCTTGTCAGCCCCAATTTACACTCGATTATTAAACGGGTACTTCGAACTCTCTGAAGAAACATTAGCAAGATACTTTCAGACTGTCGAGGCGAATGTGATTTGAAAACAAATGAAACTGAATGCAGTAGTTTGTTCGCACCTAATTCTTGCGTACACCGTGCGACTTGCTATAATAAATGCGGCAGAGTTAGAAAGAAATGGCTGTTTTTCTTTACCTTTATTGAGGAATGTTGTGTTGTGATTGAAAAAAACATCGACGAAAAGCTTGCGAATAGAATTAATTACCAAATATGAGACAAACGATGCTTTAAGGGAAAGTTTCTTAGGGGGTCCGAATCTCCAAATCAATTGCATCACTTGCTATCTGACCGTTCTAAAAAGAACCCATTTTGGCGCGTTAACCATCTCCAGTCCCCTCTCTAGGTTTACTACGTACAGGGCTTTTCTTATGTACGTAGTAAACCACGCCAAAATGGGTTCTTTTCAACATAGTAAGCGGTCAGATAGCAAGCGATGCACCGTGGAGGTAAGGTGAAGTATTTTTATTGAGAATTTGACCGTATTTTTTATTCCTAAGGGCCGCCGTAAATATTCTCATACAAATTCTTGTAATTTCGCCATGACTCTTATTTCGCAAGATGATCATCTCATAGCTGGAGCTTGGGCTACCTGTGGCTTACTCGGCGTGTCGCCCTGTGCAGTGTAGAGTCATTCTTTGGTCAAGTGACTCCTTTCATTGCTCTAATTCAACTGTCCTTCGTTCAATGATCAAGATAGTACATTTATCATATAACACTCACAATTAGTTAACGTTGTGTAATGCAACAATAGGCCTTTTCTCAGCCATAATTGGTCTCAAACACAAGCACTTAAAATGCAAGAAACACATGTACCCATTTCTAGCTTTAAGAAAGTTTTAGTTTCCCTCCCACCCACACCATTGACAGTTTTGATTGTATCTTAATCTCATTCGTGTTTGTAATTTATTCTTGATTATTGGACCGTTGGTGTAGTGTATTTGTCTAATATCTTAGATATGTAATAGTCTAGTTGAAGTCTAGTGTGTTTTTTGCATGGGAAATATACATTTAATAAACTGTCTGGTCCCAAAACAAGCCTCTGTCTTTGCAGCCTTGTTCATCTGGTTAGTAAGATCTTACTCAGAAAACACCACCAGCCAGAGGGGCAGCTTACGTGTGTGAAGTAAGCTTGAAATCATTAACATTGCTGTTTTAAATGAATTTCAAGTTAAAAACATTTTAAACTAGTCAGATTTGTATTTCCTTTGGTTGTGGATCTATTTCAATACAAATATAGCCAGCTTTAAATTAATTTGACTTGAAATTAATTTAAGACTTGAACATGTTAACCAGATTTACTTAAGTTTGTCATGTAATACTCTGCATAAGTATGAGTGGAATTTCTTAGAAAGGAACAGTCTCAATTTTCATGTTTGATTAGAGGTATTGCTGACAAGGCCAACCATTGTCTGAAATACTTAAATCAAGTCATCTTTTTAGGTAGTCATAGGGTAACATGATTTTAATTCACCAAATTGACATTTTTTCTCTGTATTTAAAATGATATTGAACAGCATGTATCACTGTATGAAAACCTTAAGGCAAAATATGGTCATCTACTATATGTATAGAATTTATACTATTAAATAAATAAGATTTACCTATGCTTGTGTTATTTATTGTATTTTTTAATAAAAATAGCTATTATTAAAAAGAAATCAAACCTTCTTTATTTGCACACCAATCAGAGACCCTTTGCTCATTGCTTGATAATGCCTGCTTTAGTTTCAACTGATTCCCCTTAAAGAGTCATTTGATGCTCCTAGCTTGTGTGCTGTGCCATCAAATAAGCAGTAGAAGGTACACAACCAAGGAACAAGAGGATATTCTTTAAAAAAGTAATTCCAAAGTAGTATAAGACTAAAATAGAATGCCAAAAAGTAAAATGCAAAGCAGACTGTAATAAAAATTGGGCAAAGTCAATTAAATATGCAAGCTGTACTTCAAGTATTTCCTAAGCCTCCTAAGATCCTACCAGGTAGAGGTTTAAGGCTAATTAAGACAGGACAAAATGTAAATGTATTCATGAAAAAAATGATTCCAAGGAGTGTAAGACTACTTTGGAGTGCAGTAAAGTAAACTGTGGAGCAAACCACAGTAAAAATTTGGCAAAGTTGACTAAATATTCAAGCTGTACTTCTAGCTAAAAGTCTTTTCTAAAAGCCCTCTGAGATCCTACCAGCTAGAGGTACATGACCAAATAACAACAATTTAAATGTATTCTTTTAAAAAAATTATTTCAAGGACTGGAAAATTTGGAGTGCAGAAAAGTAAAATGTGGAGTACAGAGAAGTAAAATGAGAAGCAAACCGCAACGAAAATTGGGCTAAGTTGACTAAATATGCAAGCTGTACCTCTAGCCGGTAGTATTTTCTGAGCCTGTTAAGATCCAACCAGCTAGAGGTACAAGACCAGATAAAAAAATAAATGGAAACGTATTCTTGGAAAAAGTGATTCAAGGGAGTGTTAGACTTATTTGGAGTACAGGGGATCTTTCTAACCAGTAGCACTATGAAAAGGGAACTATAGTGGCGATACTATCCATAAGTTTTGTTTACCTTTGCAAGCGTAGGTCTTAGCGGCTTGAGTGTAAAGCTAAAACTCTGCTGAACAAGAAACTTAAGATCGACGAGGGTGAAGGAAACAGCCAAATAAAATTTTCCAAAATCTCCTTGATTTACACTCAAAAATGTATTCTTCACATGTAAAGCATGTTATAATGTTCATGTCTGGTTCAATCAGGTCGTTTGACTGTTGGAAAGTCGCAAATGGTATCACTGGAAACAAGCGACTAAATACAGGAATGGCTCCGACCTGTAATTGGATGATAAAAATAGTAAAAGTTAATAAGTTATATCTTAACTCTTTGCCCGTGAGTATTGTTAACCGCGTGTCTCAAAGCGGAACAATGAAATATCAATGCGAGTGAAAACACCGATCTGTAAAAAAAGAAATGATTACTTACGTAGCGAAGGGAAGGCAGCCTTTCTTATTCAGCGAGGTCGTTCAGCGATATTCCAGCGATGAAAAAGTCATCGGCTAACAAGCTCCGCTGACAAAACTCATTTGGTCAGTTCAGGCGGACGACCAGAGACTGGAGCCATTCCTGTATTTCACCGCTAACAGGAATAGCTCCGACTCAAACGTTTATTAATTTTTTAAAATTTTTTTTTTAGTAATTTTTAAAAAAAAAAATTTAAAAATTTAAAACTAAAATGGTGAGCAGTGCTGTACGAACAGTAGTTGTAAAACTTCTTTATTCTCTGACGCGTTTCGTCTAACTCTCGTAACTTCTTCGTGGAGTTTTACGAGGTAACACTAAACGCGTATAGTTATAAACCATTGTTAGCAGCTATGACCAGTGACCATAAGGGCTTACCTGGACCTACGAGCAGGAATAGGCAAAGTTGTGAAAATTTGAAAATTTCTTTTGAAAATTTATTAAGCAAGATGAGAAATATTTTTTGGGAGCCGCGGTTTTAGCTGAAAATTTTCAAATTTGAAAAATTGAAGAGGTTTTTTTACAGATGATGCCTGGAAAGCAGTTGGCAAATTAGGTTAGGATGGCTCGTACAGAAAATGTAGTTTATGGTCCACTCATTCTTTCTTAAATTTAAGTGGTATAAATATCTTGTCTAAAACAGTAGTGTGATACGATAACTAATGAAATATACTCGTTCCAATACTATGTCATGTGATGAACAGCCTTCATTAATTTTGGAACATGTTTTATAAAATCATTTTACTCTTTCTTGTTATAGCCAAAAACTGTTCGAAGATTGGTTGTGCTATCACTGCAAACAGTCAAGGTACTTCGATATGATTCAGTGCGAGGGCTACTGCCACTGGTTTAACTGGTAAGACACTTTTTTTGTTTTGTTTTGTTTTTTTCCTTTTTTAGGTCTAGTGGAGTTGTTAGAAATTACCAAGCAAAATTAATCCGCGACTTCCTTCCTTTGGGTGTTGTGCAAAAATAGATCAAGAACCCGATGAATGGGTTTGTCCTTCATGTGAACAATTACCTAGAAACTCCGTTTCCACGAAAAAAATTCCCTCGATTGCGGGCAAGCCATACTTCTCCAGTAGAGCATACTGTAAATTAAAAACATCGGTGGCAGCGTCATGCAACCTTGCGTGATCTTTCAAACATGGTATGCAGTTGCTGCATTATTTTAAAACTTAGAAACTACATGGCCCTGTAGAAATAAAAGAGGGCTTCATTTGCAAGCACTGTAGACTTCAACATAAGAAGAACCTAATAAATAGCTCTTTCACTTTTTATCTGTATATAAATTATTTAGCCAGAACCAAAAAATTAATATACGCATGAGTTGGAGCCATTCCTGTCAGCGGTGAAATACAGGAATGGCTCTAGTCTCTGGTCGTCCGCCTAGACAGACTAAATTAGTTTTGTCAGCGGAAATTGGCAACGGATGACTTTTCATCGCCGGAATATCGCTGAACGACCTAGCTGAAGAAGATAGACTCTGCCTTATCTTCGCTATGTAAGTAGCCATTTATTGTTTGACACGTCGGTGTTTTCGCATCGATATTTCATTGTTCCGCTTCGGTACACGCGGTTAACAATACTCACGTGCAAGGAGTTAAGATATAACTTATGAACTTTTACTATTTTTATCATCCAATCACAGGTCGGAGCCATTCCTGTATTTAGTCGCTTGTCTACTTACACTGGAATAGTCCGCCATATTGGAATAGCAGACAATTTCCGATAATCACCCGACTCAGAAACTCGTCACTAGTCCTCCTCGGGCGTACATCTGAGTGTTCACATGGTTGTGCCGTTATTCACCTTTGAGAGTTGTGTAAAGCTTGATTTTGAAGCTATGCAAAGGGAGAGTCGTAAGCGGAGAGTCGGCATCGTAACCCCACCCGATGCTCGAGTCCTTATGACCCCGAGAACGCCAAGTCCAAAGCGATACCGAAAGGAAAATGGCGATAACTTGGAAATGGGTTAGTTCGCGATAAAATTTGGGAGAGGTGGACATAGTATAACGGAGCTTGCTGGAGGAATTCTAACATAACACACCATTGGGTTTGAATAGAATGGAAAAGGTACCCCTGCATTCTATAATTTTTCCAATGCAGTGGGTTAATGGTTTTAATCACTACAAATCTTTCATTTAGCTAGATATGACGAAAATACAACTCTTAAGCACTAACGTAAGCGGGAATATACAGAAGGTAGAAGCGTCAACCAGATAATCAGTTGTGCCTTTTTGTGTAAAGTAGATGCATTTGAACAAAGGACACTAATGATCAGTTTTGTTTCAGAATGAATGTTGGTTTGATTTAAGTGGGATACCTTCTGTTCTGATTTCCTGTTGTGATTAATTGCACAATTGATCATGTCAATAAGAGAGCGATCTACGCAGTAATGAACATTACTTGAGCAGTAGAGAAAATAAGGCCTGAAAAAATTCAGGCCTGTACGGGATTTGAACCCATGACCTTTGATACCGGTGCAGTTCTCTATTTTTGCTAATGCTGAAGTAGTGTTCATTACTACAAAGATGGCTTTCATATTCATTTCTTTATCTGCAGTTCACATATATGATTTTCATATATCCACAGTCATAAGTGATTATGTCAGTTCCCCTGAGGAAACATTTTGTAAGCTCTGATTGGCTATCTTAGCCTCCCTTAGTCCTTGGGATTGAAATTTCCTTTCACAAGATTTACACCTCACAATCCCATTGCTTTAGAAACCAAATAAGTCGCCAGAAACCTGACACCTGATTTATTTCTGGGTGGCTACTAATTTCTTCAGAAAAAATTTTCCTTATAATTAAAAAAATTCATTTTTCTTTCAAGGTGAAGCCAACCTAAGGGCAAGACAAGATGAAAAACATTATAAGGTGTAGTAATTATCACTTATTTTTCTTTTTTATGTAAAGAAAATAAAATCTGTATTCAATCTGCAGATGCTCAATTGAAAGGGGAGTTTTTAATGAAGAGATGGTGTAAAAGTAGATGATGGATAACAAGCTTTTTTTTTTGCACTAGTAGGGGATTCATTATTCTTCCAAGTCATTTCAATGCTGTTTTTTTTTTTGCTACATATTTCATTTTTGTGCTGCATACTTGGACCCAAGCAGCAATTTAACCCTTTGCACCCAAAACGTTGTTAAATAATGAGGAGCTTCTTTAGCCGGTGATCATTTCTTGTGACCTTTGCATGTGATGGGGTTGATATTGTAGGGAGAAATTAGATGCTAATCACCCTAAGGGGTTAGAGAGTTAAACTGAATTGTCTTTAGAGTAAGTCATTCAAAAAGTTATGTTTAGGTCTTAAAGTGGGTGAGATATCAGTTCCAAAAGAAGTACAGCCGTTGGGTGCTATTTACTCTAATAGTAGAGAGGTCAGAAACCTCTTTGATGAGATGCAAATTGGCTTTCCAGCTAGTTATTTATGTCCTGCTCCATTCAGCTTTTCATTGAATTTGTTGCACAGTTAATAGGTGCTGCTTTCAGTATGTGTACTATTACTTACATGTAAGTATTTCTATTTAGCTAATTCACAGTAATCCTGACTCAGCTTTCTTTTGACAATTAAATATGAGTAGCTGCTAACAAGGCTTCAAATCGCTCAGCCCTGGATGGAGAGAGGTACTGTGAGCTTGTCTGTCCTCCTCCTTTCCAAACCCAGAGTGTTTGCTGAAATGATCTGCAAATAAAGCAGGGTGCATAGGATGTTGATGGGTTTTTACAGAGAATGACCAATAAAGGACTTACCATTGTATTGTCATGAACTGACAGGTGTTTAATGACAGCATCCATGGACACATTGAAGTTCACCCGTTGTGTGTAGAAATTATTGATACACCACAGTTCCAACGCCTGAGAGATATCAAACAATTAGGCAAGTCTTCTCTTCTCTTTGGTTTCATTTTTTCCTTTGGTGAAATGTTCTTTAAATCAGTTAACTTCATCATTTTCATATCATAAAATAAAGATCAAGCTGGTTTGCAGAATTTTAAGTCAAGAAAGAGATGTCTTTGTCATTGAACTGTAGAGGTGAAAGGAATAAAGAAACAAACACCCAGTATTTGGTTTTCAAAATTTGCTTGCATTGGCTTGCATAGATGTATGTTGTAAATACTGTCTTTCTTGTCTTAAAACTTAGGAGGTTGTTATCGTGTATTCCCAGGAGCTTCACATAACAGATTTGAACATTGTATCGGGTAAGTCTTTCAGAGAATTACGGTCCGGTCGTTACCAAGTACTTTCGCTACTAGTCCGATCGCCATCAACCACAGTTTCATCAGCTATCACGACGAAGTCCGTTCGCTACTACTGGGAATTACCGAGAGAAACATCGATGAAACTCAGTAAAAAGCCACAAAGATTTATAGAAGAAAATTTCTGTAGCATTTTAGAGTATATCTTGAGCGATCACTTCACTCAATCAAACACCGTGCTCGCAAGCTTCCATACCAAGTCTGTTTCTACCAACTTGACTCTCATGAACAGACTTCTTTACAGCCAGACCAGTATACGAATGTATGTTTAGGAGTTGTCGCCTAGCTGTATCATTTCTAACTTGCCAAAGATCAGAATACCTTACATTTAGAAATCGAGCAACGCGCAACACCATATTGTTTTCGTGAAATCAACAACTTCTATGACACGTCGCTCACGTTTTCTTCATTTAAAAAACATTCTTTTCACAAGTCTTAAACGAAAAGATTAAGTACGTTAACCTGAAACAAATTGGAAACAGTTGTCTCATGTAAACGTAAAAACCGAAACGAACGAGCCGAAGAATCGATCTGGACCTAGATTTACTTAATTTAAGCTCAGAGTCCGTTCGCTACCAATAAAGTTTTAGTCTCGAAAAATTTGGTGGTAATATTACAATTTTATCACCTCTATAAAGCCAAATCAGTGTGAAAATGTTTGATTAGGAGTTGCCGCTTAGTTTAATAATTTCTGACGTGCCAATGATCAGAATACCTTACATTTAGAAATCGATCGACACGCGACGCCATATCGTTTTCGTGAAATCAACAACCTCCACTACAAGTCGTTTGCTCACGTTTTCTTCATTCAAAATAAATTTTTTTTTCTCAAAAATCTGAAACGAAATGATGAAACACCTTAACCTGAAATAAATTGGAAACATTTGTCTCATTTTAAAAAAAAAACTGAACGAATGAGATTTTTGTGATGGAAGTTGTTGATTTCACGAAAACAATATGGCGTCGCGCGTTGCTCGATTTCTAAATGTAAGGTATTCTGATCTTTGGTAAGTTAGAAATGATAAAGTTAAGCGACAACTCCTAAACATTCATTCTTATACTGGTTTGGCTATGTAGAAGTTTGTTCATGAGAGCCAAGTTGGTAGAAACGGACTTGGTATGGAAGCTAGCGAGCACGGTGTTTGGTTGTGAATGAATATTTGTCTTGATTGATCGTATCATGAAGTGATCGCTCAAGATATACTCTAAAATGCTACAGAGATTTTCATCTACAAATCTTTGTGGCTTTTTACCAAGTTTCATCAATGTTTTCTGTTGGTAATTCCCAATGGTAGCGAGCGGACTTCGTCATGGTAGTGATCAGACTGTGGTTGGTGGCGATCAGACTAGTAGCGAAAGTACGTGGTGGGACCGGACTGATAACTCTTTAGATGTGAAGTGAACACTTTCTTAAAATATAATTTTGTAAATTTGCGAAATTACACCTTAGAAAACATATATAGCACTAACAAACCAAGAATAATCAAGGATGGGAAAAATATTAAAACTGATTGCAAATGACAGTAATTGTATATGCCAAAAATTGTGATGTAGCTCCTTTAATGTCCATTATTTTGACGTTGACAATTAATCTTTGATGTAGAACTTGCTACTTGGCTGGAAGACTTGTGAAGAGTTTGCGTAAAAGACAACCAGAACTGGGAATCACAGATGAGGACATGCTCTGTGTAAGGATTGCTGGGCTCTGTCATGATCTAGGTTTGTCCCCATCATCATCTTCCAGAAGAAATTTGGTGACCATCATACTTATTCATCTTTATGTGAGAAACAAGCACAGGCTATGAATAGAACTATTGCCTCTGTAAATACTGTAGTTTTAATAGTTTCAAGTCAAGATGATTTCAGAAAAGTTTGAATTAACCCTTTAACTCTCAGAAGTGATTAACATGTAGCTTCTCCCTGTAATATACATACATTATCCAGCAAACAGGTAGTGAGAATACTCAAACTTATCTGGTAGTTGTTATCTTGATCTAGCACCAAGTTCTTATAACTAATTTACAAGGAAATGTATGGCAGCTAGAGGGGTCAATGTGGTAAGGGTTAATGTACAAAGAATTAAAGTAAAAGCAAATCAGACTAGAAGTTTAATTTTATTTTAACTGGAATTCAATTGAGACTACAAAATAATAAGTACAATAATTACTTTCACATAAGAGAGGAAAATGTGTAACTTCAAATTGCATGAAATTCACATTTAGAGGAAAAAAAGTATAACAGCATCATTTTACTAAGTGGGATGCAAACAATAGTCAGGTATCATTCAAGCTGTTATAATAAAATTGGAAACAAAGGTATTTCTAGATCTCTGTGATTGAATATTTTAGCTTTTACATATGAAATTGTAGGATTCTAACACTGTCTCTGTAGAGAGAAGGGGGTTTTTCAACCTCTATTTGGAGATGAGATGGCTGCTTGTGCTTCTTGATTGATGTTGATTCTTGTAAATGATTAGGTATAATTTGTTGCAAACAAATATATTTGAAACATAGTTAAGAACGATCAACTTAGTGTTTCATATCCATGCTGATGCTGAACAACATTGCTTTGGGAAACAACTATTGTTCTTGTATAATTTTGAAGTTTTGTTTAACTTTTGTGCTTTGTTTGTTCATTTTGATAGGTCATGGGCCATTTTCACATACATTTGGGGCATTATTTATACCAACTGCTAGGCCTGATGCACACTGGAAGGTAAATGTACTATAACTTCATGTATTTTTACTGATTATGTGTAGTTTTACTCACCTTGCACTGAGCTCATCAGATACCACACAAGTCCTAATAATACTCAGTTATACTATTCATCAAAATGTCCAATAAGAATATATATGCAATGAGAAAGTTCATTTAAAACTGTACAGATGCATGTAACAAGTACCAAACCTGTTGGCTAAAATAAAAGATACATGAACTGACTAATGTTATTTCTTTTTTAGATGATTTCTAGTGATCTCCAGCTTAACATGAATCTTGTTTTCAATTTTGCAACATGCATGACATACTTCAAGCCAGGTGGTACTTGGTTATGGACAAATTTGCTTTTCAAATCCTGTAAAATAGTTTTTCATCAAGAAAATACTAAATATTGCTGTTAAGGTGTGACATTTTTGTGCAATTATGAGAAAAGGTCAGGATAAATGTCAACTAATGAAAAGTTTTTACACAATACAATCCTTGTGTGTACAGAAGTATGCTCAAGCATTTTAATATCCATTGGTTAATCTGAGGAAGCTGTTTTAAAGATAGTATGCAGATATACATTGTATTTAATGATGGAGGTAGGACTGAGTGGAGTCCAATTCTGTCTGTAATCATACAGGAGAGTGACAAAATTGGACGACAATGAAGGGGGAGTCTAATTTATTAAATATGATTATAGACAGAATTGGACAAAATAAAGTCCTGTTACCAATCAATCAAAACTGTGATGAAATTTGGGAAAGAAGCTAGAGATCGGTGATACATTTTTATTAAAAAAACAACAGTTAACAAGACAAAATGCACTACATTAGCATGCACACATAACACTGTCCTAATAGTGCTCAAATTAGGCTGGTGATAACCAATCACGTTTAATAATTTTGTTATAATTTTAATAAATATGTTATTTCTGTACATAGCATGAAGATGCTTCTGTTAGAATGTTTGATCACATGATGATGAGAAACAAGTTGTCTCCAAGTTTTGAAAAGTATAACTTAACTGAAAGAGATGTGACCTTTATTAAAGAGCTAATCGCTGCAACAGTGCTGGAGACAACTATATGCACTTCTGAGGTATGATTCAGCATTCTGTGTGAGAAAAGGGTGGGGGAACAGGGGCAAGGTGATTATGAAAGTAAGGTTTTCCTTCAGAAAAATGCATCCAAAGTTTTACTTCCCATACTGGAACCAAAAACAATTTTTTTTTCTTCTGCACCTTGCTAAAGGCACTTGCAAATGTGACAATTAAGGGGTGCTTGACTGCATCCACGGGCACGTGTTTTATTACTGTCGGTAGGATTGAATTCACCAGCAAAAAATCTAAAGAGCTGTGAGATCAGCTGTTTCAGAACAACTGTAGTTGTAACCTAAGGATCAAATCTCCATTTTTATACTTTCTTTCATCCACGCTAAGACAGAGTTGTGGCATTTTAAAAATCACTCAGTTTGAAGAGCGTGAAAAGTATTGTGATCTGTGGATTACATGTATCTATCTGTATTAGTGTGGATGACAGGCCTAATTACGGAAAGTTGGTATGCGGACTTGGCCTAAATATTGCCGGGTGAAATAATCAGTGAAATCATGAATATTCATACTTAACCCTTTGACTCCTAAGATCTCACTAGTAATTCTTCTTACTGTCTGTTATACAATTCTTATGATGTTAGTTCTGAGGTTCGAGCATTGTATCAATAATCCCCTCGTTGATATTTTTCTTCATTCTTATTACTTGTCTGCTTGATATTGTATCGATATCGTAAACAGAAAGTCTTTGTTGATCACTCTCTAAGGGTTAGTAGTCCGCTTTTTGTTACTGATACCTCACACCTAAAGCTCTGTACAATGTATGAAATGTATGAAATGTATGAAATGTCTGATTATTATATTAAAATTACATTAAAGGACTGGCCATATAAAGGAAGAGGACCAGAGAAAAGCTACTTATATGAGGTAAAAATACCGGGGTATATTGTAGTATCATGTGATGTTCTGTCTGAAGATGTTGCAGTCCAATGGCTGACCCGTTTAACTTCGGATCCAAAGGTCTGTGTTCATCAAGCTCTGTTCAGATCTTCCTTGTTGTGTTCGTGCACAAGACTGTTTGTTTACTCTTATTGAAGTTCTCCACCCAGGGAATTGTATGGGAATCCTAAATTTTAAAAAAAAAGTACATCGTGGGTAGACTACAAGCTGTCTCTCCTTCTCGGCGAAATCCGTTGCGCAAGTCAAAACAAAGAAATTGCCAAAAAAAATTGACATGACGTGTTAAACATCTACATCGTAAATGTTATACACATGCGAGGCACATAACAGTGTTATCTCATGTTGTACTTATGAGACTTACCTGTGTTTCAGATTGTTGCCAACAAACGAACAGGCATTGATGTGGACAAGTTCGACTATTTTTCACGAGACTGTCATTGCTTAGGAATCAACAACAGTTTTGATCATAAGTATTTTACACCTGCTTTTGTTGTTAGTCAAAGGAAGGAAGAAAGACAGTGAACTAGGGATAGTCAACTTAAGCCTACAGCTTCCCTGTTTTAATTCAAATTAATTTTAAATTTTTTTGTAATAGCTCCGAGAAAGAGGAGTCTGGTTTTAATTTATTTCACTCGAAAATTCGTGCCACTTTCTCAACCATTCGGGTAAAAAACTGAAACCCTTTGCGACTTGCCTGCACTCTCATGTTTTCCCGCTGTCCACTTTTTTCTTTTTGTCTTTTTACTTCGAGTTCCAGACGTCATTATGTAATGTTATCCTTGGTTCTGTGACTACCTCTCTTTGGTTTTCCTAGTGTCAGTTCAAGTGCACTCAACGTTACAATCACTGAAATTATTTCTTGTTCACAGGCGTTACATGAAGTTTGCCAGAGTCATCAATGTCAGCGGCAAACTGCAAATATGTGTACGCGATAAAGAAGCAGGCAACGTCTATGATATGTTTCACACCAGAAACAGTTTATTTCGAAGAGCTTACCAACACAAGACGTCAAATATCATTGAAAGAATGTAAGTTACCGTATGTGGTTCCGTGGTTCCGTGGTTCCGTGGTTCTGTGGCTCTGTGTAAATAAGCAAAGCGTTTCAAGTTGTACACGTAAAATAAGCGTTATAGTTGGTGTTTGACTGGTTGATCTTTTTGGAGATTACACCGTCAACACGTTGTTTGAAAATTCTTTTTAGTGTTTCGCGCTAATGATTTCTACCGGGAATGTGGCAGAACTTTGGTAAGAAATATGATATAGAAGATTTCGGTAAAAGATTCGTAGATGAACTGTTGCGAATAACAACTGACAGTTGATTCGCATTTGACATAAAAAAAACCTAAAAATTCTTCGTGCTACAAAGTACATATCTGTTGGTTGGATGTGATTTTTTGCGTCGCTTCTTTAAATTGTTAGAGACAATCGAATGGCAAGATTTAATTTTCAAATCATTTAAATGTGTTTTTGTAATTACAGGATTACAGAGGCACTTCTCAAGGCTGATAGAAAAGTACTTTTCAAAGGATCAAATGGGTCAGTAAATGCCAGCTTCTTCACATTAACTCTGTCGCTTGGTGCCCTTTTTAGGAGATTGAATTTTAGGATGCAATGACACATAGTGATACCATTATATAGTTCTCTTGTATTTCAACGGGAAAAAAAAATTGTTTGGGAGGTTCAATCAATAAACCAGCATTTTATTTTTTTCCGACTAAGGAAAGTTCTCGGGGTAAGGATGAGAGTCGTAAAACAGACAACTTAACCAAAACAACAGACGGGTTTTGCGGGAATCTTAAGGTTAGGCGATCAGCGAGTAAAATCGCCTGGTGTGTCGCCGGCTTTAAGCACCAGGGAAAAATTTACGACAATTCAGTTGGAGAAAATTGCAGAACAAGATGTAATTTCTAAATTTAAAGGCTGATTGTTATGTAAACAACTATGCTCTAACAGTTGAGTTACAGGTGGATCAGGCTATTACAGTTTTCTATTTTTTCGTCGTTTGTTAGGAAGATGTTTTCAATTTCTGAATGTATTGATGACATGGAAGCGTATTCACAGCTAAGTGATCACGTGTATTACCAGATCCTTAACTCGAGCGATCCTGCGCTGGAAGAGGTGATTATCAACAGGAAGGCTTTCTAGGCATAACGTTCGTTATCGGTTTCATTATTTTAAAACACCTGTTCTTTAATCGATCGAAACTTCCAAGGATTAGGTGAAAGATTACTGACATCGGAAATGATTTCTTCCTTCCAGTTGTAGTTTGCCGAAAACTGAAGTCTAAACTACGCAGTTTTATTCCATGGGGAGGGGGGAAGGAAGTGTTAATTCTTACCTCCAGCGTTTTTGTGTCGTTTCATTGTTTTGTTTCTTCGCTTGTTTTTCAAGGCTCGTAAAATTTTGCTCCGAATACAGCGCCGAGACCTTTACAAATGTATCGGCCACTCCATTTTCCGCGAACGTCGAGATGAAGTAAGTTTATCTTGACTTCCTTTTTTTAGCGATGAAAACGAGAGACGTAATGCAACAAGTTTCACCTTGTTAAAATTAGTGTGAGAAATCAATAAAAATTGATTATCGACAATCAATCGATCAATCAATATCAAACACTGGAATGAAAGAAGTAATTGGACTTGCATGGGATGATCGATAATCAATCGGTAATTATTACTGCTGTAGATTGAATCCAAGGATGATGATTTTCGCTGATTGAAGTCAGGTTTGCTCGATATCTCGTCGTTTCTATGTTTAATTTGATGTAGACTTGCGAAAAGTTATTGACCTTTCGAAATAAGAATCGATGATTCTAGAGAACCAATCCTGAAAATGTACAGCAATCGATAAAAATCGACGGTAGCAGTCAAATCATGATGACAGTCAAAAATCATTGATTTGTAGCTTGCGACATCGATGAATTGTTGTCGATTTTAATAAATTGATATCAATTAATTTCGTTGCCTAGCGTTATCATCGATAGGCCAGGCTGAGGAAGAAGATGAAAATAGATAGAGTAGTGGATGATTTTTGATGAAAGAACTGGTATTCGAAACGTGGTGAATTCTGAACTCGGTAAGGAATAGGGAGAAAATTTCTTTTTCCCTTACGCGAAGGTGAGACACAAAAAAAATTGGCGTGGCTCACCGTAGAGTCTCTTTGGTTTAGTGATAAAGCGTTGGAGCGCGGAATCCGAAGGTCTGAGGTTCAATTCCTCACGAGGAATTTTCTTTGTCCCATGCTCGTGGAAAACACTAAAAAAAAACCATCTTTCTCTAACAGTTGTTTTGATTTTTATCGGTCAGAAGGAGATTCCAGACATACAGCTAGATATAGCTGGTTATATTGAAGACGGCCCTAAACTCGACCCAGAAGACTTTATAATTGACGTAAGTATGGCGATGGAATGTGTTCTTTTATTACAGGAGTCAGATTAGCACCCGCCTGACTGTCGCGTGGACAGTCTGACGTCTTTTTCTCTCTTGATGCAACTTAACTGGGAGTCAGTTTTTTAATGGTGGACAATTTAATCAAGGCTTTTTTTTTTGTAAATCACTTGTACTCACTTTTGTAATCGAGGTTCAATGCTTAGCATGGTAAACTTTTTGCAAAAAAAAGAAATAGGAAATGGGTGAGAACGTAGTAGCTTTTTTCCATTCCATAGAAGGGCACTTAAAATTCCACCGAAACTGGTGTTCATGTTTAACAAGAGCAGAACCTTTGTTTCGAAGTATCCAATTTTGTAGGTCTCCCGTTGGAGAAGCAACTCTCAGGGCAAAATGACTTTTCTTTTCCCAGATGGTCACTTTTGACTATGGAATGAAAGACAGAAATCCAATTGACGAGGTGCGGTTTTACGGCAAGAGCAACCCAGATAAACCTCTGTTTTTTAGAAAGGATGAGGTATGTTGTTGTTTTTCGATTCAAGTGGATGTTTATGTGGTAAAATTCTGTACACATGAAGATGGCGCTTAGTGGATCTCGCTTAATTGTTCACGGATATCGGAAGGCAAGCACTTTACGTACCACAATATGATAGTGCTCAAAAGCTTTTGTTTGATTAAGTAAGTAAACCTAATGTGTTTAGCCCAGATGGACTAATTGGGGACACCAATAAAATAGCAATACTAATTAACATTTGGTACCTATATTATATAGTATTATATTATACTTATATATATATGGTACTAATTAACATATAGTACTTATTCTATTGGTTACAAAGATTACAGCAATTGCTGTTGATGGTTAAAATGTCTGCAAGATCCAATTTTCTTATTTTTAATAAAAACGGGTAAACTGGGAGAAGTCGTTTGATTTACGGTAAGTTTTGACCATGAGAATATTCACACACTGGGGTTTTATTCATAGATTAAGAAGTTAAATCAACCTTTAGTTGCGCAATAATGCGCATTTTCTATTGATTTTGCTTTGTAGTAACCCTCTTTAGACGAGGGGTGTTAATTTTTGCTATTAAAGTCGAAATTCTTGTGCTAGCGCTGCAAAATTTAATGCATGTAAAGAAAGTGTGAGGTAGCTTTCACCCAGTTGTTCACGTATATTAGAATTACACATAGTGAGCGCCGAATAGCACCGGATACTAATCCAACTTTCTCTTTATAAGGTTAGCAACATGCTTCCTGAAATGTTTGCAGAGCAGCATATCCGAGTATATTTTCGTAAGAATGACCCTAAACTCCTAGAGAAGGCACAACGGTGAGTTCGTAGAGTTTTTATCGTAATCGACTGCTAATGATTAATGACACAAGAAGTACTGTAGACAGCCTCTTCCTTGCCTCTCCGTTCGACTAATTGGTACTGCTATATTTTTCTGATTTAATTTTCAGATGCTTCCTCCGCTGGTGTGGTAGGCAGAAGTGTACCACGCCAAAGGTATGAACCTCAACGCGTTAATTTCAGGGAGGAGGTGGGGGAAGGGGAGGAGCGCATATTCCAGAATTTCACGATATATACATATCATCCGGAAATTCGCGCACGTGCATCAACATTTTATCGTGCATTGTAGTAGCATTTAGTTGTAAAACAAGTTTCCACTAGTAGTATGTTTCATTTGACCTTCTGCCACAAAACCCTAATTTTACTGTCCCCAATGTCACTATCTAACAACTTCCCTCTTTCTCGAAGTTTTAAACTCTCTAATGTTATTGTGCTGTATTTGTTGCTAGGGAGGGGATGCTCTGGCGGAATTGACACCTATGAAGTCCGCACAACAGGGTGGCCCTAGCAACATGGAGAGACGGCTCAGCTATCAAGAATAAGGGCTGATTTTAGTTTTTGATAATTTTACTGGCGAAAAAAATGAAGGAAGTTATTAGATCTATTCAATTCCAGTTTACAACTTCTTTTAAAGCCTTTTTGATATATTTTTTAATTAAGAAAAAAATTATATGTTACCGTGTAGTGGGTATGTTGTTCGCACCAATCAGATCGCCGCGTTAGGGTATGTATTGCACCAAACAGATTGCCGCATTAGGGTATGTATCTCGCACCAATCATATCACAGCATTTGGATATCATGCCCCAATCACAGCGTTTGGGTATTGTTTTCTTGTAAATTATGTCATGGAAACAGAGGGCTGTGCACAAAGAATGGCATTAACAAGAAATTTGGGCTCATTTGATAAGTGTTATGATTGTGGCCTTTGCAAGAGCCTCGTCGAGTAAAGTCGAGATTTATCGGAATATGAAAGGGTCGCATTTATTTTTATTGTCATTTTAAAGTTAAAACGTGTTTTTCCGCTCCTTTTCTCACAACGCACACGCGAAACAACTTTCCATCACGTACTGTGAAAACAACGCCCAAAGTCCAATCAGAACATACCCAATTATTGCACTTCATGAACATAAGGTAATTTTTCACGTGCTTGAAGGACCTGCATTTTATCATGTATTCTACCCGAATTATCCAACACCACTGTAAAAATTTCATAGTAAACTTTGTGCTACTGATAGTGAATTTTTCACGCATTCTTCCGCGTTTTGACTTTTCAACGAAATTCGCTTTAGCTACCTATGAATTAACCCATTCGCTTGTTAAACCTGCATTTTATCACGTATTTCACACACAGGGCAGAATCCAGATAGGCAGCAACCAATCAAGGAGTCCTCTTTGAAATATTATCCTTTTCTCTTGCTTAGTGTATCTTCCCTTCCACAAGATCACAATGTCTTTGGTTAGGGTCTATTGGAGATATGACAGTTTTAGTTTGCTTTTCGCAGTTAAATTACGTGGAATTATATTTTTTAGGCGACTAACTGTAGACGAATTATTTTGATTTTCTTTCCGTTTAAGGAACGGCTGTAAGCGTAGTCTCTTTTGCAACTGTTATTTGGTCTCGTCACACCATGGCTCTCTCTCCAACGTGGAATAGAGAAGACCAAACAACGGCTGCGAAGGAGACTGCAGTAAGCGTGGTATCCATGCATTTTATTTTTGTTCAGATGTATTTAGACAGAGACAGTACACCAAAAAATACCTGAGTTTACATAAATAATGTTTTTTCTCTTCCTCTTGAAGTGAAGTAATGCGATATTTTCGTTCTTTTTGGAGTTATGAAAATATTAGGAATGCGAAGTGTCCCCCCTCGACCTACCCAGCCGAAAAAAATAACCCTTTTTATGGTAAGCATGCTTATGTTTTAGTTTTCATATTGAGTAACACTTTCCTGGAATTCTCTGGCCGCAAGAGAAAGTATCCAAGAGAAGTCTCGAGGTGAATTTTATACGTTTAATAAACACAACTGAGGTTACGAGGTCTTCGTAGGTTCGCGAGTGAAGGTTAAGAGAACTGACAACGCTTCGGTATTTCGGAATTATTGGGAGTGTGTTTCCGGACACGTTTACGTACTTTTGTAGTCAAAGCTTAGATTACACGATTGCGTAATGTGAGTCCCAGTCCCCGACAACACAGAACCAGATTTCTAAATTCGGCAACAGCTTAAAATCCTTACAGACCCGTTGGTCTGTTTTTTTTTCAACTTTTGCGTTATTTTCTCACGTCTAGCCTTGGTGTAGAGTTAATAAACAAATGCTTCACACGACTTTTGGAGAGGTTGTGTGAGAAGTGGCTCCTCACCCAGGCCAGCAAGTTGTTGTTGTTGAGCTTCACTATCTTCGACGAAGACCTTCCTAGCTTTCTTCTTACCAATACCAGAAAATGCACTTTTTGTGTCACATCCTGTCAATGCATGGTAGGCTGGTAAGGACCTGGAATTGAGAGGACCAAGGCTGATTGAAGAGAGTGAATGGGAATAAATCTAGCGCCATCCTTGACTCTTGTTTTAAGCCACAGCTCTTCATATTTGACACTCAGGAAATGAGCTATACAAAAGTCTTCAAGGTTTGTGTCGGGCGACTGAATGATAATTCTCTGATAGGTGTTGGCTGCATGTTTGGCATGAAGTAGAAGTTGAGTATCTGCTTCTTCAAGATCAGAATATAACGAAGGCACAATGACGGAATATCCACGACCGATTAAAAAAAAGCCTCTCTAGCATCTGAATCCTCATTCCACTCTTGTTGGTGTGGTTATAGTTAATTCTTGTAAGGAACGGATAAAGAATGGGAAAGAAATTGGCTCGATTCTGCTTATTCCGGCTTGGATTTGACAAGAATTTCCTCCATTGCTTCGGAACTGGCGAAGTCTGGTGTTGAATCTTTATCTCCTTTGACGTTCCATTTCTTTGAGAGAAAGTGAGCAGTACTGGTTGAATGCGAGGTCTACGCGGTAACAGTCGTTTTGACCCAGCACCCCGAGCTTTAACTTCATAGTATTCACTAGCCATTTCCTCAGATGCTGCAGTTCCTGCAGACTTTATGGTGTGAAACATTGCCATTGCATCAATGATAACCACTGTTTTCTTGCTTGACACAGGCAAACCGACTGAAGAGTCGATATTCTTCTAGAATACCGCTATCAGTGAGCTTTTTGCTGCCTGCGCAAAGTTCCATCAGGATGAACAAGAGAGCCAGGGACACAGCATAACTCGTAACTGAAGATTTCCCGGAGTTTGATTCCTCTTCTTTTGGCAACAACAAATAGTCGCCCAAATAAATCTCGATCTACGCTTAGAGTAATGACTTTCTCGTTTGACGCTGTTAGAGACCTCTTGTTAGTTGTCTTGAACGTCTCAATCTTCAGTTTGGGAAGAGGCTCCCAAAAGCTGACCTCATCACTGTCTAACCTTGAGGTGATAAAACCTGAGCATTCCCCAATGCCCTATGCTCGATGCATTTATGAGACGATCTACAACTTTATTAGGTAGCACGACTCCAGTCGTGATGTTGCCAAAAGGTTCGATGTCAGCAGTGTCCTTATCTACCTTTAGATCAAATGGATTTTTCATCATCTCAGAGGTGAGACGTAGCACAAGACTTTCAATATCCTTCTCGTCTCTCCTGATGCGCCTTGTAGCTGCTTCCTCGTGGGTACCCACACGTTCATCGTGTAGATTGCATATTTCTTTTACTGATCTTGTGATGGCAGCTCGTTCATGGCTTGTCAAAAACGAAGACCTACAGCGTCGTCCTTATTGGTCATCCCAACTAGGCCTCCTTTAGATTTCGTGTCACAGGTGATGGATTGCTCAAGTGCCTTGTCTGACTATACTTAACAGAAAGGTTGTTGTAAAAGACTTGATTGCCAGCTTTGGACTCTCCATATATTTGTGGGTGGTTCTCTTGCAATGAGTACATGTCTGCGATGTATACCGGGAGTCACCTTGCGTAATTGACACGATCCATATCGTAGAAATATGGAACTAACGCCGCACTGGGTGACAGGGGGTAAGTCTCAGTCCCCGGTTCGCTCAGCTTTGATGAATTGAAGTAGAGTCATTACCACTGACAAGTATTGGTCCCAGAAGGCAAAAAGGTTGGACTTAGCCCGTGCTTCGCTTCTGAATTTCCCCACAAGGGTAATCAGGGAATTCGGTCCATCCCTTACAGGTTGCCAGTTGTCTTGAGGGCCTCCTTCTGTTTCGTGGCACTTTTGGATGAGCTCAAGTACCTCGTCCTTTAAGGCATCTTGAAAGCAAGGTTTTTTCCTTTCCAGCCAACTGATAAATGCCCTCCACAGAAGACGAAACAGTGCCGCGAGACAGAGCTTGTGGGCACTCACTCCACGGTTATACGACTTTCCTCCCATCGATACATTTATGGTGTCAGCAGCATATAATACAGAGTCAATCAGTAGATCTTCTAAACAAGAACTGGTGTAGAACTTCCCAAGGAGCGACATATAATTCAATGCTTTATGAAATCCTCCCAAGTGGACTACAACCTTCTTGAATTCCTATGGGTACCTTAGTTGCAGCTGTTTTCTTTTGGTGTAAATTGTCAAGTCAAAAGTTACCGCTGAATTAGGCTGTCCAAGAGTATTTGCTATGTCTGAGGAAAGCTTCATTACTGTATTTATCGTGCTGTAATCATTTGCATTTGCTTGGATCATAGGGCAGTAGCCAATAGCTGTAGGAGGTGATGTTTCAGTGAATTTAAGTGAATGGAACCCACTCCATCCAGGAATCTTTTGATGAGTTACGGATTGATGGTTAACATCCAAAAGGCTGTCTGCATTCAAGTGCAAAAGAAGCCATACAATGTCATCGCTAACATTAAAAAGAAAACTATCAAAGTAGGTTGTCACTGGCGGTCGTCTTCCTCCAATTCCGATCTCTTGCACCATCACCAGGAGCCTTGATATATCCAAAGATCTTCTTTTTTGAATATGATCACCAAATATTCGCGCTTCTGTGAATGGTCCATACTGTTTCCTCCGGAAAACATCTATGGTGGTTGAATGAGTGGTATTTTTACCGTCTTCACAGAAATCGTTGTTTTCAGCCGCCATAGGGATAAGCATACCTATTAATGAAACAAAGCATACGCCATTCAGTAGCGTAATATTAAGTTATTTATAATATACCCAAGCATCTACATACCTGGTGTTATGTTTGATGGAATGATTGTTCCTCCTGTCAGCTCAGCTCTTGCGATCGTTTAAGTCACAGCTCTTCACATTCGTGTAGGTCAAGCTCTCTTCCTCGTACTGAGGTATGTGGTTGTATGGCAGCGGAGTCCTGCTTGAATCCATGGAATAATGATGTTTAAATGGACAGCTCGGACTCCTTCAGTGATTCAGAAATTGATGACTTTGTTGACATCCGAACATTTTCTTACTGAAAAAACTGAGAGCATTAATTAAAGCCTTTTCCTCCTTTTTAGCCTCGTTTTCACGTAAGACCTGGATAGCTCGATTGAACGGTTTATGGATGCTCAAGCAAATAAGTTGTAGATTTATTACATATATTTTCTTACAACCAAACTGCGATGAAATACCGGTTTTTAAAAGATGTTTTAGGTGCAGTCTCGTTTTCATGCTGACCAACGAAAATCATGGTGCCCGGTTTGTACAGACTAGATGCTATTTTTAGTTGTGATTTGCGTGACGTTCAATACCCTTATTTTTTGCTTTGTGTGACATACCCTCGAATCGTCGGCATTAGGTTTCATTCGGCCACGAGACACGTATATGTCGCAAGCATAGCCAGATCGAGGGATTGTCGAAATACTAGAACAATAGAACGGGGAAAGAGGTATGTCATCTCATTTGTTTTTGTATTTATAAACCGAAACGTGTATAATCAAGGTAGTTTTGTTTCACTTGAGATGTTTGGGTTGTTTTGATTTATCTATATACACGCCCCGCGTGTTCGAGTTTAGAACATTTCGATTAGCGTTTATTGTATGGTAATGGCTTATTTTAATTTATTGTATTTCAGTTTTTGCGAACTTTCCAGTGATTAATAAACCAGTTGAGACTGATGGACGCTTGGAGGTTCCGTAAAGATGAGACATTTCCACGACGCGGCGTTGTTCAAGTTTGATTTGATTTATGTCAGCGTCCGCTCCATTATACTAGATATTTAATTTGTTTTGTTCTTGAGCGATTTTTTTTCTTCTTCTAAGATATAGCTGATGGACTAACCCTGCTGAAGAACACATAATGAGTATGTGTAAGATAAACGTGATCGAGTTTTTTCTGAGAAGTAAATGACATTTGATCGTAGCAGGATAAAAGACAGATTTCATATTTGATGAGGTCACGTGACGGATCACACGATATCGAAAATGCCCTTTTTTTGGCTTTTTTCAAAAGGTCTTAATAAGCACTCTCATGTGTGACAATTTGTTGAGTTTTGGTTGATAACAGACGATTTTAAAGGCCATTTTTGAACAGAGCCTCGCTATTGTGGCCAGAGCCAGGTTGAGGTAATTAATTCCCGATATCTTCTTCCCTGACCACAAATCAATTGTACAAAGAACCTGACATTAAAGAGCAGTCATTGCTCTATAAGAATGTGGCATCGAACCTTTTCTGAGTGGTGGGTTGTGCATTTAGCCATTTTTCGGGACTCTGCTCTTAAACAAATTCATATGTACCTGCATTTTTTTAGCTGAAGAATTACCCATGTAACTGGTCACAAAGTAAAAAATAAACCCTCGTTTCGGTTTCCTTTTTTCATTATTTATTTTCTTCTTTAATTTTTATTCTTTTTTTCTCAACTGAAGGGAATAACAAGCTGAAAAATCTATCAGTTTGTAGTCGCTCCCTGTTATCCAGGCTATTCAACCCCCCTCCCCCCCCCTCTGCCCTTCCCTCCCCCTCGTCGTTGACTAAGAGGTGCTGTCTCATTCAGTTCATTGAGACTGTCGGTAAGAGAGAAATACAAATAGGACATTTTTTCAA